GATCATTGAACATAATGTTTCTCGAATTCACATTATGAAGATTTGGAGGGAAAGGAATATAAAATTAAAAGCATAATTTAAAAAAAAAACACTCGGAGGGAAATTATTTTGACTTTATCCCTGGGTTTTTGAAAAGATTACTTCTATCCCCTTTCCCAAATCTGCACTATACCCCTACTTAATATTGAGGATACTCGTGAACAGAAAAGGGCAAATCATCTTCAAACGCTCCATATTTGGCACGCACTTTCCAGGGTTGTTCACCATTCTGCATCAAAGATTTTAAAAAGGGGCCGGCAAGGAAAATAAGGGATCTGCCAGCAGTTCTTTAAACCAAATGAGTTTTCCAAGAATTGCTACAGCTGCAAACAACTCTCATGCAAACTTAGGGAAAGGGGTAGCAGTTTTAGGGAGTGGCAGATGGGTGCTAGAGTCGCCCTCTCCACCTCACTCTCATTGTGCCCATGTACTGCACAGTCTTAGCATCTTCTAAGGCAGTGTTTCCCAAACTTGACAATTTTAAGGCATGTGGACTTCAACTCCCAGAATTCCACAGCCAGCAATGCTGGCTGTGGAATTCTGGGAGTTGAAGTCCACATGCCTTAAAATTGTCAAGTTTGGGAAACACTGTTCTAAGGGAGAATGGCCTTTCACCTGTCCTGGGCCTAAAAGACAACATGAATAGTTGACTGCTCTCTTGAGTCAAAACTCTGCAGCTTTTACAGGTAGTCCTCAACTTACAATCATTCATTTAGTGACCTTTCAAAGTTACAACGGCACTGAAAAAAGCGACGTATGACCGTTTGTCACACGACTGTTACAGCATCCCCAGGGTCACATGATCAAAACTGGGATGTTTGGCAACCGGCTCCTATTTATGACGGTTGCCGAGTCCCTCGGTCAGCTGATCAACTTTGGCTAGCTTCTGACAAGAAAAAGTCAATGGGGGAACCAGGTTCACTTAACAACAGTGTGACTAACTTAACAACTTCAGTGATGCACTGAACAGCTGTGGCAAGGAAGGTCGTCAAATGGTGCAAAAGTGACTTAAACAACTGTCTCACTTAGCAACAAAAAAAAATTGGGCTCAATTGTGGTCAAAAGTTGAGGATTACCTGTACCAGGACCAAGGACCTACCAACAACTGCACTTCATATAACTCTATCTAAATGGATAGTTAAATATAGTAAATAGGCTTACTCTCCCGTCAAGGACTTCCTCCAGATGGTTAAAAAAAAAACCCTCCCTGAAATGTTTTTTCTTCCCTCCCTTTTTTCCATAAAAGTTGCCCAATGTTTATCCATAACCTGATTAACCTCATCAAATAAAATGCCCTGATCCAATTACACGAGACCTCTGCATTACATTTCCAGCACTGAAAAAAAAAAGATCAAAATAAAATTATCTTGCTTCTCTCTTGCTTTGCTGTATAAAATTAAATAGATTCATTTTAGGTAGTTAATCTTTCTCTTAAGTTGGGGCGCAGCCCAGATTCCTTTGATTTGAGAATAAGCACCCTTGAACGAAGCTTTAGTTTTGAATAAATATTACAAAATTGCACTATGAAAAGACTTTCTGAATGGGGAGAGGACTGGCTGGCAGATAATTTCCATCAATCAGGACTAACAGCACAATCTAACTGTTCGATACCTTGTGAGCTACTTGATTGGGGAACGCTTCACAGCCTCTGTTCAGAAAAAAAATAATTTCTCTCCATCTTTATGGTTGTAGTAACTTTTACCCGCTTGTCACATAGTCTGTGCTTTTTAGGTGGCAGAACATTGTCTCGTCACTTTGGGAATGAAATGGAGAACTGTTTTCCTTATTGAAATAAATTGATGACAATCTCACAGCTCCCCCCGCTGCTGTGTTCTCACGTTCCAGCTGGAGAAAGCGTGATACAAATCCAGCCTCAAATGGCATTGGGGTTTCTTAGGGTACACATACAAAGCTGGGAAGAGTTACGGACAGCCTCTAAATACCGACAGCGTTTCCTGGAGCAAGTGACGCTTAACAGTTGGCCAAAAATTGCAATAGGCAGGGCAACACAGAGAAGGGGAAAATAAAAAAGCTAGCAGAGAAAAAGCCATGTCCTTATTATTAACGCTAGTAGCATTTGTGGCACAGTACTGCTACAGCACACAGCAAACACTACACAGTTGGCCTCACTGAACAGCTGGACACTTGGGAAGCTCAAAAAGTTGTGTCATAAATAAAGAAACACCTAAGGTCCTGAAGCTTCCCCACCACCTCCATGGAGATGCTTCTTCGTCTTAAAACCTGACTTTATTGGTTCTTATATACTTAAAATTTGGGAGGCTGGGATTCTGGGAATATATGCCAATCATTGAACCCAGGGTCAAGGGAGCCAGCCTTATCATACGACGATCAAGCTCTATTATGGAGCTTGTCAGTGGAATTCTCCATCCTCTGTGAGAGATTCAACGTTCTTCCATCAGAAGCTCTTTCTGCATTTGATCTGCCCACAGCTGCACATTTTGCTTTGGAATCCCTTAGATCAGGGGTCTCCAACCTTGATAACTTTAAAGTCTTGTGGACTTGTGGAATTCTGGGAGCTGAAGTCCACAAGTCTTAACGTTGCCAAGGTTGGAGACCTCTGACATAGATTAGAGAAGCTTTGCAGCATCTACAGTCCTCGTCTATAGAGATCATATCAGTCATCCAGGTCATAGTTATCCCAAGGGTGCTTTTTCACAAGGCAGCTGGACTTTCTTGTTTTTTTTCTTCGAAGACGTTTCGCTTCTCATCCAAGAAGCTTCTTCAGCTCCTTCAGAATCTTCTTGGGTGAGAAGCGAAACGTCTTCAAAGAAAAAACAAGGAAGTCCAGTTGCCTTGTCCAAAAGCACCCTTGGGATCTACGGTCCTCCTTCTCGTCGTCTCTGATCCCCATCAATGCAACTACGTTTCTCCTGCAGAGAGCTGAGCTGCAGGGAAATGTGATAATTGCAGACCAGCTATATGTGAAAACCCCTTTCTACCACAATCAGTTGGTTTACAGTCAAGCTTACTAGGGATATAGTCTGGAAACCCACCAGAATTGTGGAGCACACTTTGCAGGCAGATATCCAGGAATGCTGAACGCACAAGAGTTGAATGTTCCCCACCAGTCATCTATGTCAGCTCACCTGAGGCTTGATAAAGCCCCTGGTGTGCCGCCCGCTAGACTGCAAAAATAGAATAGGAACGGTTGAGGTTTTACACATCTGGCATACTAAATTTACCTGATCTTGGGTTGTATTTGGCTTGATAGATTTGGAGGCTGGCTTTGTTGGAAGTTCCAAAGACCTGCCCCCCCCCCCAAATCTTGACTCCTCTGCCTCTTGTGACCCTCTTTATCTCTCTTTGTGCTCTCAGGAAATTATCTTCTCAAGGTACAAGAGTATCTGATGACAGTTGGCTGTGTTTGTGTCTTTTCTCTTCAAATCACCTCTGGAGTGAGAAAGGGCTTTTAAATGTGGGGCTGGCTTCCTTCCAGGCCTCAGGCTGCTAACTTGCTGCTACGAAATGAATTCTCACAACCATCTCAAGCCACATCTGAACCAACCAATGGGGAGTAAAGAAGGGAAGCCCAGAATTTCTTGACCTTCCAGTTAGGCTGCCTTCTCAAAGTTTCCCCGTAGAAAGAAAGGATGCTATCTGCAGCTTTCCCCTGATAAAAGGAAGTAATCACGCACGCAACTGAAGAAAAGCCATAGAAACAAAACTCCCTAAGATGGAGGCCAAGCCTTCAGCATAAAGAGGGTGGCTGGCAGATGTGAGGAGCAGCTGCCAAGAGCAGGTCTAGCCTGTCCCTAGGAAGCTGGTTCCCGGTGATGGACTGGGCAAGGGCACGTTGAGACTGCACCGAGCCGGGGAGTGGCTGCAAATAATCTTTTCTCCTTACAGGCCAAGAGAAGCTCCCTCTGTTCCTTCTGGTGGATGCCCAAAGCTGCTTGCCATGGTTAGCGTGAAACAAGAAGCTCGACTTCCTGAATGGCGCATTAGGTCTCTGGTCAAAGAGGTTTAAGTGGTGCAGCTGTCACTGTCCTTGGAAGTCCCAGCGTTTGCAGCACCTCGTGGCTGCTGAGATCAAAACCTGAAGTTGGGTGCAAAGAGGGGAGAAACGTTCGATCTGTGATCTCTCCATCGCGGGAAAAAGAAGGGAAGGGAAGAGAAAGCTATGTAAGGTAGGTAGATAGGTGGTCCTCAACGTTCAACCACAAGTGAACCCAGAGTTACGGTCATTAAGCTGTTGCTGTTTTTAAGCCAGGCACCCATGAAATCCTGGCTCTCCCCACTGCAGTCATTACGCGGAGCAGGGGTGCCCCAGGGAACGGGGGAGGCCCAACTTGTTGAACAAATGGTTGTAAGTCAAGGACTACCTGTATTAGGCTTATTTCAGGTGTGATGTTCTGCCCTAAGCCACTATTGGGGTGAGTCATAGCTTGTTCCTAGGTACATAAACCATGGGTTGCAAACGGCGATAGCAAGGCTCACACGTCCTGCGGAATCACAAATCGCAGTCTAGTTTAATGGGCGCTGCAAAGTTAAGATATGAAAGCTGGAACTATCGGCCTACGAGTCCTTCTGCATTGTGGAAGAAAAAAGAAAAACGAATCACAACAGTAGAGGGTCACGACATAAGACTGAAAATCAGGCTTGTCAGATGCTATATTTTTTCTATCCTGCTCTGTGGAGTAGAGAGTTGGTCTCTGACAGAAGGCCACCTAAAGAGCCTAGAAGCATTTGAAATGTGGATTGACAGGCGGCTGTTACGTATAAGCTGGGTTGACAAGATCAGAAATGAGGAGGGGATAAGCCGCCTGGGAAAGCCCAGGGAAATCATCAAAACAATTAAAAAACGAAAATTAGAATATTTCGGACATGTGATGCGACACCCAGAAAAACACGGCATACTCCGTTTAATCCTCCAGGGAAAGATTGAAGGCCAACGAGGTCCAGGCAGAAGAAGAACATCGTGGCTTCAAAATCTAAGGGACCGGTTTGGACAAAACTCAGCAGCACTTTTTCGTGGGGCTGCTGATAAAAACAGGATCGCCCAACATGATCGCCAACTTCCGATAAGGGATATGGCACAAGAAGAAGAAGGGGGGGGGAGGATCCAACTGCAAGTGATTTGTCTTCCGTCTTACTCTCCTGCCTGCACTATGGATGAGGCTCCGGCTTCTTTCTCCTCCATCTTCAGAACCCAGACCCAGAATGAGATGCAGGTATGAGCTTTGCCAGCCCAGATCTGTAACCAGTTATCATGGGAAACAGGGAAGCCAAGCTGGGCATGTTTGCATAGCAACATCGCCCATCAGCATTCCAGTTTCTAGCACACCTGTTAGAACCTGTTGTTCCCTCTCCCCTTCTTCAGTCAAAATAAATAAAAGACATAAATAATAAGGTGTCACACCCTGTAGAAATGAGCAAAAAAAAAAAAAAGAATATGTAAATCTCGTCTTTGTTTTCCTTCTCTAGCCTACATGCCCATCCCAGGTTTCTTTAAGCAGATCACAAACCCGTTCTACCCACCGCTAAGCCTAGTTGAAGTGGTCTTTGCGCCAGCCGAGCTCTTAACTCAGGATCCTTCCAAACTGGGGTGGGAAGACTTCTTCTTCCAACCTTCAACGTACTTCTTAAAAAAAAGTTAATCGTGCTACGGATGAAAAGAACCCGTGAAAAAGACACTGTACGTTGGGCGGAGAAATGGGCCCAAAGGGGCAAAGTAGGAGATGGAGAAACACTTCCAGTTAGGACAGATTGTTTAGGAGACCTCTTGTTCATCAGACTGGCCGGACTACCTGCTATGTGTGCAAAGTGAAATGTCCATTTGAGCTTGGGTTGGGAAATGGAAGAGAACCGGTTATTTCTCCTGGAGAGAGAGACCTCAAAAAATCCGAGGGGGCTGTCCTTAGTTCAGTAAACTTGGAACCGCAGATCCTTCAGCTTTTGACCTGATTGCATGCTCTCTCTCGTTCTCACTTCCCAAGTCCAAAACCTTATTTACAATGGCAAGGAAACATGCAAGAGAGAAGGGGAGAGGAGGGAGGCCAGGACAGCAAAAAGGGGGAACTTCTCCAGCATCCCCTTAACCCAAGGCGGACCCAGTTCTCAAGACAGTCACACTTACACTGAAGGGCCAGGGGATTCCCCAAGATCTCCCTTATTTGGATTTGTTCCCTCTTCCACCCTGCCCTTTCCCGTCTCTAGCGCCCCACACTGATGTTACATGTCTTGCAGCTTGGATCCTTTTTGGCATCGGCTGTCGAGAGGCTCATCAGCTGATGACCACTGATCTCCCCCAGGACTCCTAGGCTGAGGTCAACTGGCTCCGTATAAATGATCTCCAGGATGACGTCCTGGGCATGACGGTAGACGAGCTCGCCGTCCTCCACGCTGCAGGTCAGGAACTTGTTGCAGGAAATGTCCAACTGGGGCAGTCGCTCCCGGCAAAAGTGGTCGCCGGCAGAACCTTTCGGCGCCAGCACCAGGACGACGTAATGGTAGGCAGTGTACATACAGTAGAAATCCGCGAAGTAAAGGTTGGTGTTGGGGCTGAAAAGGCGCTGCGCGGGCGCCTGGAAACGATATCGGCCGTAAGGGGAGTCTTGGGGAGGCTGGCCGGTGTTGAACTCAGTATTACAGCTGAAAAAGATGCCATGGAGCATGCCACTGGTGGGCGAGCCGTGGCTGCCACTGTTGTCCTTCAAGTAGGGCTTCATGACGTTTCCACAGTGCATTCTGGCCAGACGGGAGACACAGATCGTTAGGAAAAGGAAGAGGCTAGGATTCAGGCCAACCTTACATTTGGGAGGAAACCAAATCGGCATTAGGATAGGCCACAGGGAGGGGGAACCTTGGCTCTTTTATGACTGGTGGACTTCAACTCCCAGAATTCCTGAGCCAGCCATGCTGAGGGGAAAGGGAGAGGTTTCCAAGCTGAGCCATGCTGGCTCAGGAATTCTGGGAGTTGAAGTCCACGAATCATGAGGGGGCCATAGTTTCCCTCATGCTGGCTCAGGAATTCTGGGAGTTGAAGTCCACAAGTCATAAAAGAGCCAAGGTGCCCCCTCCCTGGGACAGGGTGTTAGGCCTTCATTGCTATAGTTCCACCCAGGCCTTCCATTTTCAGCAAGTGAAAACTAGAGAATGTTCATTAAACATTGTCTGAGAGCAGGTGAGGTGACTCAGGGATCCTCCATTTTCCTAGCTCAGGGAGGGGAAATCAGCATTAGCAGGGTAATTAAAGAATTAAGGTTTAAATTTAGAGAGACCTGCATGTAAACCCTATCTCAGCTACATAGCTTGCTAGGTAACTCTCAGCCAGGCATAGCCTACCTGTGCTGCAAGGATAAACATTAAGCAGAGCATTTTCAAGCTATCCAAACATTACTACAACGCTCATATCCGGAACCTTTATCTGGGCAAACTGGTTTATGGTAGGGCAAAGTTTTTTGAACTAAAATGCTAAATTACAGAAGGCACCCCAAATCCAGGTCCCAAGACTCCTTAGAATTGAAATTTGGCAAATTGTATAACCCATTTTATAATATAAGAGTTATAAACATTTTATAACACAATGCAAAATGTCATAAAAGGTTTCCTGTGGTCAACTGCTGATCTTTGACTATGCTATACAGCTCAATATGGGCTACCCACAAGGCAAATATATCTCTGAACATCACCCTCAATTTTTAAGAACTTTTCATTAGAAACTCTGCCGCTGTTGAAAGCATTGATAAAGGAAATTGGTAAGGAAATATCCCTGAAATGATGACCCAGGGGGGCAAGAGTTGTCTAGTTGTGTCTTAGGTTTTGGAGGAAGGATAAATTAAGTTCAGGTTGTGTAGTGATTATGAGAGATCATGTTATGTGCTGGTTCTAAGTTTTAAGCTAGGAGCAGGAAAGGATGAATACACTCTCTGAAGTTCAAAAGAACATCTGCAGGAAGTGATGTTGAAGTAACTGAAGCATGGGAAGAGAAAAATGAGATGAATTCTCTTAATCATGGGTGTCAAGCTTGCAACGTCACGTGATGTGTCGTGACGTATCACGACATTTTCCCCATTGACGGGACTAGGGTGGGCGCGGTTTCACATCTGCATCTGGCCCACGGGCCTGCAGTTTGACACCCTTGCTCTGAATTCATTGGAAGGACAGGCTAAAATTTAATGTCTATGTATCAGTATGGGAATAATGAGGAATGTGACTATATTCTCATTTCTCATGGAAAATTTGAAACAAGCTCTAACTGTAAAAGATAAGACACTGTTGGTACATTTGAAAAAAGTGGATGGATGGATGGATGGATGGATGGATGGATGGATGGATGGATGGGTGAGAGAACAGACGGATAGACGGATGGATATGAAAAAAAATGGATGCTATAATTAGCGTTTTCATAATGAGGTTTTCTTCTTCCTGCTCCAAGCTATGACACCAGATCAGAAGATTACAACCTGGGGTGCTGTTCTCAACCTTGGCATCTTTCAGAGATGTGGACTTCAATCCCCAGAATTCCCCAGCCATTCCCCATGGCTGGAGAATTCTGGGAGTTGAAAGTCCACACACCTGAAAGATGAAAGATGCCAAACACTAGATCTTAATACTATAGAAATGGCAACGGAAAGCTTCTAGGCCAAATCTAACTCTTGGAGTGAAGTCACTTCTCTCATCTCCACCTCCCAGCCAGGTTTTGAATCATCACTATCAGGAGGGGAAGAATTTGGATGAAGACAAGAGATTGGCAAACGGGTAGATGGTCATTATCACTGAACACACACCCACACCCACACATACACACACACACACACACAACTTGGTTGTCCCATGCATTCACGGATTACGCTTACCTGACGTACTGGAAATACTCTTTAGTGTGATTCCGATAGAAAACCGTGAACCGCAGCATCCGGCCTGAGGTGAGCTCAGCTTTCTCTTGCAGCTGAGCCAGATGTTCTTTAGCATAGTCTGCAAGGAACATTCAGAGGTTCAGATGTTTTAAAGCAGTTTTTTTTTTCATGCGACACCTCCGTGGCAAATTTCTCTCCCCCTCCCCTTCCACACGTCGCCTTCTCGTTGCATCTTTTTGCCTCGGGCGGGTTTCTCCTGCCTCCCTATCACTTCTCTCTCCTGGGTGGCACGCCCTTTCCCTCCTACACAGCCAGGCTTGCTGCATGGCAAAATCTGGATTTACCACTTTTCAGCACCCCTCGGCCTGTTCCAATTCCCACCGGCTTGGAGCTTGTCTTCCAGCCAGCTCAACCATGTGTGTTTTTTTCTCTCCTCGACTGCTTGGCTTTGAAAACTTCCAACAGTTGCGTGTGTGGCGTGCTTTTGCACGCAGCAAGGGCATTCCAAAAGTTGATTGCGCAAGTACTTAAAAGGCAGAAGAGCGCCCATTGGCAGATCAATGGAGAGAAATCGCTCTCTGTCCCAAGGGAATGAATGAAGAGGTTGGACGGCCACTTGTTTGGAATGTTATAGGTCAGGGGTGTCAAACTCAATTTCATTGAGGGCCGCATCAGCATTGTGGCCTACTGGGTGGGCGTGGATGGAGTGGGTGTGGCCTACTGGGTGGGCATGGCCAGCTCTACATCATTCATGTCAAGAGTGCCTGTGGGGGCCTGGGCAGGAGTGGGACAGATCTGAGGGTCTCTGGCAGAAGGGGTGGGACCGGGCAAGTGCCAAGGCATGTTCCACTGGAGGAGCCTCAATGTTCGGGGGGGGGGGGGGCTTATGGAGCTAAGACTGAATGCATTTCAGCATAGATGGCCACCACAAAATTGTACATTGGCTCCCGGCTGGCCTGGGCCAGGGCCAAGGTAGCGGGGGCCGTTCCCTCACTGTTTCCAGGATGGCTTCACGGGCCACATGAAACCACTTCACAGATCGCATCCAGCCTTCGGTCCTTGCGTTTGACATGTCTGTTATAGGGTCTCCTGCTTAAGTAGAAAGTTGGACTAGCTGACCTCCAAGGTCTTTTCCAAAAGGGATTCAAAGGACATTTTACCATTTGGGGGGATGTGTTAAGAAAGTTAGAAGATTAACTTATAGTTTGGAGTTGTTTGTATTTGAGTTAAAGTATTTTAGGGATTTGGTTATTGGTATAGTTGGATAAGCTTAGCTAGAATTTGTTTGCTTATTTTTTTAACCCTGTAATCAGTTCTGGGAAGTGAGGGGCGGAGGGTTGGGGTGGGGGGGAGGGAGGGAGGGTTATTGTATTGTAATAATAAATGTGTATAAAACTTTTCAAAAAAAAAGTTAGAAGAGTCTGGATTCAAATATGCATATCGATTTGAAGGATTTTAAAGATTAATATACAATCTTCTTTGTGGGACCGGTAGACAAACAGTTGGGAAAAAGTCATGGAACTTGGTTTTTGTCTATAACTGCAGCAGGATTATTGTTTTGCCCCCCCAAAATGGAAAGATTCAGCACTAACCACTATGGAGGAATTGCCGAGATGGCTCAGTTGACTTCTTTGATCAGGCAAAATCCCTAACTTTGTTGTTGACCGGAAAGCCCTTATAGACTTTTTGCACAAAACAGAAAAAAATGAATTTATGGTTTTTGATGATTAGACAGGATAGATTATAGAAAATGGAATAATACTGTGACCCTAGAGTTAGAGGTAAATTTATGATTGTACTTATAACTGCCCTGATGGTGCAGTGGTTAGGATGTAGTATTGCAGGCTAACTCTGCCCACAGCCTGGAGTCTGATCCTGACAAGTTTGAGGTTGACTAGCTTTCCATCCTTCCGAGGTTGGTAAAATGAGGACCCAGATTTTTGGAGGACATGTATGCATATTGTAAACTGCCCAGAGAGTGCTGTAAAGCTCTAAGGGGCAGTATATAAGTCTTAAGTCCTATTGCTATTGCTGTAAAGAAAATCAGAAGCTACTTCTTTGTACCTTTCTTTCTAATCTTCTTTTACTGTTTTTTCCTTTCTTGCACGTTTAGCTTTCTCTTTGATGTGTTACTTTTTTTCTTTGTCTTACTTTACATTAGTATGCATTCATTTTTATCTTCCTTTTAAAAAATGTTTAGCGAAAATTATTTTTAAAAAGAGAAAACATAAGTGGGTTTTGGGTTGCAGTTTGGGCACTCGGTCTCTAAAAGGTTTGCCATCACTGTCCTACAGTATGGGATTGCGGATGGTTTCATCAGAAGACGTTACAGTGGATTGTCTTGATCAGATAGAATGCTTTTGTCGCTCAACGTAATGCGGAAAACCTACTGGGTAGGCATGGAAATCTCCTTTTGTACTGGCCCTTTCTCTTGCCCACTCACCTCCTGTGCAGAATTCGACCGTCTCACTCCATCCAGAGACAAGGTACTCTCCATCACTTTGCTTCACCGCAGTCTGCACTGCCACGCTGTACTCTGTCCTGGGACTCAGAAACCAGTGGCCCCTCACCGTCATTGGCAGGGCCACTGCCTTAGCTACCAGCTTGGTAGGGACATCCTACACAAAGAAAAGAGCCAGGCTTTGTCAGCTGTTTGGCCCACGGGCTTTGCGGGACCAAGACTGTTAGAACATCATCAGATCATTGACAGTGAAAGGGAAGAGATTCTAAAGAAACCATACATGGATATCTAGGACAAGCCACCATGACATCACAGGTGTGTCATGATACCATTGCATTGTGACCAGAAGGAAATAACTCGCATCATGTATAGTTGTACACTTGTACAATCTGACATTCATATGGTGGAAAAACAGAACGGAGCCCAAAATTTAGGTTGTGAAGTGAGAAACTTGTTAAGGGAGTTTTGCCCTATTTTATGACTTTTCTTGTCCTATTTGTGGAGTGAATCATTATGGTTGTTAAATTAATAACAAAATGGTTAACTTTATTATTATTATTATTAAAAATTCCTGCAAACAGTTAACTAGAATATCAAAGGGAGAGGTCCATCTTAGACTTCTTCCAAACAGTACCATTTTGGGAGAGTATATGTGTGACATGTGCATTTAGGCACACAGATGCACAAACCAAGTGCAAGGTTGATCGCTTTGGGTAAAAAATAGCCTCTGCTAGGATTTGTTTTTTTAAAAAAATGAACTTTCCTGAAGTGGGTGGACTGATCGAACAGGAGACAGAACACTTGAGGGAACATTGCTTTTAAGAGGGAGAAAGGCCACATCCAACAGGTTTTAATATTCCTCTGCAGTGCAGTATTGTTTCCATGGCAACGGCATGCAAAGAAGGAGGGGGGGAAGCAAAGGAAACCATCTAACTGCAGGGAGGGGGGGGAAATAGTTAAATGTGAAGTAGCATTTCCATAGCAACTGACCCCACTAAGAAGCATCCAAATTAGTGACTCCATTTCAGAGGGGAGGTGAGCAAAAAGCCTCTCCTACAGTTGTTCACAACACGGTGCTATTTTGCTAATTTGGCTGGGGACAGTGGCATTTCGAAATTGCTTTTCCAGGAAGTCCTGGACTTGACGATCAGAATTGGGACCAGAATATCCACCACGAAACCAGGGGGCTGTAAAAGCAACCGATTTTATGACCGTTTCCTCACGATTGGAAAACAAATCCCTGCAGTTGTTAAGTGAATTACACAACTGTTAAGCAAAGCTAGCTTCCCCCTCTTGACTTTGCATGTCAGAAGTCAGCTGGGAAAGTCACAGATGCTGATCATCTGATCCTGGATTTTGATCACGTGACCGTGGGGACGCCAAAACGGTCATACATGCAAGAACCGGTCGTAAATCACTTTTTTTAGTGCCTTTGTAAGTTCAAACAGTTACTAAATGAAGTCGAGGACTACCTGTATCGTGTGTGTGTGTGTGTGTGTGTGTGTGTGTGTGTGTGTGTGTGTGTGTACACATCCAGGATCAGCCAACTTCAGTCAGTGAAAGGAATTTTAATTTCTTTTATGCATGAGACCAATCAAGGTGAGGGATCTGAGAATTCCTAAACGATGTACAACTGTAATTCCTAGCATCCTAGGCTCTGTGAAATGTAGTTCCATTGGAAGGATTGGATCTTATCATTCCTGAAAGAACCATTCTGGATATCAGATACAGACTTGACCGTGAGAAGGAGATTTCAAGCACTGTTTTTCTAATATATCAAAAGTTTAACAGATCTTGTTTTTCCTCTCCTCCTGGGTTTTCTGTTAATGGTTGCTGGTCAATTTCCAGAGAACATCATGAACTACAAATCATTTTTTTTTTATCAGATTTATTTTCAAGCAACCTGTGCAATACAAATGGGGCATTCCAATTGCCATTTTAGCTCTAATGATGAGAAAATTCCATCTCATAAATCTCTAGTTTGGTTTAGAAACTACAATTCCCATAGTTCCCTGGGCTGAACGAATCGCTAATATCCATGTTAAGGTCATAGTAAAAAATGCCCATGGAAGCCTCCAAGGAAGAAGTAGGTTATATTGCTCACTCTTCATCCAAATACTATTCAGATGGTTAGGGGTACATTTTAAAGCCCTTTCAGAACCGCAAGCACATAAATCACAGCAATAAATAAACTTTTAGCATCCCAAGAGTGGCCATGCTGGTTAGATATGAAACCTGGTTAGATATGGGACCCTGGAGGAAAAGGTTGCATGCATGCAGGGCTGAAAATGCAACAACTACAGTTTTAGGAAGACTGAGGACAGCTTTGCCCACCAGAGTTGCAGTTCAACATGGACCAAGTTGGAAGGCTCCCAACCGGCTGCTTCTAAGAAGGACTTGCACCAGCATGATCCAACAGGAGTAATAAAAAAAAAATAGTTGTGAAGCAAAGGAATGATCAAGGAGATGCCATAACGATTTCTGCCCGACTCAGCATGCCCTCATTTACCACTCTAGTGGCTTACCCGATGTTTGAACTTGTTGGAGCTTTTATTTTCCTTCTTGTTCAGATCGATGAAGTAGTGGGTGACCCTATCCACGTCTCCAACATCCATGGACCAAGAAATTCGGAAGGAGTCACAGGTGATATTGTTGATCTCGATGCTGTGCGGGGTGGACAACAGCTCCATGATCCGACCAATTTGGCTCCTACAGTTGTGACAGTGAAGAGAGAGTTATCCAGAAGGCTAGGTTTATAGCAACCTGTCAGGCCTAGCCCCAAGCAAGACATAGAACAATCCAGCCAGTTCAGTTCTTTCTTCAACCTAGAACTAAGGAGAAATTAACCTAGAGCTAAGAAGTTTCCTGAAGGTGAGAACAATGACCAGTGGAACAGTTTGCCTTCGGAAGTCGTGGGTGCCCCATCACTGGAGGCTTTCAAGAAAAACAGGACAGCCATTTGTCTGAAATGGTATAGGGTCTCCTGCTTAAGCAAGGGGTTGGATTAGATCATCTGCAAGTTCTCTTCCAACTCTGTTATTCTATGTTATCCTTTGTTCGCACCATATAGACAGAATCTTGCCAGATTAAACCTATACTATTGTATCCCTAATGGAATTACCCAGGGCTTTTTTTTGGTCATAGAATGCCCAGAACGGAGTTCCAGCACCTTTTTTGGATGGAACTTTGCAGGGTAGGCAAGACGGGTTGTATGATGTGTGTGAGTCCTGGCACCTTTTTTTTTTTTTTTTTTTTACAAAAAAAAGCACTGGATATACCCTAGGACAGGGGTGTCAAACTCAATTTCACTGAGGGCTGCATCAGCATTGCGGTTGCCCTCAGGGGGCTGGGTGGGTGCAGCCTACTGGGTGGGCGTGGATGGAGTGGGTATGGCCTACTGGGTGGACATGGCCAGCTCTACATCGTTCGCGTCAAGGGTGCCTGTGGGGGCCTGGGCAGGAGTAGGACAGATCTGAGGGTCTCTGGCAGAGGGGGTGGCAAAAATTCAAAAATTTAGCTCAGTAGCTAAGTGCCTTCAGTTCTTGTAGGCTGAAATGATGGGGAGAGGGATGAAAACACAACTGCCTGTAATTCTGCCCTCCCTGGAATTCAACCACTGCTTCTGAAACCCTTCAAATCTAATCCACGAAGCCAGCTTTGCAATGATACCAGTCCATAATTGCTATCTATTTGCTCCTGGGCTGAATTAATGCACTCTGAGACCCAGAGTTGCCTGAAAAACAGGTGCCACCACCTCCATACATTGACAGAGCAGATGCTTCGAGGTGGAGTCACGGCAAACATGAGCCTTGACAGGAAGAGGCATATTTTCAGTTTGAAGCCTAGGCAAAATAATCAAGAGGTGTTTTGCACTTAAGCATGTAAAGCATGTGAGGGAAGCTACAGGATCCTATCTAGTTTTCTGGGAACACTGAATTAACTGTTTCTTGTAACATTCTTAGGAAAGCAACATGGGGACTCTTGTTTCTATCACGTAGATAGCAATTTGACTTTTATCTTTGTGCAAAAAAAAAGGAAACCATTTTACTAGACGGCACAGCTTTAGTTAAAGTATTTTATTACACATGTATATTGCACATGTGAAAGCTGCAGCTGGCATGCAGATAACGTGCATTTGTACAATTGGGTGGAATACATCTCATCTATGCATATTGTATGGGAGTGGAACAATAAGCAAGGTGTGTATTTGGAACTTTGAGAACGTAGTAATGAGGTGTGTATTTGGAACTTTGAGAATGTAGTAAGGAGGTCTTTTTGACAAGAATGGGTTTGAGAGAAATCCATAAAGCAGCAATTTAAAGGAGAGTATTCTTCATATAGGGGCGCGATGGCTCAGCGGTTAAAGACATGGACCTTGTCAGTTGGTGAGCTGATGAGCCATGTTCGAGACCCAAGCTCTATGCAACAGGTGAGCTCCCGTCACTTGCTCCAGCTCCTGTCAACCTAGCAGTTTGAAAGGATGCACATGCGAGTAGATAAATAGGTACCACTTTGGTAGGGAGGTAAAAGCCTTCCATGCACCTTGGCGTATAGTCAGGCTGGCCACATGACCTTGGAAATGTCTTTGGACAATGCTGGCTCCCTCAGTTAAGAAACGGAGAGGAGCATCGTGCCCTAGAGTTGGACACAGTTGGACAGGGGAAATCTTTACCTTTTGTTCTTCATATGGGCATTTTAATTCTGGAATTATTTCCTTTCTACACAACTTTAGTTGACCTCCCAATTTTTTTTGCCCTCAAGACGGTCTACTTCCATATCAGGTCTTTAGTAGAATCTTTGTTTTTATATGGCTTCTCAAGTTTTGTTGTTACTTTATACCTTTTTTGTGTCCAGCCTTAAGGTTTCAAACACCTGCAATTCCACCTAGCTTTATTGCTTATATTCTATTTTTAATCCCTGCCGTTTGACGATTTTATAACAAGAAAAAAAAAGAGAGAGGCAACTCCTGCAGTTTAATTACCAACCAAACCAGCTGCCTTCTCAAAGAAGGAAATCAAGTTCAGCGTGATTTGCCTGAAGTAATCTCTGTTGGCTGCTTGTAATTATCCAATTGTCTTCTATGTGCTTACAAATGGATTGCTTTATGATTTATTTGAATCATTTGCCAAGGGTGGAACTTGATTAGCAACAATGTATGGATGTAGCTGTGTGCGTGTCCACCCACGTTCCCAGCCTTGCCAAATGAAATGGAGTCTTAGTAAGGCTGTTTTCGGGGTGGGGAAAGGAGCAAAGGGCTAGGTATTAACCTGGAGAGTTGATGCTGTCACATTGACTGCTACGATTGCCAAGCAAGCAGGAAAATGCAGACAGAATTGCTTTTTAACGCTGCCATCTGCAACTCTTTCCCACTGATGTACTTTGGATTTGTTCGGTTGGTTGCATGTTGTTGTTGTTGTTGGTTTGTAAAAGATGGGGGGGGGATGAAATAGCGACAGGGATTTCTAGCACTCGTAATGTACTGTAAGAGTAATTTTGAGGAACAGGAGGAAGAGCTACAAGCAAAATAATGTCAGATAAGGGCAATCTGAGGCCCAAAGCAGAAAAGTAATTTGGGAAAATGCTGCAGACTTGACCCAGCCCAGTTCTCCTGTAGATAAAGGAAGGCGGGGGGGGGGAGATTCTTTCAAACTTACAAAATTCTGTTACTATAAGCGTCTAATAAAATTAATTTTAGTATTGACAACTTTGGTTTCCAAGTCTGGCCAATCTTAAAGGAAGAACAGGACTGGAAAAGCAAAGAGTCTCCTAAATCAACAGTGTGAAGAAAGTTAAGGCCAGAAGCCAGGAGACCAAAATCAGATATGGATTGCAAGGAGATCAAACCGGTCAGTCATAGAGGAGATCAACCCTGACTGCTCTTTAGAAGGCCAGATCCTGAAGTTGAAACTCAAGTACTTTGGCCACCTAATGAGAAGGAACGACTCACTGGAGAAGAGCCTAATGCTTGGAAAGATTGAGGGCAAGAGAATTTTGATCATGTGACCATAGGAATGCTGCAGTAGTCCTAAGTGCGAGGACTCGTTGTAAGCAGTGGCGGGATTCAGCCAGTTTGTACCACTTCGGCAGAACTGGTAGCTAATTTTTGGTTGCCCAGGTCCAGAACGGACTTCCGGAAGCGGCATCCATGCAGAGAACCAGTTGTTCCCATATTTGAATCCCACCACTGGTTGTAAGCCACTTTTTTCGGTGCTGCTGAAAACAAAGGAGTGTGATCTAATCCAAGTGGGAAAAAATTTACAAGAAATACTAGATTTGGAAAAGAAATGTTCTATTCTGTATCGTGGATGGCACTTTTGACAAGCAGTTTGCTCCAATCTAAATTTCTGTGTTGCAACATGGCAAATCAGCATTTTTTTAGATGTTCCTGCCACATGGATGAATACAGCAGAGCCAATTATGGAGAATGTAAAGCAACACTTGTGAATGGTGGAAGGTGGGTGTTTTTTTAAATACATATACATTGGATCTTGGGATTCAGACAAATTCACGAAGCAACCTTGGGCAACTATCTTTCAGATACAATATAGGTAGCCCTCAACTTACAACAATTAAGCTCAACATTTCTGTTGCTAAGCAAGACAGTTGTTAAGAGAGTCTTGTCCTATTTTATGACCTTTCTTGCCACAGTTGTTAAGTGAATCACTGCAGTTGTTAAATTAGTAAGTGAATCTGATTTTCCCCATTGACTTGGCTTATTGCAAAAGGGAATTATGTGACTTAGGAACGTCACAACCATCCGAAATATGAGTCAATTGCCAAGTATCTGAATTTTGATCGCCTGATCGTGGGGATGCTGCAAAGATCATAGGTGTGAAAAACGATCACAAGTCACTTTTTCCAGCACCGTTGTAACTTCAAATGAACTGCTGCAAGTCAAGGACTGCTTCTACGTTGAGCTATATAAGGGGAATAATCGTCTTACCCCTCCAGGTTTTGCAGAGAAAATATTTTTTATAAAGCCACTGTTATGTTCTAGCAAACGTAGGAGTTTGGGACATAACAGTCCCTTAACGGACGTAAGCCAATAAAGTGGCAATGTTTCTCAGCCACTGAATTTTCATGGCAGGATTAGCTGGCCTCACTAGCTAATTTCTGCCTGTCGCAGTGCTGCTAATGGCACAGGAATCCCGTTGGGTTTGCTAGGCACCTATCATGCCAACAGCGGTTAATCCTCCTCGCAGAATACTACATAACGATAAAGGAAGTAATCTCATTAGTCTGGAGGCAAGCTTAAAAGGTGAAAAGCTACCAAAGAGAAGTTAAAAAATAGAAGCCTTTTATTTGCTCTTTAGAAACAAGAGCTCGGGAATGCTAATACGATGAAGCTCTTCCCCCTTCTGAAGTAGAATGAAGTAGTGAAGCTCAGAACAACAAACATAGAATCGTATGGGCTGGAAGGGACCCCCAAGGTCTTCTAGTCCAACCCCCTGCTCAGGCAGGAGATCTTATACCATCCTGGTCAAATGGTTATCCCGTCTATTTTTGAAGACCTCCAGTGATGGAGCCCCCACAACTCTGGAAGGCAACCTATTCCACTGAATAATTGTTCTCCCTCTCCGAAAATTTCTCCTTACTTCTAGGGTGAATCTCTCTTTAACAAGCTTCCACCCTTTACTTTTTATCCTGTTGTCTAGTGTTTTGGAGAATGTCGACCCCCCCCTCTTCTCTGTGACAGCCCTTCAAGTACTGGAAGACAGTTATCATGTTGCTCCTAATCCTTCTCTTCAATAGACTAGATCAGATCATGCTGGCTCAGGAATTCTGGGAGTTGAAATCCACGAGTCATAAAAGAGCCAAGGTTGTCTACCCCTGGACTAGATATACCTAGTTCCCTCAATCGTTCATCCAGATCTTACTACCTCTGTTGTTCTTTTCCAAAAGTTTCATAAGCTTTTTTGTATTTTTTCCAATTTTTGGCAAGTGTCTGCTGTATTAATTTCTTCGACTTTCTCTTTAACTTGCAGCAGTGCTTGTGGGTTTGACGTTGCCTGACAGAAGTAGTTTTGCGGGACTGCATAATGGGGTGAGGAATGTAATAAGGGTGAGTAGAGAGCCCTTGGAAGCTGAAGAAGTTAAATAATAGCTGAAGAGGGCAAGATTTAATCTTATCTCTACCTTGAATGCTCTGAGAAAGGACACTGTGTTCTCTAGCTTCTACAGCTGGATTCTCAATCACAATACTCAACACTTGACAGCTAGTTTTAACAAACTGTTCCACAGAAAAATGAAGCCAAGGTGACACCTGGCACCCAGATTAAGGGCTCTTTCACAAAGCAGCTTAAACTGCTGCCTCCTGCGTTGAAAGTGACTGGAAGAAAGCAGTCTTAAGAAATCCCTATCTGGATTTCAACCCTTTCTTCAGCTTTGGCAATGAAGTCGGTCAGGTGTTCATTCCAGGCTGTGATCACCATGGGCTCCGACTGGTAAATTCCTTGCTTCCTTATCCCTTCCTTATCCCTTCCCATTCTTTTTGGTGGGGGGGGGGACTCTGAGGATATACTGTTTCCATTAACAGACTTTTTTGTATGAGCACCTTCCGTTGACCCAATGTGACACCTTGCTTATTCTTGTCCACTGCATCTTCCAGTGACCCCAGTGGGATGGGAGGAAACCACTGTTTTGCTACTCTTACCGTCATGCTGTAATTATATGTGGGAAAGACCTTGGGAAATGGGGTGAGGAGATGCTCCGTAGGGAACTGTCAGATAAGAGACAGCATAGCCTGTGGCTGGATAATGGGTTGGGCAAGAGGCTCAGAAGGGACCCTCCCTAGTTCCTTGGGCTGTACAGGAGATGGCGGGGAAAAATGTAGTAGTTTCAGACTTGTAAAACTGATTTCAGCCTTCAGGGTAGACCAGACAGGAAATAAAACCCGATAAGCTAATTAGATTTATTGTAAAGCTACATTATCAGAAACATGCAAGTCTAAGAGTACAATTCTGATCTGCCATAACAACTAGAACCTTTACATTCCTACATAGTTTACCCCAACTCCAATCCCTGCTGAAGAAGACCTCTTATCCTTGATGGACTTCCTTAAACCATCTAGATGCCCAGTGTATGAGGCCGGACCTGATCAGTTAAGCTTCGGTCTGATCTTGTAGGACTTTCGTATGAAGTTCAGTGATTGGGACAAATATTGCATTAACAGGGAAAATCCTTCTAGATCAGGTCAATGAGTCTGGATTCCATGGCTGTCCAAGAACCTGGAGAACACCTGCTGGTCAGAACTAACAATGCCGGAGTAAATAATGGCCTTATGGACCCAGAGTAGCTTTTTCTGTTCATCAAAGACCTTAAGGAAATGGAAACTTAAATTCAATACTGTTCCCCTGTTATTCAACATAAATGAAGGCAGAGACAGGCCCTTTCCATTCCAGCGGAACGTAACCTAGGCTGTAGGCCTACGACGCAGGTTGGAGGAAAGCAAGAGGCGAATCTGGTTCAGGGAAGTGACTTCAAAATTACAATCACAGCAATGAAGGAAGCATTCAGCCACCATCCATCCCAACAGGCAGATTGCCATTTGATTACTCTGGCTCTAAAGACAACATTATTTCAACCAGAGGGACTGATCCGATGGGTGAGGCTCCTATTTGAAGAAGACAAGCCTGTCCGCCCCTTGGCTTTAAGGGGAGAGGCTTCTGGTGAGTAATTTCCCAGGGTAAAGTTCCTTCTCCTTTCCTTTGCTTTTCTAGCTTAACTGTGGAGTTGTAGATGTGGTGCAGCTTGGACCACATTCCTGACATCCAGTCCCAAACAATTTACTTGATGAGAGCAGGAAAGGAAAATTGCAATGAGATGCCTGGAGGCAAGATGAGAAAGAATGGATGGAAGCTAATCAAGGAAAGAAACAACCAGGAATTAAGGAGAAACTTCCTGACAGCGAGGACAAATCAGCATAACCGACTGTCTTTTGCCTGTTCCCATGAATATTGCAAGGATGTAATTGTTCTGTTATCAGGAATCCTAAAGGAATCCTGAAAATTATAATTAGATTATGACGTTGGTTATTATTGCTGAAAGAGCCATAACCCATTCACTCAATTACGGCGGTCCTGGACTTAGAACATTTTGTTTAGTGACCATTCAAAATTACAATGACATTGGAAAAAGGGCTTACGACCATTTTTCACACTTACGACCGTTGCAGCATTCCCCACGGTCATGTGATCGAAATTCAGACGCTTGGCAACGGACTCGTATTTATGACATCTGCAGTGTCCTGGGGTCATGCGATCCCCTTTTGCAAACTTCTGACGAGCAAAATTAATGGGAGAATCCAGATTCACTCGACTGTGTTAATAACTTAACAACTGCTGAGCTGCTCTCTACCTTTTAAATCAAAGAAAATCAAGGCAGGCCAGTCTTGAGTTTCTTTTTAACTCTCCCTTTCAGGGCCAAGTCGGTATTTACCTAAGGGCTATCAAAACCCTCTTTCAAGACCATGTCCACATTCCTCTACAGCTCCTGACGGTTATCACCCAAGTCCACCAAAGAATCTCCACCAATCCAGGGGCTGCCCCAAAGAAGAAGGAGTCAAGCTATTCTCCAAAGCGCCTGAAGGCAGGACAAGAAGCAATGGATGGAAACTGATGAAGGAGAGAAGCAACCTAGAACTAAGGAGAAACTTCCTGAGAGTTAGAACAATTAATCAATGGAACAACCTGCCTCCAGAAGCAGTAAATGCTCCAACACTGGAAGTTTTTAAGAAGAGACTGGACAGCCATTTGTCCAAATTGGTATAGGGTTTCCTGCCTGAGCAGGGAGTTGGACTTGATGACCTCCAAGGTCTCTTCCATCATCATCATCATCATCATCATCATCATTATTATTATTATATCCCCAGAAGTGATGTGGGCCACCATCACTTCACCTGTTAAGTACTTGTTCCACTGCTATCTTGGCTCTAATTGCATCCATGATTCTGTAACTTCGTTGTGTTCATCTCCCATATTCCTGAGTCAAAATACTGCCAATTATTTCCTTATAGGTTCAGCTTTTCTCTTTCAACTTTCTCCTCTTTTCCTCTCCTCCTCTCATGAATAACCACTCCTGCAGCAGGATTACAGCTCTTTCATGTCAAATGGTTTCCTCTTGTGACAGAATTCAACTGATTGGAACTTAAACCTCCACTGGTCTAATAAATCCATCAGAGGATTTCTCCTTTTGTGATAGCAGCTAAGCTGCAAAAGGAAAAACATCTGCCTTCACAGAGAGCTAAACAAAGTCTTATCTGGCTCTCCCAGGCCCATCTTTAAGCAAAAGAATTCCAGAGCTCCGTGTGTTTAATGGAAAAGATGGAACAATTGGATGGATCAGATAATCAGCAAGAAACAGATTGCTTGAGGAGCAAAAGTGTAATAATAATAATCTGTCAGCAACTTCCATAATCATAGCCTTCCAGCTGTAGCAAGCTTTCCAGCTGTTGAAACACCGAGAGGTTAAAAATCCATATAATCAAAATCGGGGATATAAAAGGAAATGGAAAGGGGACTGTTACTTATCTGAAAATACAATGAAAAAGAAGCAATGTTGTTTCAGGGTCTTGCTGAAGCTAAGCAATTCTGGATCGGATGACTTACCTATGTCCATCCTCTAGAACAGGAGTGTCCAACCTGGGAAATTCTGGAAGTTGAAGTCCACAAGTCCATAAGTTGCCATGGTTGAACACCCCTGCTCTAGAGCCTGATGGAAGTCACTTGAGATGAACAATGCAATACAAAAGGACTGCTTTGAGGGACCTGAAGGATTTATGAGACTGACTTCAACACAGCTGGAGACCACATGGAGGAAAGTTATCCTAAGTGCGCAAAAGTACCTGCCCCAAAACAAAACAAATAAATCTCATACCTTTAGGAAAAAAAGCAATCGTCGTTAAGAGAGGAGAAAAAATTCCGCTCAATGAGAACGGAGTGTTCCCGGATACAAAATCCTGAGTATCTGTTGAGGGGGAAGCAGAAAAACAAGAGCAGCAGAATAACCTGAAAAGGGATGTGGCTGGCTAATCAGAATGCCAACACAAACATGCTTCTCGCGCTGTTTTGTTGAAAAATGCTTGCCACCTCACATTTGTTAGACTTTCTAAGGAGCAACAGGTATATGGTTTGTTGTTTGTCCACAAGCAAAGTGGCATTTATTCATTACTCCTAAGCTTCGTTGGGCAATGCATAGTTAAAGCATGGAGAATTTTGAAAAAACAACTCTAAAATTCCTCTAACTCAAATAAAATGCTACATAATAAAGCAACCAATTTCAAGGCAATCTAAAAATATCGCAGAGGTTAAATGAACTTACGCACACAATGCTGCAGCAGCAACGCACATTGGATTAAAAGAAAGACAACGTGAAAAGAGCTTTGATACTTCCAGACGGATATTCTAGAACTGAATGGCTACTATTAAAAAGACGTGCAGCGCTTAGCATTACATCTAACAGTATGAACAAGAAGCATGTTTGTTTTTCCTCTGTCATGGAGCCAGTGGATAGTTTGAAGATATGCTGCCTCTGCCCTGAAAGCTATAAACAGATTACGACTTTTGGCCTCTCCTCTTGATCTATTCAAGCTTTCTAGCCATTGATTTCTGGAAGATGTTCAGAATCAAAATGTCTCCTTTCTACAAGATATTTGCTTGGTTACAGAGGAGCAACTAGGATGAGTTTATTCTGCTTATCCTTTCGATCACACAGTTATTTCCAGATGTAGCGTCAAATTCTATGGTATTAGACTGGATCAGATCCCTGCCCCACCTAGTCCAGCAGTCTGCTCTCACAGGGATTGTATAAGGGGTTTCCCAGCAGATGGCTTCAGAGACAGTCCCACTGCCATTAAGGCTAATAGCCAATCACTCCCAAGACTTCCATCTCTTCCATTTTTCGAAGCTAGCCAAGCTGATAGCCTACCACATCCAGCTTGTTTTCTTAGCAGCACTATGGAAGTGATTTGCAACTGTCTTCTTCTGGGATGGTTTTCAACTTCTCAGTCTAGTTTACCATCTTGAGATTTCTAAGTGGTCTCCAATCCAAGTTCAACAGGTCCAACCCTATTTAGCTTTTCAAAATCAGACAAGTCAGCTAGATGTTGCCACGTAGCTGAACTATTTTTTGGCTTACCTCGCTCTAGCTAGTGAATTAGTAATTTCAGGCAATTCCTTTGCGTATTTCCCTGTATTGGATGCGATCACAGTTTGGAATCCTTGACAACGAGCTCCCATCAAGAACAACTGCAGGATCCTGAGATCAAATGATCACAATCTGCAATCTTTGCTCCCAACTTCTAGCAAAAAAAAAAAAAAAAAAGGCTTGGTAGGGAAGTTGGATTCACTTTAGCAACCACGTGATTGACGAAACAACCGCCAAAAATATTGTAAAACTAGGTCTGACTCCACTGACGACATCGACTGATGACAAAAATTCTAGCCCCAAATATGGGCATAATTGAGGACTACTTGGATAGCAGCTGGTTTTAAATCTATAACCTCTAAGTTACCAAGGAATCGCTTGCTGAACTAAAATGTGTAGCGGTACTACCCCTGTGGATAATGGAAAAAAACATGATGCTACAAAATGTATTTCAAAAAATACGCTAAATCAGTATATCTAGGTTAAATATCATTGCCTGCATAAATGTCCAAATCTTTCATGCTTATAAGTGAATACCACTTGGAAGTCAACTTCCTCAGAAGCAATTAATTAGGCTAAATGAGAACTTAAAAACCTAGCAAAGGCAATCCTGAGGCACCAGGAACCAGCCCTGAAATCTTAGCAGAGTTGTCTTCTACGGTTCCTGACCAAGCACCTTTGGAGTTAGATCTGGGACAGCCACGGGCCATAAAAGTACAGCCATCTCTGAACTGAGCATCAGAAGGCGGACAGATGGAGACTTCCATGTTGCTTGGTGAAGCACCCTCAAAAGAGTGGCCTGCAGAATAGACTCTTGCTTCCCAATAGACAGCAGTGTAAACCTGCCTGAGGAACTTCATCTGAACCTGAGTAGGACATCCAGAGTTTCTGCGATAAAAGCCTCAGCCAACCTCCTTCCACAGCTGCAATATTTCTTGAGTTCCGATGCTCTGAATGTTTTGACTTCTGCAACACCAGACATCTTTATCATCCCACGCTAATCAAATAGCTGATGTGTACCCTTGAAAAACTCTCCCTAATGGTTAGTCAGAATTGATTTAAATTCCAATTGGTATCTTCTTCCTTCGGATGTCACACAAAAACCACAGCAGCAAATGCTATCAAATATTTGTGTGGTCCTTTTGGTGTCCCACGCCCTCAGAGCTGACACCAGTCAGAGCATAGAACAACTCAAAGCAGTGCAAGATCAGAAGCCATGGAGCAGGGATCCTCAAACTTGTCCACTTTAAGACTTGTGGACTTCAACTCCCAGGATTCCCCAGCCAGAATTCCCCAGCATGGCTGGCTGGGGAATTCTGAGAGCTGAAGTCCACAAGTCTTAAAGTGGACAAGTTTGAGGACCCCTGCCATGGAGAGACCTGGCCCATAGAATCACCAAGAGTCAGACATGACTGAATGTATATTGTCATCGCCATCATCACCCAGTGTCCCAAACCTCCTAATTCCAAAACTCATTTTTATCCGAGAGAAAGGCTCATAGCTTTGATTCTCTCTGCGTGTATGCTTTCTTGAAACCTCTATCATATGTCCCTCTTCGCCATCTCTTTTCCACCCAGGAAACCTTCCCAGTTTGGATATCTTCCAGAAGTTCTGAAACTTCTATTATGTGTCCTTCTTCATCATCTCTTTTCCACCCAGAAAACCTTCCCAGTTTGGATATCTTCCAGATGTTCTGAAACCTCTATTGTGTGTCCTTCTTGGTCATCTCTTTTCCACCCAGGAAACCTTCCCAGTTTGGATATCTTCCAGAAGTTCTGAATTCCATCTCTCCTTGCCCCAAAACCTGCTGCCTAGGAATGACGAGACTTTCCGGTTCTACCTATCTGAAGGAAAACCTTGAGTCAGGATTGATGTTCTGCAAAGCCATTCAATGTCTGGGCCTTTCTGTGCACCTTTGGTAGCTTGACCAACCAGCTTACAGACATCCCTCTGCTCTCAGAGGAAGAAATCAGATTCCAAACAGATGACCCAAATTAGCATGCCAACGTGAAGATCAGCAGAATACATGGGGAAGGCTCTGAAGAGGAAATTAAAAAAAAAAATGCTCTGAGAGCTATTGCAAAAGGAACTCAAGGTGAAAAAAATAAGAAAAGGGATGTGCAAAGGCAGCTCTGGTTGATGGACGGACTTATTCTCCTTTGTTTTCTTTGGGGGTGGGGGATATTGCTCCTGCCCAGGGCCCCTCCCAAATGACATTCCTGCCCTTCCCCACCAACACGTCTGCACAGCGGTTAAGCCGCTCCCTTGCCAGGGTGCTGAGCCAAACCGGAGAGGTACAAGGCGGTGGGGGGGGGGGGAGAGAGAAGCAAAAGAAATAAGCTTCTGCCACAGCAAGCTGTTGTATTCATACCACCTCCCTGGATGGTCAGGAAAAGCAGGTTGAAGTGTCCCTGCCAAGAGACGGTGCCAAAAAAAAAACAGACTGATTCAGATCCTCAGCAGCAGGCAGCCCACCAGCAAGCCCACACAGCCGCCTGCTTCCCATTCGCTCACGTGTGCCCAAATGCCGACATTCCTGACTGTCACGTGGAGTGGCACAGCTCCCCCACCCCCGGCAGGCAGTCCTCCCTTTAGATATCAAAACCAGGCAGGCATGCGCACACATACGTGTGTGCACGCGTCCAGGTGTCCTCAAGGGTTTTCTCCCAAGTCGCAGGCAGAAACATCTGGATCTTCAACTGCCCCCCCCCCTTTTGGCTGCTTTCAAGAAAGTCTCTTTTGCAAATACTCTGTTTGCCAGAGTCGAGTGCACCACCAGGACATCGATACCCGCCTCCAGACAAAATCTAGAACGCTTCCCAAAGCCTATCTATCTATCTATCTATCTATCTATCTATCTATCTATCTATCTATCTATCTATCTATCTTCTCTCTCTCTATCATCTATCTATCATCTATCTATCATCTATATCTCTCTCTATTATCTATCTATCATCTATCATCATCTATCATCCATATATCTCTATCTATCTATCTATCTATCATCTATATCTCTCTCTAATATCTATCTATCTATCTATCTATCTATCTATCTATCTATCACCTCTCTCTATCATCATCTATCATCCCTATCATCTATCTATCTATCTATCTATCTATCTATCTATCTATCTATCTATCTATCTATCTATCTATCTATCTATCATCATCATCTATCATCCATCTCTCTATTTCTCTATCATCTATTATCTATTCATATCTATCTATCTATCTATCTATCTATCTATCTATCTATCTATCTATATATCACCTCTCTCTCTCTATCCCCCCCTCTATCTATCAATCATATGACACGTTTATATCACATTTCGGTAAAGACACAAGAGATAAAAATACAAAATATGAAATATAAAACCTAAAGGATTATAAGCATATGCCTAGTTTTCAAATATATACATTTTTGCTTCATTTGTCACAGCCAGGAAATCAGCAAAGTCTCCATTATAGGCTCTGTTTGGACCAGTCACCCATTCTCAGACCAACCCATGTCAAAAGCTTGTCGTTGTGGGGAAAAGAGGAGGAAGGAGGACTATTAGGTATGTTTCCTGGGTTTATTTATAAAAATAATAAAGGCGGAATATAAACACAATAAATGAAAACAGAAGATTCCCTGAAATATATCTGAAAAACAGCTTAAGCAAGCGAACCACATGGAGGAACCGGTTCAAAGGCAACGCCCCGTTCTCCAAAGCCATCTGTAGCACATTTTTGTGGATTGGGGCTGCTCCCCCAACCCTGGAAGAATAACGGCCCCTTTGGACATATAGCTGATTCAGTAAAAGTCAAGATTTCTCTGTTCCTTGTGGAGATACCATGGTTTACTGTGCAATGGCTGCTTCTTCAGGTCCACCTCCATAGTGCAACTTGAATGTTCTCACCTCATCCTCAGAAGTGATGGTAAAAATAAAATCGGGATTTGGAAAGAAGCAAATCACCTGTTTAGAGGTGATTAAACAGGAGGACTTCCCCAGTTCTGACTTCACTTTCACGGCATGCCTGTGGCAGGAATCTGTATGGATTAAGTCCAACGCGCCTCCAGGTTGGCAGATTTGAGAAGGCTGGTGTGAAGGTTTACAGAATTGCAGAATAACAGAGTTGGAAGGGATCCTGAAGGTCTTCTAGTCCAACCCCCTGCTCAAGCAAGAGACTTTACACCATTATGAACTAATGGCTGTCCACAGATCCTTTCCACTGATTAATTGTTCTCACTGACAGGACATTTCTCCTTAGTTCTACACTGGATCTCTCTCGATTCAATAAGCTTTAAATCTGGGTTGCTGATCCCTAGTCTGGAAACAATTCAGGAACTCTAAGGAATTGGGAAGACTTGCAGTGAGATTCCTCTCTACCCAGACATGTGTCAGTTTGGACAGACTATCAAATGTTTTGATTATGAGCCATAATATTGACTTGTGTATTGCAGTGGTTGGATGGAATGTGTCTTTATTTGTTAGTGGAGTCTGTAAGAAAGGATAAAAGAGATGGAAGGGCAATGATATATTGTAGAGCAAGAAAGAAAAAATACAAAAAGGTAGTCGTGATGGTTTAAAACAGAAGTCCCCAATCTTTTGGGCGCCAGGGAACGGTTCCATCGAGAGAGGTTTTTCCACGGACCTACAAAGCGGATGAGGCTTTGCTTGTTTGTGTGGACCGGTTGCTGGCATGTCGCAGCTAGGTACCAGTCCATGGACTGGGGGTTGGGAACCCCTGGTTTAAAATGAAGGCAATAAAGCCTGTGAAAGAAAAGAGGCTGGACATATTTCAAATTGCAGATGCAAATGACTGTAGAATAGGTTGGTCCTGTCTCTTTCTGTCTCTTCTTTCTCCTTAAACAAATTGTGCATTATAAGCCCTGGAGCAAAACTGTACACAATTGCCTGCCCTAAATTATCTTCATCATGATCTCTTCTGGCAAAGTCTTCACAAGGCTATGAAATATACATTCAAAAATATACATTCAAACAGAGGCTCTGGAAGTACACCAAAAGAAATCTGAAGTGTATTCAAAAATGAACATTTAACCACTCTTGAACCTATGCATCTAGATATACGTTGTTGTTGTTGTTCAGTTGGTAAGCCATGCTTGACTCCTCAGGACCCCAAGGACCACAGCATGCCAGGCACCCTTGTCCTCCAATGTCTCCCTGAATTTACCCAAATTCACGTTTGTTGCATTGATGACACAATCTAACCATCTCATCCTCTGCTATTCCTTTCTCTTTTTTGCGACATAAACATATATTCCTATGAACGTTCTTTACCTCAGGGGTTTGCAACCTTGACAACTTTAAGCCTTGTGGACTTCAGCTTCCAGAATTCCTCAGCCAGCCTAGCTTAAATTTGTCAAAGGTTGCAGACCCCTGCTTTACCTGAGATCAAACAAATATCAGAGCCAATCTGGGTTTTTCACTTAATTTCACTTACATGTCTGATTGTTCGTATGCATGCAACTTGATTCAACGGTTAGTATGTGACTGTTCTGAGTGACAGGTTGGCAGGTCCTGGAAGAAAAGGAGCTGGCCTGGGATTGTGGCAGTGTGTGGCAAAGTGTGTCCCAACTAACAAAGAGGGAAAATGTCCAGTACTGATTTCCCCCTCCTATAATTTTTCACTAATTGACGCTATTCAGATGTCTTCTTGCTGCCTTCATCTGTACATTATAAAATATACAATGACAAATATGCTGGTGTTGATTTGCACATCTCTACCCCGGGCCAAGCCAGAGAACCTGTGGAAGTCTTTGGAGGCTGTTAAATTACTGAAGCAAAATTTCCTTCAGCTCCAGAAATATAAAACCTGCTGTAGCCCTAAATATACGCCTGCAATTCAGCAGTGTCTAGCTAGATGGCAGCACCAAGCCAATGTTGGTTGATGACAACCAGCCCATCAGAATGTGGGATGAGAGACCACCAGAAAATAACACAGCTGCAGATTAAGTCTGGAAGAAGGGAATAGCCATACATTTCCACTCCATTGCCAATAAAACTAGGCAGATCTATTGATGAAGACTCTGTCAGACTATTTCTGATGGTTTTCTGGCCAACTAGTAAGATCGGTGGAGCACGGCACGTTCCTTCGGTCAAAAAATACCAACTATCAGGAGCCAGGAAGGGTGCCTTCTAAGCCTCAGCATCTGCCTTCTGGAATTATATTCCCCAGAGATTTGTGTCACCTTCATCCTGATGGTATTCTGGAAGGATTTAAAGACCCATGAGTTCTGCAGACCCTAGGGTGGGATTTAGGGAGAGCCTGTAGGTCAGTGGTTCTCAACCTGTGGGTCGGGACCCCATTTGGGGTCGAACAACCATTTCACAGGGGTCGCCAAACAACGCAGTCCACCATTTCTCCCCCCCCCCTTTTCCTTAGCTGTGCTACTCCCTTTTATTCTATTGGCTTTCAAAAGTCAATAGGAATTGTCCAGGCTGTCTCTGCCCTGCTGAGCCCGCCAAAAGTCCCATTCTGCAAACGGTGCTGCACCAGTTGAGTAGTCCTCGATTTACGTCCGGTTGAGTAGTCCTCGACTTACGACAGGTTGGGGGTCGCAGCATTAAAAAGGTTGAGAACCACTGCTGTAGGTGATGTGTTTCTTATTAAAGAAAGTGAGTTTGTCCAGCCACATAGGATTTCCTTGCTGTTTTTCATTGTTTTCTTTACTTGATGTCAGCCACATTTGAAACATTTGAAAGTTGGACAGCTTCTAAGTCTCAGAAATAGGTAAATAAGTAAATGAGTACTCTAGGGCACAGCTCCCCAACCTTTTGGGCACCAGGGACCAGTTCCATGGAGAAAGGTTTTTCCACGGACCAGAGAGTGCGTGGTTTTGTGTGCTGCCTGCATCCCACGGATGGGGCTTTGCTTGTTTGTGTGGGCCGGTTGCTGGCATGCCATAGCCCGGTACCGGTCCATGGACCAGGTGTTGGGGATCCCTGTTCTAGGGTCATTAGAAGCCCAGGACATCCATTAGAAATATCCAATATCCAAATACAAACTAGCAATCATCTTAGATCAAGAGCATCATTTATCACTACATTGTTACATAGAGCTGAGAAATTCTTTTCATCTGGAATTCAATTATTCCAGACTGAGGTTTTTGACCGAATGAATCATTCAGGTTCTTATTATTTTCCATAATTTCGGAAGACTGGCTGAACCGTCCCTTCACTGTGTTCATACCCTACCTTCCTGTTCCGTTATAGGCAATGCTTGATTTCCCACCAAACATTTAACAGCATTCAAAGTTTCAACAGCACTGAAACGAGTCCTCACACTTACGACTGTGGCAGCAGCTCCACAGTCCCACGATCAAAAACCAGGTGGTTGACAACCAGCCTGTCTCTTCCCTGGTCAAAACATTCCAGAGTCACACGTTTGCCATTTGTGACCTTCTCAAGGGAACTTCCCACAAACCGAGTCAGTGAGGGGGGCAAGATTTGCTTAATAACCACGTGATTCATTTAACGACCATGACAAAAAGATTGCAAAATCTTTTTAACTTTTTAAATGAATGCATTGCTTAGCGACAGAAGTTCTAGCCTCAGCTGTGGTTGTAAGTCAAGGACTACCTGCATCGCGTTATCCTATTTTTTTTCTCTCTCTCAAGTTGCTAAGAGTAGCAAAACAAGTCTGCTCTTCTCTTGCTCAACATCCCAGTGGGCTTAGCTCAGCTGAAAAGAGGCACATGTAGACACCACATGTTTTATACCAAGGTTTACCGGATAAACTACAATAGAAGCATTTTACATAACAGGCTAAGCCCCAGCAACCTATAACATATTGCAATATAAGCACTGAGGGGGGGAAAAAATCACCCAGAAGGCTTCTTGGTCAACCCAGGATATGACACGAGGTCTTCTGCACTCTGACCACAATGTCTTGACTTGTAAAACCACTGCACATATAAACACGCAGTTATAAAACGGCTATGCTGACATGACGCACAGTGGTATCTGACTGCGCACCGAAGAATTTTGTTTCCCCTGCTCGCGATGACGCATGCTCTGCCCGGGTACAAAGATGCACACACCTGCTTGCCGATCCCTCATCCTATTCCTCAGACATGTGCTCACGTGCCCATAATTTGCACATTCCCAAATTCTGCACATGCACACGTATGCACGTCCATGTTTATAAAACGTAACTGTTTAGGGCTTGATTTCAGGACCCCTGCCCACCTTTGCCCAGATCCCGCTGCACTTCTGGGTGTTGGTCTTCCTGCAGGGAGCCAAGGAGGACTCTTTCCTGGGGCATAAGGAATTCCACCTGACAGGTTTAATAGCCGTCATTAAGCAGCTGGCAAAGCACGCAGGAATCAGGCAGTGCCGCGTTTGTTTTTTTTCCCCCCGCAGGATGGGGTGAAGATGTGTGGACTTTAATTTCCCCGGCCAATTCTGGGAGTTAAAGTCCACACAACTTCAAGTTGCCAAGATCAAAAGGCACTGGGCAAATAGGACCCCCAGAGTTGGGTTTAAATCTGACGGGACCGAATTCCTCCTGTCCGATGGGCAGCGAAGAGGACATTCTGTGCTGCAGCAAATTGCTCCATCGTTCGGCCCTCTCCACGCCATCCTGGAACCTTTGTGCCACCTTCTGATAAGAAAAACACAACGGCAAAATTGCCAGAACTGGATCCCGTATCCTCCTCCTCCAAAGAAAAAAAGTTGGGGAGGGTTGTGTAGAAGGACTGGAATAGGGAGATTTCTGTTCCTTGCCCTTGGTCGTCCCATTTCTCCTTGCTGCCCCAAAAGTTGTTTGTTGATGGCCCATTTCTGCCGGCTTGCCTTGGGTCTTATTTCTATTTATTCCATCGACACCTGAGCTTTTTTTTTTTCCCCAGACAATTCAAAGAACCCCACCTGCTTATTCATTCTCCCCTCGACCACGCTTTTTAGCCCCACCACACACACGACAACCCTGTGAGGTGGGTCCACCTCCGCGTGAAGAGCTGCAAGGTCTTCCTACTTCACTGACACCCAGCCCATCATCCACCATCCCCAAGATGAACTTGGAGGATTGCACATCCCTCCCCCCTGGTCTTTGGGCTTGAAGGCGCCGCTCCAAGGTCACCCAAGGATCTGACGGTCCTCTAACCGGGAGATCCCGGGCAGTTCCTGGCTGAGGATGATGGACTTTGGGGTCAGGAAGACACCAAAGAGGTGGAAGGCGGCCTGAACGGTTACCGCGTACCCCGCCAGGCTGCGATCGCGCTATCCCCCCCGAGCGCCAAGCGCATCCCGGCTCCCTCGGTCTCGGCACGCCGCCTTACCTGGCTCCGCAGGAGGCGCCGGACCGCTGCGAAGTTAACGTGGCGGCGGCGGCGCGGGGCAGCCCGGAACGGGCAAGGCTGGTCCCGGGGAGACGGAAGAGCAGCGCTCGCCTCCAGACCTCCGACGGGGGACCGGTCCGCAAAAGCAGTCGCGACGCCGGCGAGACCTAGCCACGCCCGCTGCTGCTGCTGCTGCCGCTGCTGCTTCCCATGCCAGAAGCCCGCCGGGGAGGAGAAGGCGCGGCTTAGCCCGAGTCTGCCTGGCCGCCGCGCTGCTCCCGATCTCCACGCAAGCCGCCGCCGCCGCCGCCGCCGCCACCTGCAAAGCCGAGCGAGCAGATTCGGACTAACCTCCGGCGCGGCATGCGGCGAGGAGGACGGGCAGAGAGACAGAAAGACAGACAGACAGAGGACTCCGACTCCTTTCGACCAATCGCGAAGCCACTTGCCCAGCACCGGGGGCGGAGCCAAGATCTTAACCCTCCCCCCCTCCACCCCTCCCCACCACATCTCCACCCCGCCGCTGCTTGTGCGCCAAGCTGCGCCCGCCGCGCCTCTGCAGCTCCCGGTGGCGGGGAGCGCGCAGCCCAGAGGAGAGGCTGCCCCGCGGGGAGCGAGGCGGGCTGCGTCGGGGAGAGCCGAGCCGCAGCCCGACAAGTCCGCCCGAGAAGCGCAGATGCTGAAGGAAGAAAAGAAGGGGCTTAGACGGGGAGGCCCCCTTTCTGGATGGCCAGACTTGTTCGTCCAGGTGGATGTCCAGCAGAGCAAAGGGCCTCGTTGCTGCACCAAATGGTCTTTCAGGGACTCCATCCCAAGGCTAAGTGTGATCGTGGTTGATCTGGTTTTAGCCCAGGGCTTTGGCCAATCTGCCCTGGCAAGTTGGAATCTGTGGCTGGTAGCCCAGGGTGTTGGGGATGTAGACTGCAATGTTGTTGGTTGCGAAGTCGTGTCCGACCCATCGCGACCCCATGGACAACGTTCCTCCAGGCCTTTTTCACACCTACGACCGTTGCAGCATCCCCATGATCATGTGATCGAAATTCAGATGCTTGGCAACTGATTCCTATTTATGATAGTTGCAGTGTCCGGGGGTGGGGATGCCACCTTTGTGACTTTCTGACAAGCAAAGTTCCACGGAGAAGCCAAATTCATTTAAGAACTCTGTTATTAACAACTGCAGCGATTCACTTAAGGACTGGGGCGAGAAAGGCCATAAAAGGGGACAAACTCCCTTAACCACCATCTTACTTGGCAACAGAACTGTGGGGTTCAATTGTGGTTGTGAACTAAGGACTACCTGCACAAGCTGAACATAAAATGTGAGGGTTGTAAGCCCAGCAGTCTGAATTCTCCACCCCATCGGGGTGGGGGGCTCATAGATTCTCCCAGAAGGCAAGACCAGCACTTTCCTAATCCTGCCTGAGTTCCAAATTCTAAGCTAGCTCTTTCCCCTTCAGCAGTGGGATTGGAGGATGATTCCGTAGCTCCTCACCCCTCAATCTACTAGCAGATTCCTTGCAGGGGTGTGGCCCTTGCAGGCCCAGATCTAGAGGGTGGCAAGTTAAACTTGGATAACCAGTTTGGCCCATTCCAGCAATCTCTTTTCACAACCCCAGACTTGCAGGATTGGAGACTTACGAGAGAGATCATTCAGACTGACCTCCCTCTTGTTATGCAATCCATTCCTCTTCTCTTTCCCATTCCTCTTGCTACCTGTAGCAAGACCAGCGGTGAAAAGAGAAGGAGGGGAAAGTGGGAAAGGGGAGACTTTAGGAGAGTCTCAATCGTCCAGGTCTCGGCTGTCCCGGAGGTGCATTTCCAAAAGGCAACTGGACTTTCTTGGGGTTTTTTTCCTTGAAAACATTTCACTTCTCATCCAAGAAGCTTCTTCAGTTCTGAGAAGGATGAGAAGCAAAGCGTTTTCAAAGAAAAAAAAACCCCAAGAAACTCCAATTGCCTTCTCGTCTGTATATAGGCAGAGAAATATGGACTTATGTACTGCCTGCCTCAGATCTGATGGTTTCCATGGTCACGTTATTTTTAGGGAGCTGATTCATAATTTGAACATGGCAGGTGTGTCATTCTATACTTCTAGGCCGTCTCATCTGACCTTACCACCAACATTGTTCTGCAAACTGATAATTAGGAGAAAACAGAATTTGGCAGCTTCGGAGTACATGATGCATTTCCAGGGTGATTTTGACAGCTGAAGAAGTATCTTCTTCCTACCAGAACAGGATTGACCTAAGACACTAAACTGGGAGAGGGAAAAAACAAAACAGTGGCAACTATTTCTCACTCTTCTGTCAAAGACTGAGTGGCTACCTAAGCACAGCAGGTTATTTGGATACCTGAAGCAGAAAATTCCACAGGTTTCTTCCTTCTCCCCTGAAGTAATAATACAATGATGACACATAAAAGAGATATTAAGTTTGTTGCCTTTCCAGGATGCTGAAAAAAAGCCTTATCAGCTTTGCCAGAATTGCCCAGAGTCATGCACAGTGCAAAGGATTAAGCCGCCTTCCACTAGTTGGGAAGCTCTCCTTGACCCAGGATTTCCTGGCCAGCCTTTGCAGAATTGGGAATTGGCAGACACAAGGCCAGGCTGAGAATTTGCAAAGCCTTATCTGATCCTGTTGGACCTGATTGTCTGTCTCTCCCTTAGGAATTGAAGGAGAAAAAAAATGCACTAGAAATGCTTTTCTGAAGGACAGGATTAGTATGAGTTGATACTGATATATAATTTATCAAAGCCCTCCCTGGATTTAATGAGTCACATCTCATGCTAAACTGTGATTTGTTCTAAGTAAGGTGGGCTTTAATAAAGGCAATACAAATATCAACATAGTTAAATGAAATAATTAAATATTAAGAATAAAAATAGCCAGTTTGGTCTAATGCAGAGGTCCCCAACCTTTTAGGCACCAGGGAGCTGTGCCATGGAGAAAGGTTTTTCCGTGGACCAGAGGGGCCGTGGACCAGTGGTTTTGAATACTGCCTGCATCCTGAGGATGGAGCTTTGCTTGTTTGTGCGGCCTGCTTTGCTGGCATGCTGTGGACCGGTGGTGGTCCATGGACCGGGTGTTGGGGACCCCTGGTCTAATGGTTAAGGAGAGAAACTGGGAGACTGTGAATTCTAGTCCTGCCTTAGACATGAAAGCTGACTTTGGGCCAGTCTCTCTCTCCCTCCCTCCCTCCCTCCCTCTCTCTCTCTCTCTCACACACACACACACCTATTGAGGAATTTAAATAAATAAATAAAATGAAAGTTGGTTCAAGGAGCCTAGTACTCATATTACAACTAGAATAATAATCCTTAGCCAGCCAAGCCCTTTATACTTTATTGCAATCAATCCCAAGAGTTCAGCTGATTCTGTAACTCTTGTCCCCAACTAAAATCCTTGAGGAAACCAACAAGTAAGGGGGAGGGGAGGAAAGCCATGACTATCTTCCAGGAGTCATTTTTCCACACGTTATCATTCTGAATATGGACGGTGCACGGAGCCATCCTTCACTGAAACACGCAGCAGTTGGCTGGAGTTTCTTGGATTAAAGAACAACTATCTGGAAATATTCCACCCAAATTCTTCTCGATTGCTCGGCTCATGCATGATTCAGATCAGAGTCCCGCAGTTCAAAATTGGGATCCCGAGCAAAACGCTGCAGAACTCATCCCAAAGTCAATTCCTGGAATGTCTCCAAAAAGCAACCTTGGGAGAATTGGTTAACTTTTCCCCTGGCAGCAAGAAAATACTAACCATCAGGAAATGCTTGAAAATAGCGATGACTCGAAAAGGTAGAACGTGTTTCCAAAAATGGGGAACCTAAAAACGTTTATTTGTTTCTTCTTTGCAATTGTGGGAGAGCCCTGAACAAATCTTGACTCTGCCTTGATAAAGGTTTAATTTGCATGCCTGGAGACCGTCTGGCAGTTCCAAGTTCCCACAATTTCTCCCCTTATCTTCTTAAGATCTTGCCAGACTGAAAGTTCTTGAAACTTAAAATTGTTTGCCCTGGTTTTTGGACAGCTTTAGTTGGCTTAAAAGAATCGTTTTCCTCCCCCCCCCCCCTTTCTCTAGGCCAAACACAGCTATTGAAAGTTTGGACTTATTTAGCATCACCTAGCGGTAGCACACACACAAAAATATTTTTAATGCTTGAGCAATTTGTCAACTACCTGGGAGAACTAAGGATAAAATGAAAAACCAACCAACCAACCAACCGCTGGTTGCATTCATGAAATATTCTATGAATAATTCATGTTAATGTTGCTTTAACCCAATTATCACTAACATTCGGAACTATAAGATAACTACTGTTTATTGGCTAGTCAATTGCAACTCACAAAACATTATGCCTTTTAGTAAAACCGGTAAGAAAAGGTGCACCTTTGGAACTGTCATACTGTAGACCAGTGGTGGCAAACCTATGGCACGGGTGCCAGAGGCGGCACTCAGAGCCCTTTCTGTGGGCACGCGCGTCGTCGCCCCAGTCCTGGCCTTCAGCTGGGTTTTATAAAACCTTTTCGCTTTAGGCCTCCGCTGCCGTGTGCAAAAAAAAAAAAAGGTTCAATCAGTCAATTTCAACCTTGCAGGAAAAAAAAAAAGATCTTGTAAGGTTGGAATTGATTGATTGAACTTTCTAGTCCCACCCAGTTGGCTGTTACCACCACAGCCACGCCCACCCAATGGGCCACACCCATCCAATGAGCCACACCCACCTGGCACTCGATGCATAAGTGGGTTTTGGGTTGCAGTTTGGGCACTCAGTCTCTAAAAGGTTCGCCATCACTGCTGTAGACTAACATGGCTCTTTCAGATTATCCATATTGGCTAGTATACACAAGATGTTTAGCCCTGAAAAAAAACGAGCCAAAGTTAACATTAATCTTAGTTTAGAGCAGGGATGTCAAACTGCCTCCCATGGGCCGGGTGCATCATACGGAGGCAGAACCTGAGTGCAACTCTGATGATGGGATAAATCCTTCAGAGGACTTATGGGACAAGGCATGTGGCATGCTGTGGAAAGAGTATCTTCCACCATTTCTCCTAGTTCCACAGAAGAGCTGCTTCATGGTATACTGTCCTCAAGCATTAATCCAGCTGTCAAATGCCAAAGAACCCCAAGACTTCCTAACAGCTGGAAAAACACATTTTGACAGGAAAGAGGTGATTTTTGCCTGAGGTTTAGACTTCCTTCAACCTCTGATTGTGAGGTGCCGAACACGGTTTGGAATTGGCAGCTTCATCGCAACCATTCATTAATAGTGTTGTATAACACTGCAGGTGACTAAATTAACACGTGCATTGTTGAGCGTGTTTGTACGGCATTCTTCACATTCTTCAATGATATGATTATAATTCTTCTCAAAGCAAACATCCTCAAGTCACCTACCGAGAGCTAAAGACTTACTTCCAAATAAAAACGCCCAAATATTTTTATAGCACATCACATGTCATACAGCCACATTTCAAGCTTCCCACATGCATTGGGTCTGTTTGCCAGAGAATGCCTGGATTAGATATTTATTATTATTCTAATGGATAAAATGCGTCTAAACAATTTCAAAGAATAAATCTATCATCCAGTGAGAATCTTGAAAAACTTATGTTTGTGAAAGCCCTGGAAGCATGGCCTCCGTAGTCTATGCACTTCTGTGACTTTAATTTTGCTGTTGAGAGAAGCAGTAAAAATGCCATATTAATTTTTTCCCAAACAGGTTTTTTTTCAATATATATTCTGCAATACTAGTCTTTTTAGTGCATAGTTTGATATTGAATGTGCGTAATTGTGACAGTTCACATTCTAAGCCACATTCTAAAATATGGTCCAAGGACCCCTAGGGGTTCCCCAAGACCCTCAAGGATCTGCGAAATGAAAACTGTTATATATTGAATATATTTGCATTTTTTTAGAAACATGGCTATTGTTTTCGTTTTTGTTAAAAAATCTAGGATTTTTTCATGAAAAATATGCTGATATATGATGTGTTTATGATTGTTATTTTTACATGAGGACCCAGATTGTTGGAGGCAAGATGCTGACTCCGTAAACTACTTTGAGACGGCTGTAAAGCACTGTGAAGAGGTATATAATAAGTCTAAGTGCTATTGCTGAGTCAATAAATATTCTATGAATGCATCAGTTTTCATTTTCAATACCATAAACATTGATAAAAAAACCCCATACAAACAAAAGCTGTTTTAGGATCCTCCATTATTTCTAAAAGTGGGTCTTTAGAGCAAAAAGTTTAAATAAGACTGCTCTAAGTCATTCTTTGCTGAATGAGCTGCTGGTACTTGAATGAAGTCTCAAAATGAATCCAGTAATCTCTGTTTATAACCCGCTATCTGACTTTATTCAAAGCCCTAATCGAACAGAACACCTTGCCCCTTTGGAGGTACATCCTACTGAATTTAATAGGACATAAAATTGCAAAAATAATAATAGGAAGGTGGGGAGTTACTGTTTTTACTTTGTCTATTGGGTTTTTATTTTTGGTAAGCCGCTTAGATGTTACCGAAAGTGAGCGGGCGGCCATATAAATTTTCTAAATAAATAAGGAAATAAATAGAAATATTAGAACCACGTAGAAGATTGTGTGTAGAGGACTGTACTAAGTGCATGCTTTGAATCATAGCGTCAATCATTTTTAATAAGGTGACTTTGTTCGCAGTTTCGCATTCTCTCCTCCGAACGGGATAGCTCACTCTCGCTCATTCAATACAACGTAGCTCAGCGTCCGCCCGCGACAAAGATGGCGGTTTCCCTGCTGGCTTTCCCCCTGTGAGAAGGGAGGGGCGGGGCGGAGAAGAAGCCATTTGCCCGCGACAAGCATGGCGGAATGCGGAACACGTGGGAGCGTGGGCCAAGATGGCGGCCGAACGGCGTGCGCATGCGCCCTAAGTGGATCCAAGTTTGCAGGGCCGGCGGAGAGGCCTGAACGGTCCGGGCAACCTGAAGCGTCGGCCGGGAGAGGAGAACGAGGCGAGGGGGCGCTTTCCGTAAGGGCGGTGTGAACGGGAAGAGGGGAAGACACTGCCGAAGCCCTCAATGACGGGGGTGGGTGGGGGTGTGGATTAGCATCCCTGGTGCTTCTCCTGGTGGCCTTCAGTCCTTGCTGTAGTCCAGGAGAGGCCTGTACCGTCTCTTTTCGGCGCTAGCCGGATGCGTGGGACGACGAGTCCCATTCTCCGCAGCGCCCTTCCCAAGTATGGGAGCATTATGGCTTCCACTGGTACCCCATGCAGGGTGGGGATGATGGGATCAGTAATCCGTGGGGCTAGGGGCCCGAGGTGGGTTGGCACCATTCCCACGGGCAGAGTCGGCGCCCCACATATTTCCTTGCCTTCAGAAGTTGTGGGTACTTCATCACAGGAAGAGATTGGACAGCCACTTGTAAGAAATGTGTCTCCTGCTTGAGCAGGAGGTTGGACTAGATGACCTATAGGGTCCCTTCCAACTCTGTTCTGTAATTCCTTCAGAGGTCTGCCGTGTGTTCTTTCATGTGCTGGGTGGGCATCCTGAGAGGATGGCTGGTGTGGGTGAGATTTCTGCAAGCAGCTGGTCCCCATGGAAAAAGCACAAGGAAGACATCTGAAGGAAATGTGTGGGGTGTTGGCTCTGAACGTGGGAACGGTGCCCTGCCCCACAGACTTCAGATCTCATCATCCCCAACCCACATCGGGTCCCGGTGGGGGCTGCAGTGGTCCCACACCTCAGAAAGGTGTTGCAGAGAATGAGATCCATTATTCTGCGTATCCGTGGAGCAACTGAGAAGTTTCATCTTTGTTTGAAGGTCTTTTCAGCTAACTCGTCTTCTGTTTGGCAGGTCCTGCAAGATGTCCGAAGGAACGTCAAGTGGCGATCCTGAGAGTGCCCGGCCAACGCTTCCTGCTGCTCGAGGATTAATAGGGAGAAGGACTCCTGCGCCAATCTCGGCAAGCCGCCTGCCCTCCATCCGCTCCCGAGACCTTACTCTTGGTGGGGTCAAAAAGGCAAGAATCTCTTGCTAAGGAAGTACCTTGCAGCAGTATTTTTTATTCCTAGGATGCAGTTAGTCTGGTATGGTGGTGAACGCACCAAGCCAAAAAATGGAGACCATGAGTTCTAGTCTTGCTTGGGCGCAAAGCCACCCGGATAATCTTGGGCCAGCCTCTCTCAGTCTTAGGAAGGAGGCACAGGCAAAATCCCTTCTGAAAAACCTTGCCAAGAAAAGTACAGGGACTAGCAGTTGCCAGGAGTCAACACTGACCTAAGACATGCACTCTGAGATGGTATAGGTTCTCCTGCTTGAGCTGGGGGCTGGATTAGAAGACCTCCAAAGTCCCTTCCAGTTCTTTTCTCATTCGCACAGTAGGATAAGTTACGGTTGCCTCATTCACAGACTTACTATGGCTCTTTAGAAATTGTACAGGTTACAACCATTTGTTTAGTGACCATTCAAAGTTACAACAGCACTGAAAAAAGTGAGATAAAACCATTTTTTCACACTTAATGACTGTTGCAGCATCCCCATGATCACATGGTTAAAATTTGGGTGTTGGCTTGCATTTATGATGGTGGCTATTCCTTGTTCCAGGCCTCAAGTGACATGAGAGCTGATGAGTTATTTAGCTCAGAGAGACAATTCATCACCAAATCTCCATTCAGTGAAAAACCAGAATATTAAAGCCAAACATGCTGACTTTTAATTACAAGATAAGGCCACTTCTTTTCAAGAAAATCAGGATCTCTTTATTTCTAAATATGCAGCACAGATGCTTATCTGCATGTTCATAGATTGCTGTAGTTGGCAAAACACTTTTGGTCATTATTGAGCTAGAAGAGCAGAGAACCAGGAAGAATGTTAATAATCGTGACAGATGGGAAACTGCTGACTTTGGAGTTTTAATTCATTAAACGTTGATCTCATTCAGTTTGGTAGCATCGATGCCAGTAAACTTTTTAAAAACAGAAACAGGCTATTCTCAGGATTCTAAATGTTCCCTTTGTTTCTTTGAATTGGTTATGCAATAAGCAAGCTATCTGGAGGATTGCGAAGTGGCTGCTTATGTTAAGGATATTTGATTCTATATATAAACATATTTTTGTGATACAGAGTGGTCAATTTTACTTGATGTCTTCTGATGCTAGTATTCAAATATTTTGAGACGTTGGTATTTATTTTGGAAAGAGAACAAAGAGAACATGTCCATGTTCGATTGAACTGAAAGCATAACTTGAAGCCAAGAGTTTAATACTGTAGTCATAAGGAATGCAAAATACTTTTGGGGCCCTAAATATTAAAACATGTTAAAAGAAATATCTTCTCCAAGCAATGCAACTATGAAGAATGCTAAAAAATATTCTCTTCCCACAGAAATGTGAGAATCTCAATTATATTTATTAATTTTATAGTATAGCTTACTATTGTGTCGAAGTGAGACGGGTAATTATATAAATCAAATCAAATAAAGATTGGAGTTTCAATTTTAGCACACTATGTACTCTGAGGAATGTCATAAACAAAACACTGTGCCTAATCTATGTTTGTTCTCTTGTCTCCTGTTTTTCTTTTTTTGTTTGTTTTTTAGAAAACCTTTGCCCCTAACATTATTAGCAGGAAAATCAAAGAAGAGTAAGTTCCTTTCAATGCTGTTTTTATGGAGTGTATTAATATGAAGGAATGCTTAATGGTCAGTAAAGAACTGAGAGGATCTGTTTCAGCCCTAACCCGAAGTTATCCAATGAATCTACCTCCTGAGTTGCTATATTTTGACGCTATTTGTTCAACCTATAATTTTGCACTAAGGTGTTGCTTGGCTTATTTAGTCAACATTTCCTAAGGTATTATTTGAGAAGAAATTAATATCATTTAAAATCATACTACCCCTGTCCTTACCAAAATATAGTTCTCGTACTGTGCTTATCTGTTGTTTTATCAGCTCTCTTTGAATAACATACGTGGTTGGCAGGGGTGGTTATTATAGTGTGTTTCTCATTTGCTCAGGTAACCACTTGTTAATAAACAATTAAAACTGCATGTTGATTTTTGTGGAAAGATATATAGGTCTTCAGAATGCCTGCGTCTTTTTTCACAAAAATCCGTTTTGTTCTTTTCATTTATATATCCCAAAGTTGGTTTTTTTTTTTTTTTTCAAAAGACAACTAGACTTGGTTGGCGTTTTCTTTGAAAATGTTTCGTTTCTCATCCAAGAAGCTTCTTCAGTTCAGAATGGAAGAATCTCGGATGAGAAGCAAAACGTTTTCAAAGAAAACACCAAGAAAATCCAGTTGCCTTTTTTGGGGGGGGGGGGGGAACACCTTTGGGACAACCATGATTTGGAAGATTGAGAATCTCTATAGATACTTACATTTATATAGTTCCTTTCCTTTCCTTTTTTCCCCTCTCAACTGCCAGGTACTTAACTGCAACTATCAGCTATCTATCCATTCCTCAACTCTATCATTTGCTCTTTTAGCATGTCTGAAAGAGGTTCAGTCCTTATAAAGCTAGAGATGTAGGAAACTTCTGAATATTTTGGAACCTTTTAAATCCTAAAGACATAGGTCTCTAGCTCTCGTTGAGCAATTGATTACATAGTTTCTGGTTTGTTTGTTTTTTCTCTGTTTAGGCCCAAAGAGGACCTTTCTGTCACAAAAGAGAAGAAGGACCGGGATCGAGATCGGCAGAGGGAAAGCCATGGACGAGGCAGAGGGAGGCCAGAAGTTATTCAGTCTCACTCCATCTTTGAGCAAGGCCCTGCAGAAATGATGAGGAAGAAAGGTTTGGGAATGATTTAAGTTGGGGCAGTCCAACGGCTACTCTGTGGGCTTTTTAATTTTCACTGTGAACTCATAAAGCTTTCCTTAAGACTCTTAGCCGGCGGGTTCCCACCCCACCAGCATCAGGTATTACAGTACGCAGGTACTGTAGACTTGTAAAATAAGATGGGATAAATTAGTAAAATTGGAATGTGCTGAATCTGATGGAAAGCTTTTAAGTTGTGATAAAGTACTTAGTGCATCTTGAGGGGTGGTGTAGAAATCCTCAGCATCAAAGCTGGTTGAGAAAGTCCATCAGAGATGGCAGTGTTCGGTGGGGGGCTATTTGGGAGGAAGTGGACAAGATTCTCTGTGACATCAATTCTGGCACCTGCAGACTAGATTCCCATTTTTTGTTTGTTTGTTTGTAAAAGCTACCAGAAGGTGACAGGAAGCTAGGATAGGCTCAGTACTTAATTCATCCTTGGGTGAACAAGTGATGCTCCCTTGCCCAATAACTCTTGGTCAAACAAGACATCTTGCAAAGCTGTTAATTTGTCTCCAGCATGTTGCATGAACACAGAACTATTCCATTGATCATCAATTAATCACACCTTTCTCCAGGAACCTCTTTTTTCCTTATTCCTTCTCCCTGACTCATCTTCTCTTTCCTTGTTTGCATAAACCTGGATGTGTCCGCCGGTGATTCTAGTAAAGCTTTTTTTGACTTAACTCTCAACGAAATGTCTGGTGTGGGTGACTTGACAATCCCAGGCTCTTCTCAGCTGGCTACCATAAAGTTGCATTGTGAGATGTGTAACGTGCAGTGCTGTTCATCTTGCCTTCTGTGCAGGTACCTGGGATAAGTCGGTGGATATGTCTGATTTTGGCCCATCCCACATCATCAACATCAAGAAAGAGAAGAGGGAGACAGATGAAGAGACTAAGAAGATCTTGCGCATGTTGGAGAAAGATGATGTGAGTTTGAGAATGGCCACATTTGGAAAAAACCATCCATAAACTGCCCAAATAATATGAACTTGATCATTATAGGACTCAGCCTCTAAGGCAGTGGCCCCCAACCTTTTGGGCACCGTGTGCCAGTTTCGCAGAGTGGTTTTTCTGCGGACGGAGGGTGGGTGGCGTGGTTTCACATTTTGCCTATATCCCACATGTGCAGGGATGGGGCTTCGCTTGTTTGCACAGACCGATTCCTCGCAGGCCGCGGACTGGTGCAGGTCCATGGACTGGGGGTTGGGGATCTCTGTTCCAATGCCCCAGTCTTAGGCCTTCAGCTGGGTTTTATAAAACCTTTTCGCTTTAGGCCTCCACCGCCATGTGCAAAAAAAAAAAAAAAAAGGTTCAATCAGTCAATTTCAACTTCTCGCGGGGAAAAAAAAGATCTTGCAAAGTTGGAATTGATTGATTGAACTTTTTAGTCCCACCCAGTCTGCTGTTACCACCCCAGCCACGCCCACCCAATGGGCCACGCCCACCCAATGGGCCACACCCACCCAGCACCCGATGATGCATAAGTGGGTTTTGGGTTACAATTTGGGCACTCGGTCTCTAAAAGGTTCGCCATCACTGCCCCCGATCATCATTGTCCAAAAAACAAGACTCCTGGGATAGCGTGTGAAATAGTCTCCAGGAACGGTCCTTTTCTTTAACCGGCCGTTTTCTCTTTCGTTCTTTGGTCCCAGTTCCTGGATGACCCAGGCTTGAAAAATGACATTCGAAACAAGCCAGTTCAGCTGCCTCTTGCACATTCTGGTTGGCTTTTCAAGGAAGAAGGGGATGATCAAGAGGACAGCAAGCTATTGAACGCCGGCCACAAAGAGGAGGAGGAGCTGGAAACAGACGTATCTTCGGTGAAAGGTAGGCGGCTCACGCTGACTTGGAGCAGATGAGTCAGCAGATAAAGTGGTCATTTTGCAGCCCTGGCATTGTATGTAATGTCATTTCCTGCAAGAAGAGAAGAGTTGGGGCACGTGTGATGGTGGGGAGTTACGAAGGGGACAGACCGTGAGATACAGCTGTAGTCATTTGGTATCCTGGTCTCCAGCAGCAGCCCTGTGGCTGCTGTAGAAAATGGGATGCTGAACCAGCTGGACTCATGTTCTGATTGCTCAAGGCAAAGAGCAGTCATGTTGCAGCTGCTGTGCCAAAGGACAGTCATGCTGTCCTTTGCCTACTTGTCTACTTGTGACGCAATTCATCAAAAGCAGCCTTCCACTTCTGCCCTAGTGCATCTCGCGAGCTCTTAACGTCTTCTCACGGCTTGCTATAAAAATGGTCCTTACGTACGTACAGGTAGTCCTCAACTTACAACAACTCACGTAGTGACCGAAGTTACAAAAGCACTGGAAAAAGCCACTTATGGCTATTGGCTTACGACACGACCATTACAGCGTCCCCAGGGTCATGTGATCAAAATTTCGACGCTTGGTATAACTGACTCATGACGGTTGCAGTGTCCCAGGGTCATGGGATAACCTTTTGCAGCTTTCTGACAAGGCCAGTGGGGGAAACCCGGTTCGCTTAACAAGCATGTTACTAATTGGACAACTGCAGGAAAAGTCGTAAAATAGGGCAAAACTCACTTAACAAATTCTCACTTTGGGCTCAGTTGTGATTGCAAGTTGAGGACCACCTGTACAGTATATAAAGGAAGAGTTCTGGCACAAAGCCTAAGCATTGATGCTCCATTTTTCAAATCTCAGTCGGCTGGAGCTTGCAATGCACTGAGCTGGCAGTATAGCTTTAGGACTGTGTAACAGCTCTAGTGATCCTGACTCACTCACTCTCTCTCCTCCTCTCTGTCTCCTCTCCTCTCTCTCTGTCTCTCTCTCTCTCTCTCCTCTCTCTCATCTCTGTCTCTCTCTCTCTCCTCTCCTTTCTCTATCCTCTCTCTCTCTCTCTCTCTCTCTCTCCTCTCTCTCTGTCTGTCTCTGTCTCTCTGTCAGTGAAAGAAGAACCCCATGATGAAGAGGAGACGCCACGTGCCCAGGCTCCAGCACCCACAAAAATCCCTCCTCCCTTTCCTCACGATGTCTCCCTTGCGGAACTGCTGCCCAGGTTGAGCCTTTCCAAGGAGGAAGATTTGCTGTTCCTGCAGCTGCCAGACACGCTCCCGGGACAGCCGCCCACCCAGGACACTAAGCCGCTGAAAACAGAAGTGCAGAATGAGGATGGGCAGATGATGGTGATAAAACAGGAGAAGACCCAGGTGCGGCTCCTGCTGAAATAAGCGGCAGGAATCTGCAGACGCTCCCGTGGTGCGTGTGGCCTTTGTGGCTGCAAACGGAGACCTGGAAGTCGGTCTGAGGGAAGCCAGGATGTTGGCATTTCTGTACAAAAACAACCATGGTCTAGCCCAGGGGTAGGCCCCCTTGGCCCCCTCATGACTTGTGGACTTCAACTCCCAGAATTCCTGAGCCAGCATGACTCAGCTTGGAAACCTCTCCTTTTCCCCTCAGCATGGCTGCCTCAGGAATTCTGGGAGTTGAAGTCCACGAGTCATAAAAGAGCCAAGGTTGCCTACCCCTGGTCTAGCCGTTGATTACAAATGTATATTTTGAGATAGGATGGCAATGCTAGAACCTAAAGGATTTCCCCAGAGTTGGGTTTTTATCAGCATAATTATCCTATAATTAGTGGAAGCTAAGGAAAAATGAATTTTTTCCTGTTTTGTTTCTATAGGACTCTTGGCATTCAGCTCGTCTTGTCCGGACACAGAAAATAGGATTGTTATTATATTTTAAGGGAGACATCTAATCTTGATTTCTTCCTCCTCCTAAACTTGTCCACTTCTGCTATTCCAGGAGGCCAAGGAAGCAGAGAATACCTGCACTCTGGGGGACCTCTCAGAAGGGCAGGTGGGGAAGTTGCTGATCCGCAAATCAGGGAAAGTGCAACTTGTTCTTGGCCAAGTGACTCTTGATGTAACCACGGGAACCCCCTGCTCATTTCTTCAGGTAGGCCTTCTCTTGTGAGACGGGGCTGCCCTTCAGAGACCATTTCAAACAAGAAGGGTTCAGGGCCTGTGTGTCTGGGAATAGCAGTTGCAAGAAACAAGCAGCTAGCAAAAGGCTGGTGTGACACCTCGTCCCAAATGCTGCAGTCAAACCGCTGTTGAGATGGTTTGGGAATATTCGTGCTCTCAGGGTCTGCTCTCGGTTTAGGGACTTAATAGCCCTTAAGACTGATGGGAGAATCTTAATGGATATATCCTATTTGGTCCCATGCGATTCCAACTGGCACCAGAGAGCCCTGAGTTGTTGTCTGTAGGTTTCCCACAAGACCTCTGTTTAAGTCGGGTGTGTCCAACCTTGGCAACTTTTAAGTTGGATAGAGCATGGCTGGCTGGGGAATTCTGGGAGTTGAAGTCCACAGGTCTTAAAGTTGCAGAGGTTGGACATCCCTGCTTTAAGTGGACAGCTTGAAAATATAGAGAAACCGTATACATGCAAATACCCTTCCAAAAAAAAAAAAAGCCGTGCACTAGAGCAGGGGTAGGCAAGCTTGGCTCTTTTATGACTCATGGACTTCAACTCCCAGAATTCCTGAGCCAGCTGGTGGATGAACACTGATGACAGCTCCTTGCTCAAGGTCAGCTTGGTGCCAAAACTGGGTCTAGATCAGCAAGAAAAATGCACGGAATACTCAGGAATCAAAATATCCAGATAAATTGCTAAGATTGAGAAATGATGGTCTAGATCAGGGGTTCTCAACCTTGGCAACTTTAAGACTTGTGGACTTCAATTTCCAGAATTCCTCAGCCAGCAAAGCTGGCTGAGGAATTCTAGGAGTTGAAGTCCACAAGTCTTAAAGTTGTCAAGGTTGAGAACCCCTGGTCTAGATTAAGGAATAATTAAGTCTCGCTGGCATGGAAAAGGAGTGAGGAGTTAAACAAGTATTCTTGTTTATTATTATTATTCTTATTTTTTTTTAAATTCTGATGTTAGCCCCAAGCTTTCAGGATAGAGCAGGTTTTTGTTTTGTTTGGCTCTGGCCTAATTTAAATGACTGAGAATTGTTTATATTTCTAAAGGGCTTTTGCATGGGGGGAAATCAGCAGACAGAGCGCCTGACTGAGACCTGTTACTGAGTGGGTTTATGCTGACCCTCAAAATCCGTTTCACAAAATCTCTGGCTACTTCAGACCTGGAAAGGTTCCTTGATTGGACCTCGATGCTTGCTTACTGTTTACTTTGGGGGAGCTTTGGAGTAATTGTTCTTTTCTCTTGGTCTTGCAAAGGAGCTGGTCTCAGTCAGCATCGGGGACAATCGGAGTGGCGAGATGATCGTCTTGGGCCACGTGAAGCACAAGCTGGTTTGCGCTCCAGATTTTGAGAGCTTGCTGGCATACAAGCGTCGATAGAGCTGCTGTGAAAGCTCTTTGATGGAGTAGCTGGTTGTCCTGCCTGACAACAACGATTTGGGCTCTCCAAAAGTGCCCGTTCCTAAGTTGATGAAGACAGATATGTTTCTAGGAAGACTGTGCTAGACGAGATTGGCAACGTTTGCGGGAATGAGACTGACCCAACATCTTCCGTTGGAGATTATCTGGCGGTCTAGAATCTCTGAAGTTAAGGCAAAGGGTCCCGAGGACTTGCTGCGTCCTTCCTCCCAGTTCCATGCAGGATGTGACCTGCACCCTTGTAATGACTTTAATAACTTAATTGCGCACACTATACCTGGTGTATAGTATACCCAAAGAGAGATTGGAAAGATGTGAGCCTTGGAGCCAAGATGGCCTGTTTGGCAGCTGTTTCCTGCAGATGCTAGAGAAGATGTCACCGTTCCAAACATCTGTAGGAGATTGTACAATGATGCCGTTTCTCTTTCGCCTTCCGGATGTTAACCTACCACACACACTGCAGTAGGAGAAAAGGTGTGAGGGGTTTGGGAAGACACATTAGACCATCTCTTTGGCAGTGAGATACCCCGTACGCCTCTGTTGCCCAGAACATCGGCAGACTTCTTTTATAAATGTAGAAGGGAAAGAGAAACACCTCACGCTTTTAATCTGGCTTTCCTTCCGTCCACTTGATGCGGCCAAGCATCGCTGTACTTGTTTGTCCTCAGTGAAAGATTCCTGCAGTGGTAGGAGCGATGAAAGGTGCTGGATGATAGTTCCTCTGTCTCTCAACAAGGGATCAGTTTTGTCATCAGAAAAGCTTATTCTGATCATTGTAGCCAAAATCTTTGTACCCACACTTCTGTTTGTTTGCCTGTCTGCCTGCCTGCCTGCCCCCCCTCTCTCCCCCCCCCTCTCTCTCACACACACACACTTATTGAGGAATTCAATGCTCTGGCTTAAAATGATTTTCCTTTCACACCCTCCCTTGGACTTTGGACACGATCGCAAGAAAGTTGTGATTTGCTTGTCTTCGTTATCTTGCTTTGCCAAAGAGGACAATTAAGTGTTCAAAGATTTTTTACAGAGCAGCAGTTAAAGTATTTACTCTGCTCTGGGTTTTGTTCTTTACAGCAACTGGGACATCATAAACCTGAGAAAGCTCATGGTAGCATTTACTGCAAAGATTAGTCCTCTGTTGAAGCATTTTTTTTTTCCAACTGGGTGCCTTTATTTGATCCTGGCGAAGGAAAATTTGGAGAGAGCAGCAACTTCGTGGTCAACTTGTTGGCGTTTATTTATCCCCTGTATATCTGTAAATAAAAGTGGAGTGGAATGATTCTGGGTGTACAGTCCAAAGAATCTGAATACGTTTGCACTTAGAAGCTATGAAGTAAAGAAACGGGAAAGACATTTTCATCTCACCTGTCAGCGGACACTGAGGCAGTCCAGTCAAACTTGACATTATTTGTCAAGTGCCTGGGAAATCAGGAGATTCGGGCGTTTCAAAGGAGTACAAAGATTTATTGCAAGCTTAAATTCTACAAAAATCTGGCCAACTAATGGTCAAGGGAAATGAGCGGGAGATAAGAATAGAAGGCATTCAAGCTGGGCTGGACTTAGATCTTTTGTGGATATGTAGAGGGGCTTGGCCTGGTCATCTACAGTATTACTTATAAAGAGAACAACTTAAGGCAGCATGTTAACCATGTGCAAATATTAATTGATTGAAAATGACAGAGAATCTGGCACTCGTAGCAAAAGCAGCGTTGGGACAGGGGAGTCAGAGATACTTTGTGATCATTGGGGGAAAAAGAGAGAACTAGTGGAGCCAGAAGAAAAAAAGAGAAGAAGTAGGAACTCTTGAGAATCAAAAAGTGCCTGTCCCAGCTGCTTATAAAAAAGTCTTTAAGGTATTATATGAACCTTTTTATTTTTGACCTATCAGAATCAGAAATGTATTTTTTATCAGTGGATGTTTTATTTAGTTTGATTACAGAAGGCAATATTAATACAGTAGACCTCCATGTTTCCTGAGACAGCCAGGCCACTGAAGTCTAACAAAGCTGGGGCAAACTAAACTGAGCAAGGCTGTTTTAATGGAAACCACACTTTGCAATTAATTCAGCAATTGTGACTAAGAGAAATTAGTATCTTTACAGACTTCCTCTACACCTCTGCTGATATTTTTTATTGATATCTGGCAATGAGAACTCACATTTTCTTGAATGAAGAGGCCTAAGGGGCAGTGTTCAGGGTCTGCTCTTTATTGTAAGCCAAGAAAGAAACATCCTTCTTACCAGCATAGATGTAGAATTAAATCATTTCCCTTTGCAAAGTCCCATTTATTTGTTGCATTTTAAACTGCCCACCAACAATAAGCCCTAGTGGATATCCAGAGTAGAAGCAAGGAAATTACCAAGCGAGATAGAAGAAAACAAATGGCAAAGCAAGCTTATAGGCTGCAAAATAACTAATTTTTTTTTTTTTTTTTTGGGAAATCTCTTTATAAACGTTTTAAGAAAGCCTACTAATCAAACAGCTGGCAGCATCAGAAATAGAAATCGAAGCAGTCAGGCGTACTGTCTATGGGTAGGAGCAGAAGATCTGTGGGGTAAATCCAGGGTGGTCTCTAGGAAACAGAATTGCTGAGGATGAAAAGTGAACAGATTCAAGACATTCTTGGAAAGACTCGGTCATTAGTAGGACCTCCAGGAAGCTGCTCCTGCCTCCAGGAGCTGTAGATGGAAGTTGATTCTGAAGGGCTCATTCAAAGATGGAAGTTTAAAGATCATCAGGTCTGAAACATCAGTCCCACTGGACGTGGACTTCCTTAGAAGTTACCAGGATCCTCCTCTCCTGCGTGTTCTTCCATGGGATGGAAAGAAAAATGTCATCCTTTGCAAGCTGGACTGGTAAAAAGGGGGCCCATAGCTGGTACGACGGTAGACGCTTGTTGCGTAATTATTGGCGTAAATGCTCTTTAATGTACTTTGCTGTCTGGAAAGCTTTCAGATTCAGCGTCCCTCCCTGAATCCCTTGCATACCAATCAGGATTAGGCAAATCGGGTTAACCAGGACCACAGCGATGGCATGGGTGCAGCTATCCTTCTTGTCCCCATGATACACCTTGGTTCGGAGATCCATCGTGTGTTGTTGGGCATCAGTGTACAGATTGTCTCGTATGACCAGACATTTGTGGCCACCCAGCGTCAAACCCTGAGTGAGGAGTACGTTTCTGTTCGTGCCAAGGAGAGCTTGGATTTCTGGTTTGGTCATTCTGGACAAGATGCCACCTTGATGGGCACGCAAGACCTGCTGTTGGGCTATGGAGATAACTGCGGCATCGCAGCACAAGCCGTCTCTCATGAAATTGTTGATACACCCTTGCCAAGAAGTCATTTGGGGAGTGTTGCCTTTAGAGATACCTTGTAGCTGCTTTGGAAAAACTCCAGGTCACCTTTGTCAGACAGGCCAGTTTGGCTCTTCTGAAATCAAGTTTGGTTGGTTGGTTGGAAATCTTAATTTCCCTCCGTCACTCAGTATACCTGGCCCTAAGAAGATGAAATATTTCAGGCTCCAACAAGATAATGGCTGCTTGCTGAGTCTATTTCCATGCGCTGTTGATGGACGGGTCTCAAAAATAACTGGCAATCAAGTTTTAGGACACAAACCCGTCAGCAGTTACTTGGTCTTTTCCAGTGTTGTCTTGGATACAACTACTTGGGGCTCCTTCATAGACTCCAACCTCTTCATTCTAGAATCCTGACAGCCCTACCCACCTTTCTTGTGATGTCGTAATGCATCTTTTCCTGGAGGAATCGAAACAGCTCAAGTTGTTTTATGTGGACGGGTGCATATCCCATCATACTTTTAGCTAACAATCGTAGTTTTTGTTTGGGTCTGCATCTGATAGTATACAAGTTAAGAAATTACCCTTTTGAACCAGAAGACTTAGGATCAAGACAGGTTCCCTCAAATACACGGGTATTGGAATTGTGATTATTGGGGTTCCCACATCAAGGCTACGAAGCACGCTTGGGTTCCCAATTGCCTATTCATTGCTATTGTTGGGATTTTAACTGAAGTTGATCGTTTCTTCAATATTTTTTTTTTAAAAATTAATTTAGCTACCAGAGTTGCATTGTTCAAGTTGGGTGAGACCATGTAAGTTTCATAAATATTCAGGGAGGCATTTTGAAAAGCTCCTTTTTCTGGACCAAGTTCTATCTTGCAGCATGTTATAACCACAGTTCCCCAGCCGCTTTCTTAAGTGGAATTTAGGATTTAGCATTGCTTCTACGATGGTGTATTTAGTTCCTGGCTCTATCTTTAGTGGTTTTAGCAGGGTTTGGCTCAAGCCCCCAAAGGAACTGAGTCTTCTCAGCTTGAAACCCAAATGTAAGAGTTGCAAGCACATTGGCCCAGTATATTCTGCAGAAACCTGGTGTTTGGCAGCTTTCCACCTGCAGAGCAGGCTGAATTTCAGGCAAAAGGGCAACAAGTGCGGTAAGGAATTCTTTCTCCAAATGTTCAGGCCAGACTGTACTTACAACTTCTGACCAGGAGATGGCAGGAAACGACAACCAATGAGGGTCAAACCCAGTACTTAGGGACAGAAGAAAAAAGGCTTATGAGGAAGTCAAGTATCCTCATCCTTGTATCAGCAACTTCTCAATTTTCTTCTCCTTGAGAACAAGTAAGTTACTTAACCTCTTTTCTGGGCTCCCCAGAGCCTTCTCTGACCACCCTTTAAGAAAGAGATTCACATGATTTCCTGCATTTTGAAGTGGAAAAATCTTCAAATACTGTGTTGTGAGACGTACTCTCCAAATTTAAAAAAAAAACAAAACTTGGGCTGTGTTAAATTCTGTTTCTGGTTGAAAAAAGCAGAAGCAGTGATTGGAACATTTAGCTGAGGCTGAGTGGACCCTCCAAAAGTTAAGAGGCATTCTAGAAGAAACAAAAACTCAAGACTAATTTGAAATCATTAACCTCATAAGCGTACGCGAGTACACGCAAAGTCACAGGCAAGCAAAACTTTAATAAGTAATCAGCTTAGCATTGAAACCTGATTATTTTGTGGTGAGTTGTAGGAGTCCTTTTTCAACGTTACACCCAGCTACAAATTAAGAAGTGAAAAAAATGGTGTTCGTAACATTTCTATCCCAAATTATAATTAACATGGATACAATATTTTTCTCTTCCTTTTTTGCCCAGCGGGCCTGGCTGAGGAATTCTGGGAGTTGAAGTCCACAAGTCATAAAAGGGCCAGGTTTGAAGACCCCTGCTCTAACGTTACAACAGAGCAGGGGCGTCCAACTTTGGCCACTCTTAAGACCTGTGGACTGGCTGGCTGGGGGATTCTGGGAGTTGAAGTCCACAGGTCTTGGAATGGCCAAGGTTGGCCATCCCTGCAGTAGAGCAATTGCAGTCAGGTTAATCCTGGCTCTCCAGGTTAGGAATCTCATCCAATCAGTTCAAAGCTGGTTCTGTCAGCGTGGCTGAAGTGGCTCCTCTGGACTCCTTCATCTTCTCCAGGGCGAGCAGCAGGTCAAGCTGAGTAAGTGGCCTGAAGGAATTTTCCTCCAAGTCCCTGGGCACGAAAGGAAGGGAAGGAAAAGCTTTCTGTTAGATTTTTTTCCCCTAGAACTCCTCGCTCTTCTTTTCCCTTGCAACTCCTGAATTTTGTAACTTTGACCGGTCACTAAATGAACTGCTGTAAGTCGAGGACGACCTGTACGGTATTCTATAAAATATTCTAACGTTGCTGGAATGCAGCAGCACCTGGCAGCCCAACCCAGGAAGTGTCGGGCGAAGGGGGGAAAAAATGAGAGACAACTTACGTTTTCTCCTCACTTCCTCTGCGGTGCAGCAAGCGGGCCACCTGCCTCATTTGTTGTTTTCGAACGTAATCGCGCACCCGATACGTGGCGGCATCCCGGCACAGTTCCCATAGATCGCTGCCCGAGTAACCACGTGTTCTCTCTGCCAGCTCTTTCAGGCTCACGGCATTGCTCGTCTGAAAAAAACCAACCAGGAAATGAAAAACTCGGGTTTCTTCAACAATTTTGCCCCTATTGTCATCTCGCCTTCTTTCAGGTGACTCAGAGGTGGCTCTGCTGGAAGAGAGAGCCCTTCTTGACAGTGAGGTCCATTAACCAGTGGAACAGCTTGCCTCCAGAAATCGTGGGCGCTCCATCACTGGAGATTTTTAAGAAGAGGTTGGACAGTCACTTGTCTGAGATGGTCTAGGTCAGTGATGGCGAACCTTTTAGAGACCGAGTGCCCAAAGTGCAACCCAAAACCCACTTATGTATCGTCGGGTGCTGGGTGGGCATGGCCCATTGGGTGGGTGTGGCTGCAGTGGTAACAGCAGACTGGGTGGGACTAAAAAATTTGTTCAATCAATTCCAACATTGCGAGATCTTTTTTTTTTCCCCACGAGAAATTGATTGATTGAATCTTTTTTTTTTTTTTTGCACACGGCGGCGGAGGCCTAAAGCGAAAAGGTTTTATAAAACTCAGCTGAAGGCCTAGGACTGGGGCAATGGCGCATGGGCCCACAGAGAGGTTCGCCATCACGGGTATAGGTTCTGCTTGAGCAGGGGGCTGGACTGGAAGATCTCCAAGGTCCCTTCCAGCTCTATTCCTATTCTATTCCTTTCCTATTCTATTCTATTCCATTCCATTCCATTCCATTCCATGTGAGATGTTCTACCTGTCCAGGACAGGGATTGATCTATCCTGTGTCCCCATCAGGCAGTCTAAGCTCCTCCTTGCAATGTATCAGCAATAACAAACATAGGAGAAGTGGTAAGGACATTACTACAGTACTAGGCCATCTCTTGGTATTGGGGCTTTAAAACAACAATATTAGAAATTAACAGCGCCTAATGTTAAATGCCTCCTTGGACACTTGTTCAATGGGGACCATCTTACTTTCAACATGTCAATAAATCTCACCTTTGATGTAGGTAGTGTTGCTGCTTTGTCAAAAACTTATTTTACGGGTGAAAGATGGAAGTTTGGATCTTTATACAGTTCAACAGCAGCAGCATCTTGGTTCTTGTGACTATCTTGGGTCACCCATTCAAAGCAATGACAATGGCTGCCCAGAATCACTTTGGATAATGAGATGGGCGGCATACAAATTCAACAAAGCAAAATGTAAAAAATGCAAAATGAAACAAATCATCAGCCTTAGCTTCATGCAAGTCTGACTTCCAAAGGTTGCTAGGATACCAGTGATTTAGGCCTTTTAATGTAGGCTTGGCATTTAATGCTGTGTTTTATGTTGTTAGGAGAGCCATCGCTCCCTCTTGTTGACAGGAGCAAAATGTTCTTGCTTTGGTTATTGAAATGGTTAATTCTGATTGTTCCGATAAATCCATCAGTCAGAATAGAGCTGGAAGGAACCTTGGAGGTCTTCTAGTCCAGCCCCCTGCTCAAGCAGAAGACCCTGTACCGTTTCAGACAAGTGGTTGTCCAGTCTCTTCTTAAAAACCTCCAGTGATGAAGCACCCACAACTTCTGAAGGCAAGCTGTTAAGAAGTTTCTCCTTAATTCCAGGTTGCTTCTATTCTATCAGTTGGAATAGACCAGTTTATAAAAGAAAGAGTTGTGTTCGGTGGAAGCTGTATTATATGCAGGAGCAAAGCAAACTGGCTAGGTCCAGAGTTAAAACTAAATGAGGAAGCCATCTCTTTGTGATGCCCACCTTATCTCCCAAACAGTAGGGCATAGGAAACAACATCTAGTGGGTCTCACCATAAATCAGAATTGAGAGCTTTGAATGAGTTTTTTAGAATTAAGCCCAGGGCAGCCACAGACAGCCTGAGAGGACTACCTACGGGCATCCATTGTGTTTAAAATGTGGGTTTTATTGTGGAAAAGGTTTATTTGAATAAACGTAACTTGCAGTTCTGCCTTGAAACCTATGATTGTATGACAGGGATGTTAACATTCCAGAAGAGCTTTTGTACAGCTCTTTCCTTTAATAATATTTAAATTGAAAACACGTGCAGAAAGCTGGAAACTTACATTTTCTCCAGCAAGAATTAGCTTCAGGATGTCTTGTCTTTGCCTTTGGGTCTGTCGGAGCAGAGAATGGGGTTGAAAACACAACACCAAAGACGATGAGAGATAGAGAAACAGAGATAGTAAAATCTGGTGCCTTTGAATCAGTCCTGACTTTTGGCAACTGTCTGGATAGGTCCCTGCAGTTTTCTTGGCAATATTTCAGAAATGGTTTGCCATTGCCTCCTTCCTAGGGCTGAGACAGAGAGACTGGCTCAAGGTCAGCCAGCTGGCTTTGTGCCTAACTACAGTACTAACCTGGCTGCCTCTCTATTTTTCCTATCTTCCTATCTGTGTCGGAGGCATTTAAAATATGAAATGTTCTATATATTGTTTTCTGTGTTTCTGCACTTATTTTTGAGGCCATCGAGGCCTCCCTGCCACAAACGTTCTGATTCCAGGGACGTTCTCCCTGGAGAACCTAATGGGTTGACTGACTGGATCTTGCAAAGTCCATACGGGATGTGAGGTCTTGCTATCCAGCAGTGTGGATGGATGGGGAAGAGAGTTTGTGGGAAGAGAAGTCATGTCTACTCACAGGTAGTGCAATATGAAAAGTTGTTGGCATTCTCCTCAGGATGGCCGGGTCCACATCTTGAGGCCTATTGGTGGCTCCCAGCACCATTACCTGAGATAGATAGATAGATGATAGATAGATAGATAGATAGATAGATAGATAGATAGATAGATAGATAGATAGATAGATAGATAAACAGACAGACAGACAGACAGAGACATAAACACCAGAATTGCTGATTGTGTCAACCATCTAAATTTAGTAAATTAACATGAGAAAACGTGCTATTTTTTCACTGAACATCCACACTTATACGTGTTCTAGAACTTCAATTTATGCATTGTTTATTTATTTATTAGAAAATGTATACAACTAACCTTCAAGTGATCGTGTAGTTTTATTTGTGATGTTTTAACGTTTTCTTTTTTCAGTATGCTGGTTGAGCATAATGTGCAAAGCAGGGACGGACACAGAATTGCTCTGGTGGAAGAATGCTGGCTTGGACGCCATTTGTATTAATAGATCCAAGCGCCAAGTTTTACCTGGCAGTCAGACGCTGTCTGCAGCCCGTCCCAAAGGCTCATGAATTCTGCTTTCATCATAGCTGTGGCTTCATGATCAGTTGTGGAGCAGTTCCTCAGGAAGGCATCTGCCAGGAATGGGTAGAACATTAAAAGAATAGTTCAGCCAAGTTGAATTAGTGCTTTTCTTCAGATTTTAGCCTGTTTTGTTCAGCAACTTTTGCTTTCTCTTTCATTCCGTTCTAAATCAGGAGCAAAATTCAGTGGAAATTAGTTTTTTCCAAAGACTGAACCATTGTTTCTTACAGTACGATCTTATTCTACCTTCTCTTAAAGGGTACTGACACTAAGGATGAAAGAAGACAAATCCACAGGGTTTTTTTTCAAACCTAGGATTTAAAAATTCACCCTACCCTCTTTGGGATCTTTCAGGAAGAAGAGAAGAAGAGAACGTTAATAGAATATCATGTTTATATTACAAAATGGCACAAGCAATAAGATAGCCATTCCTAAACATCTCAGTTTTCTTTTAAAATAAAAGGCAAGTAAGTATTGCTAAAATATGAGTGATTTGTCCAAGCATTTATTAAAAGTCAACCCATCAATGCCCCATATCACTCCTTTTTGCTATTGGAATAGTTTTCTATTTTAATAAAAGCCTACTTAATGGAAAGACAGGCAAAAGGACCTAAGCAGAAAATCGGGGGCTCGATGCAGTATTCCAAAGGGTAAGTTTTTAAAATCAAAGCCGATAATGAAGAAAGAACATTAAATTACAGTATATGGTACAAGAACTACAGACTGAGATCTTACCTATTTCATCAATGAAAATGATGCAAGGTTGGATTTTGATTGCCAGAGAAAAAACAGCAGCGGTGAGTTTTTGTGACTCCCCGTACCATTTGTCCATCAAGGTGGATGCTTGAAGGTTGATGAACCTGCAGCTGGATGCCTGGGCCATTGCTTTGGCAAGAAGAGTCTTGCCACATCCTGGAGGTCCATACAGTAAGACACCTAAATAAAAGGGAAAGTCATAAGCCCATATTGTTTTCCTATCACCCAGCTCCTAATGAAGCATGGGAGCCTGTCAGGATTCTGATTTAAAGGCTAAACAGCTTATGTAATGATGTAATCTGGATGATGCAATAATAGGAATCTCAGCAGGTGTGTGTATCCCTTTAAGAGTCTGAGTATAAAAGGGAAGTTTTTTGCTGGAGTCTTTCTCTCTTGTCGATTTGACTGCTGTAAGTGCTGTGTATTGGAGTTTGCTGTTTCATCACTTGTATGTATTTTATTTCTAGTGTATATTTGTAGATATAATGTAATATAAACCACCATTTAATTACAAACCACTGTGTACTGCATTTATAAAGTGAGGCGTGGCTAAATTAACAACTGCCTTGCTTAGCAACTGAAGTTTTGGACTCAGTTTGGTCATAGGTCAATGCTTCTGTTTATTTGTTGACATCAATAGACAACAAAATAAAAATTACATTGACGTGGGATAAGCAGAAGCTGGAGGGCAGGGCCTGAAATGACCAGTCTGCCTCTGGACCTTTCAGGACTCTAAAACAAAGACTTGCCAAGGATACCTTTTGGAGGCTGGCATAGCTTGGAGTGTTCAAACAAGCGTGTCTGTTGTAATGGTAGGATTACGCTGTCTCGAAGTTCACTGACCAGCTCATCTAGGCCTGCGACATCGTTCCAAGTGACCTGCAAATTGGACAAGTTTGTGGAGGGCTGAAATGAGAAAGAGGTTCTGAACTATTTAGAAAGAATAGCTAGGTTCCAAACCTGGCCAAGTCCAAATTTTGGACTTCAAATGTACTTGCAGTTCTCCTAACTCTCCCTTCCTTCCTTCCTTCCTTCCTTCCTTCCTTCCTTCCTTCCTTCCTTCCTTCCTTCCCTCCCTCTGACTTTTTCTCTCCATGAATATTTAAATCCACGTTGAAGGCTACCTCAATGGGAAAGTCTGGTTTAGAGTAAGTAGAGGTAATTTTATTGTTGATAGTGAATTATTCTTTAAATCACTCCCACCCTCTTTTAAAGAATAAGAGGTGTCCATAGGATAGGTCCCAAAAGTGGAATTTCCTCCACAGTCTGTGGGCACCTCTTGAAGAGAGAGATGGATGAGCGTCATGGAAATTCTGCCTTTCCCACATCACTTTAGACATGGATGTCAGGTCAATGGGCTACTGTCAGGACCATCAACTCTCTTCACATCACCATTTGGACTCTAGGCCTCTGATCTGAGATCCAGTCCTATTGTGCCACCAAGACTACATTGATGGCAAGCCAATCACAATCCAGTGTGGATAAGCCTTCATCTCTCCTTTGAGTAGACTTTTCATACTATTGCCAGCATCCCTTTGAGTTTGCTCAGCTGCCAATCAAGGGCTAAATTGCTCTTTCCAGTTGCCCAGCTAACTGCAGATAGAATCACAAGTCACTAACCTTTATGTCCCTGGGAACCACCAAATGAGCTACAATGTTCATCTCATACTCCGACAGCTTCACCTTTTCTATTCCAATCTGCTTCATCAGGTCTTCTGCCTGTCCAAGGAGATTGAAAGGGGGGGGGAGTAAATTCAGGTGTATAATTTAGCTTGACATGGCGCTTTCGTCTTAATGAGCTATACTTACTATACTCAGCACAGGGGCCCAGTATGGCTTCAGAAAATGATTGTGGGTCTTCATAATAATGAGCACAAAAGAAATGTAATTAAAACAGCTCTAGTGAATTCTAGATGGTCACCAAGCAGCTTTTTCAGCAGCATCAAACAGGAAATGAGAACCCAACACAATTTTTTTTTTCAAGGAAGGCCTACTCAGAGTACTTATAATCACTATTAAAAAGATCAGAAGCCTCTTTGTATTTTTTTTTCCTTTTCTTATTTTTTCTTATCTATTCACTAGTATAGAAACTCGAATTTAACCTGACATTTCCTTAAATATTTTTTTTCCTTCTAAGCTCTTGCATTACTTTTTTATATTGGGTTTCCCATTTTCAGCCACTTTATCGTGCTTTGTAAACTTTGACCTAATTTCATTATAAGTGGGCAATCATATTTCATTGATGTCTCGTAAGTGTGTGGACATGAACATATAAAAAAACGTGTAATGACAGAATGAAGAATTGTACGCTTAACATTTGCTTTGGTTCTCTCTCTAGTGGAAAATACACGTATTTCTGGATTGACCTGCTGTATTTTTGATGATTTCTTTTTTGGTGGTTTTCTTCTAGAATACCGTTTACAAGATACAAGGTAAGGTCTGCAACAGGAAAGCATATCCCTGTAATGGAATGTATAAATGGCTTTGGGGGAAGAATCAAGAAACCAATCAGATAATAGAGGTGGGGTCCCCAGTCCCTTAACAGTCAGAAAAAGAAACTTAGGAAGCACTTAAAAGTAGAGGTGGGAAATTTGTGTCCTCAGACTTACAAGATTTTGTTATCTTGTTAAAAATTTCTTTAAATATGCATGTGTATATGTAGAGAGAGAGACAGAAAGTCCAACTAGTTTTTAGTTTGTATCATATTATGTGTAAATGAGTTTTCTCCAGCCTGATTCAACATTCTAGCCAAATTGCTTGGAAATTTTGTGGAACTGTAACCTCAATGCTTCTAAATATATCAGTCTGGGGAAGGCTATTATAGGAAGGTTAAATGCATGACAGGAAGACTGTGACAATTATTTCCTGGAGGCAAATGTTCAGTTGTTTTTTTATCACCACATCTAGAATAACACAAATGAGGAATGTCCATTATTAGAGATGTTCTCAACCAGGGGTCTTCAAACTTGGCCCTTTTATGACTTGAGGACTTCAACTCCCAGAATTCCTCAGCCAGGCACATGTGCCTGGCTGAGGAATTCTGGGAGTTGAAGTCCACAAGTCATAAAAGGGCCAGGTTTGAAGACCTCTGGTTTAAACTGTTTTCTCTTGTGCAGTAAGGGTGGAAACAAACATTATCTTCTAGCAGGCTATCCATTAATTTCTGAAGCTGAGTCCTTTGCTAGATCTTGAAATTATTGGTAATGCCGTATGCAGTTTTGTTGTGCAATATCTCACAGCATCTTTACTCTTCTGGCTCTGACAAAGCTAAACATGTCCCCACCCTTCTCTCTTCCCATACATACCAAGCTCCTGACTTTTCAACTGAGCTTCATCTCAGCTATCACTGCCTATGACTCAATGTAGACTATAATAGTTGAGTCAATCCAATTCCCTGGTCTTCAGTAGATTGTTTTATGCTTCTGGCACCCATCCCAATGTTTTTGTTTCTACTTTTTTTTTTTTAAAAAAAGAAAGGCAACTGAGGACACAACAAATGAGAAAGAGCTAAGAAGGACCACTTGTCAAAAACTTGTCATTAAACAATGGCTTAATTTTAACCATGGGAACCCAGCCACAAACATACTTGTAGTACATACTCTTTTCTTCAACTGGATTCTTTGCTTCTGGGCAGGGTCTAAGGCATCTGAGACCCACTTGATACTGAAGTAGGTGGTAGCTCCAAAAACAGCCACGCGGAGAAGAACAAGACATACTTCATTACGTGTTAGGGGATGAGTCAAGAAGTCCTTGGACAGTTCCCCCAGCAATATCTCCAAAGTGTTTCTAGCTCCCAAACTGGAACCTAAATTAAAATTTAAAATTGTATGGAGACAGAGATTGGAATATAAAGATAAACTCCTGAAGCCATTGCACCAGCATTTAGTACTGCTGTTGAATTATAAAATTTATGAAATAAAAATCTGTCAACTATAAAATGAGTTCAGGTCTGTATATAAAGTACTTTGGATCATGCAATATAGATTCTTCAATTATATCTTTGCCAATAATTCACTTAGTCTTATGCTATAACATCAGGAAAATGAATAATACAGTAGCTCACCAATAGAGTGTATATGTTATCTGGAAAAAATATCCCAGATTACACTTTTAGAACTTCCAAATAAGATTTGGATTTCCTGTCTAAAATCTTGGAGGGTTGTAGTCAGTCACTAAAATTGAGCTAGATATAGTTTGCTCCATGTAAGGCAGTCCCAACTCTTTGGGCTCTCACAATACTCCAAAATAACTATGTTGGTTTGATTTATAAGACATACTAAGCCACAAAGTAACCAACCATATTCCAGCCTAATATGTTGAATCAGTTTACATTTCTAATTGTGGTTATGTAAAGATTATGCCATCACATCATCATCATCATCAATCATCATTTTATAGTCTGCTGAATTCCTAAGGACTCTCGGGAGTCTACAGATGAAATAATATCAGTAAACAAATACAGATCCTCATGAAACACAATGTTAAAGTAACCAAACCAAATTAGAATTGTTAGTTATAGCATATCCAATCTACGGGTCCCCATACATCATGCTTTCCCAGCACAATGCTATGTGGAGATGTTGGTTTGTATTATTCTAAAATAATATAAATATGAATTCTAAAATAGCTCTCCTAGCAGAGGGTCAGGAGAACTGCAATTAAAACAGAGAAAATGGGGCTGGGGAATCTGATCTACATCAACATCAAACATGGGCTTTTGGCTCAAGAAATAGAAATGCTGATTTAAATAAATAAAATTAATACGACATCGGGAACCCTTTTGAATATGTGGAAGATATATACATTGATTATTTTTATAATTGCATTTTAAACCTACCGGTAAGCCAGTCAAGATAGGACACTTGACAAGCCCTGTCTTAAATGAGGGTATGAATGCTCTCCGTTCTCTGACTTTGTAACATTCAGAATAATAATTGAATGCCTCCATTTTGCTATCCATCTTTGAGTTTATGTTATCAAAAGGTAGCTTAAGCAGCTAGGTCACTCTCCTTCTCAGCCCAACCCACCTCACAGAGTTGTTGATGTGGGGAAAATAGGAGGAAGAAGGCATGTAAGATATGTTCACCACCTTGAGTTATTTATAAAAATAAAGGCAGAATACAAATAAACAAATTTCCAATGTCTGCACCAGGAAACTGTGCCATCCCTGAGCCATGTTGCGACTTATTCGGTGTTGGCTTTAATGTGTTGTGTGAACCGAATGCAGAAGCTTTCAAATCGGGTCGTACTCTTGTTGCAATAAGCAGAGAAGCTGCTTGTGGTTTATGTAATAAATAAATAAATAAAAAACACATCGCGGTTTAGCATAGCCTGGAATTCACATCAGCAGCATTACAGTATACTTCCCCGTGACCTCCAAACAGAGACGTCTTTGGAGGATGGGAAGGGAGGATTCGAAGACAAGGCATCCTGTTTTAATTGCGATCTCGGGGGGGGGGGTGCAATCTTGTGGCGAATTGGGAGGGACAGATTAAGGTCAATAATCCCGGGGACCCGCTGCTTTGGACCCGTAGATTATTGGTCTTAATCTGCCCTTCCCAGTTCGCTACAAGATTGTAGGTTCGGCGGGAGCGCGGTCGGGCATCGGTTGCTGACCAGGGTACTGAAAAGGGCTGGGATGAGGCCGCGGTGCGCAGCGGCCAAATAAAAACAGAAACACGCTTTGAGACTCACCCATCCGTCGCTCTCGCCGCCTCTCCAGTCGGCTGAACTCCTCGCGTAGAAACAAGAGCCGTGGCAAAATCCTTCCTACTTCACTGCTCCTGACTTCTGCGCATGATGATGGGGCTTGGAATCAAAGGGCTGCCTGCCTATGAATGGAACAACCCAGGTAAGGTTAGAGCAGAGCTTTGCTTTGGGGGTTTAACAAGCACCCCAGTTTTAAGAAGCAAAACGTCATTGGTAAAATCGAAATTCAGCCCACAGGTTTAAATCTCCCTCTGTGGACTGCTTGTGGACTACTCAGAAAATGCACAGGCTAGTCTGTATGTAGGTGTCTGAGAAGTTCCTAACGAGGCATGTCTGTTCAGGGTAATTCAGAAGGAAGAGCAGAATTCAGTAGGATTTACTCCCAAGTTCTTGGCTAAAGATATCTTAGTTGAGGAACATTTTACGCTGAAGCAACTTGATCAAGTTCAGTGGGATTTTACCGCCAGGTATCACAAGAGAATCCTATCTCTATTGTACAGATAATCTTGAAGGTTGAAATCTTATTTACCTGAGAATATGTGCCACTGAACCAGACAGAATTTAAGGGAACACATTGTTTAATTCAGTTGACAATACCTTGCAGATTAATTTGAGATCCTGTGAGGGAAAACCCCAGTATCTACCATGTAGGGAGAATGCTTTGAGATAAAGTGTATTTCTTCAGGGTTAACAGTTCCTTACCTTATTTTTTAGGGTTACCAGACCTGAGTTTCAAGAATCCAGATGACTAAATGGCAGAAACATGAGAGTAATTATTTTTTAAAATTTCTTTGTTGCTATTTAATGGCTGCCTGAGTTTTTGCAATCTGGTTTTGCACATTGGTTGTCACTTTTTTGTTTTTTGTTTTAAAGGGTTTGCTGTCAGCATTTCTGCTTATGCAGTCATATAATTCCCAGTTGAATAATCCAGATGCACAATCACCCTGGCCTAAGAAATTAAATTATTCTAGAATAATTGATTCTTGAACTTGGGTGACTCAATCAGTTGCACGGTCATAGCTACCATCTTGACGTTTTTGACCGAAAGAGAGAGAGGCCTGCCTTGGTTTCTTGTAGCTTTGACAAAGCATTATTTTAACAAATTCCATACAATCTGGTTAATTTAGCTCATAATACACTCACCCACCACGATTCATGAAATATTCTGTAGAAATATTAAACCTGGGTTCATTGATTGCATTAAGTCATGGCTTATTTATCCACATTTTATTCTTTCATTTACAATTGCCTAAGCTTACACACTGAGCCAAAATCAAACAAGCCACAATTGCATGTAGATGTTAGGGATCCCTGTTCAAACTGGCAGTGAACAGAAGCTGATACAAATTCTAGAGACAAAATTGTAAATTTGCCAATCTGATTGTCCACCTGCAATATTTACTGTTTTATTTTAAATCTCTAGATATTTGCATTTAATCAAAAACAGATGTCCTGCTCATGTTGTACCATGTGGTGAGGTTGCTTCAATTTCTACTCGCTGATTGAAACAGAATTGGAGGGATGCCTACCCTAAATTCTGAAAGTGGATAATTAAAACAAAACAAAACAAATGTGAACAAATCTGTAGGGTCCTTATATTTCTTGCAGATGTTTCATTACCCAACTAGGTAACCTCATCAGTGCATGTTACAAACGTAATTATTTGCAAAAGCAAACGACATGCACAGCAAACCAGACCGCAGAAACAATGACAAGGCTGCATATAATCCATTTTATAAAGCCTATCATAGCTTGACTAGTGCCTGATATTATCTAGTCCAGGGGTAGGCAACCTCGGCTCTTTTATGACTCATGGACTTCAACTCCCAGAATTCCTGAGTCTTCAACATTTGCAGAAGAAAAAGTGGTTTAAGCTTTGCTATTGTGGAAGAATAATAGTGCCACAGTCTTGTTCACATCAAACAGCACAAGTAACCTCGAGAAGACGAACTCCAGCATTAGGTTTCCTTTTCCCCACAAACCGAAACTCGGCGCATGCTCAGAACAGCCACCACGGAAAACGCGCCTGTTTGGAACAACGGCCGCGTTCATCAGGCACACGCTTCTGCGCTTTTCTTTCGCTCATGAATGGACCGTACTACTAAAGAAACGTTCGGGAGAAGACAGACTAATCTGTAGGATTAGTCGCGCATCCTTACTAAAATAAACCCAAGTCAATAAAAATAAATATATCCTCCTCCCCTGGGAGGCCGGTGAAGCCGCTTCGAGTAGGATTCTTTTGCCTGACCCCCACGGCGTGGTCAGACTTGGACGGCTCCAAACGGAGGCGGGCACCGGACGCAAGCCCTCCTCCAATAGCAGAGCACCTCTTGGTGGAGTGGCGGGGGCCGCGTCGAATGAGGGGCGGGAGGAGAGGCGTGAAGGTGCGGCTCGCGCTCGAGGCGCGGCGGCGTGGCGAGAGCTGGTGGGCTTGTTTCGCCGGCGTGGCCACTTCTTCCTGCGCTGAGGGCGGTTGGGTGCCGAGCCGGGCGTAAGGGGCGGCCTTTGAGGACTGGAGCCGACGGCGGGGGTGGCTAGGTTGGATTCGCCTCGGGGAGTGGAGAGCTGAAGGGCCTTCGCGTATCTACTCGGAAGAAAGCCTCGCTGAAGTCGTTGGAGGCAACGCCCAGGTAAGTTGTGGGTGCCTCGCTGGAAGAAGGGATTGGGCAGCCATTTAATCGGAATGGTATAAGGCAGGGTGTCCAACCTTGGCAGCTTTTAAGAGTTGTGGACTTCAACTCCCAGAATTCTGGGAGTTGAAGTCCCTAGGTCTTAGTTAAAGTTACCAAGGTTTGATACCCCTAGTATAGGGCCTCTTGTTTGAGCAGGGGGTTGGACTAGATGAACTCCGAGGTCCCTTCCCATCTTATTAGTCAGGGTCTTCAAACTTGGCCCTTTTATGACTTGCGGACCTCAACCCCCAGTATTCCTTAGCCAGGCACACTGGCTGAGGAATTCTGGGAGTTGATGTCTGCAACTCATAAAAGGGCCACGTTTCGTTTGAAGATCCCCTGTGGTATGGAAACTTAAGCAAGGAGAGAATCGATTTAGAAAGAAGGAGAAATTTCCTGATGCAGCAATTAAGCAGTGGAACGACTTGCCTCCAGAAATTGTGGATGCTCCAACACTGCAAGTTTTTTAAAGAAGAGATGGACAACCATTTGTCTGAAATGGGATAAGGGTTTCCTGCCTGAACAGGGGGTTGGACTAGATGACCTCCAAGGACCCTTCCAACTCTGTTATTCTGTCTATTCTAGATTGGCAGGGGAAGATGGTGTTGGCGAGGGGGTGTTTTCCATAGGATGCTCATATGCAGCCTTGTTGCTACTTAGGTGGCCTTTTGCTTCTGCAAATACTTGTACTCTGTATCTTCCTGAAATGCACATTTTCTTCCGAGCAGAACCATGTATCCCACGAGGCCAGTGTTTCGGGGTGGAGCCATGTTTCAGATGTCTCTGGCTGGGCACAGGCCAGAATCTTTGCCACAGGTGGCTGAAGCTGGAAAGACTGCAGAATTTGGGGGCAAAACCTTCCTTTCAACAGTCAGGGCAGAAAGAGGACACCCATCACCAAGAGGTGCATCAAAGGTGAATAGATGATTTTTACAGTAGTAGTTGATGTCACATAAATTTCTGTTAGAAAGTAATTAGGTTGAACCTGAAACCTATTGAATGTATGGTATTTTACTCATTTGGCTGGAATAGTATGTAGGCAGTTGATTTCATAAAATGCATGGTTTTGCTGAAACTGACTGAAGAGACAGTGGAAATTAAATGCTATTTCAGCCCAAGGACATAGGTATGTAAGCCTTTCCACCCCTCCCAGTCTGCAATCTCCACCAAGAAATCCTTTGCCCTGTTTGGGAAATGGATGATTTCACTTCCTCCAAAGATGAGGCTTCTGTAGAAAATAGAGGGGAGGACACGTTTAAAACCATAAATAATTTAAACCTGATGTGGACTCGGTTGCTAAGAACTGCCTCCTAGTTGCAAAAGCAATTATTGCAATTTTTGATCAGCTACTAGATGTTCACTCAAAAAGTAGATGGACTTAAGCTGTAATGGAAAAACTTGTCATGGAACCAGTTACCAATCCAGCTGTTCCAGAACATGCATACTTACACAAGACTTCACATGTATGGAAATGTCTAAGGATGAGCTAGTCTTGCAGGATACAGGATTTTGCTGCAGATTGCAATTTATCCTGTCAATAAAGGTAGGTGAAGAATAGAATGGAATAGGAATAGGAATAAGAATAGAATAAAAACTTTATTGTCACTTTAAATGTACACTAATCAGCATACATTAAAATGAAATTTTGTTGCATTCAGCTCTCAAAAAAATACCATTATGCATATACCCACATATGACATACCCACATAGAAGCTTCACAGTCTACTTCAGATGGACACATACATGGTGAAAAATGAGTTCTACAAGTCCCTATCACAACAGCTTTACCACAGAGTAACACCAAATTTACACAAAAATCTTGGCTTCCCAGATGGAAACATCTTGGGAGAATAATATTCGCTTTTAGCCATCTTGCACTCCCTTCAGTGATCCTTAAATGTAAAGGTACATATTTTTCACAATGGCAGTATATGGCCTCTGCTAAATTCTGGGAGGAGAGCCAAGGTCACAAGAGAAGATAGCATAAGCTCCAGAGCTCATAACATCAGTCAGCAACTATCTGTACAGCAGAATGCTCCACCACCTCCAAGGTCATACCCTTGATCTAATTAAAGGAAAAATAGACATCAGCTGACCCCATGGAAAATGAAAAAGAACTAGCTCCGTTGTTCAGCATCCTGTCCATAGAGAAGATCAATAAACCATCATATGCAAACTTGAGGTAGTGAAATCAGTGACTGCTGCATCTGACTCTCTCAACACTTTGCTACTCTCCAGGTGTCTTCCTGTTAAAAAGTTGACAAGTTCATTTTTCTGAGTGCCTAAAACAACAAAAAAAGAAGGCACTCCAGCCCAAAATTCATCCAGGCAAAAGAAACTGATCAACATAATACAATCTCTTTGTAACCTCCCAAATGTTCATCCCACTGGTGATCTTTTCTCACAACTCAACATTAAAGAACAGACCAGTCAAACTATAGTCCCACTTCACCAGCCTTCCCCTGCATGGATTCTGATTCTGTTCATCTAATGCAGGGGTTTCAAGCTTGCAATGTCATGTGATGTGTCTCACGTGATGTGTCACGACGTATCGTGACTTCTTTCGCCATTGCCGGCAATGGGGTGGGCGCGGTTTCACCATCACACATCCTGCCCGCAGGTCGGCAGTTTGACTTCCCTGATTTAATGGCTGCCTTACCCACAACATGCTATTTCTTCTTGCAAGTAAATTCCTTTCAAAGGAACTTGGACATGGCCAACTTTCTGATCCTGTTTCCCAAACTGACTCTATTTGTTCTGCCCATGGACTTGCCCCAGACTCTGGATATTAGTAACCCTAACTGGCAGCAGGAGGATGTGGTACTTTTATATAATTGTTCAGTATTTTGTTTGTATTTGGCCTTAGGGCTGTAGTAAATTTGATTTGATTTATATTTTAGTCATTAACAAAATGGATGAAACAACCTACAGGTAATCCTTGACTTACAACCTCAGTGGAGCTCAAAATTTCTATTAAGCGAGACATTTGTTAAGTAATTTTGCCCCGTTTTGCAACCTTTCTTACTACAGTCAGTAAGCAAATCTGTGTGTTCTAATTCAGGAGCCTTTCATGACCGGTCCAACATTGTCATCCATGGTTCAAGGCCTTACTCTTGAGGCAGCTCCTGGACCTCCTTTGGGTAAGCTGTCTTGCTGTTTAGAATCTTCTTTTCTTATACCTGAGTGATTATCTAGTCTAGTTTAATGAAGAGAAGGATGAGGGGGGACAGGATAGCAGTGTTCCAGTATCTCAGGGGCTGCCCCAAAGAAGAGGGAGTCAAGCTATTTTCCAAAGCGCCTGAAGGCAGGACAAGAAGCAGCAGGTGGAAACTAATCAAGGAGAGAAGCAACCTAGAACTAAGGAGAAACTTCTTGACAGTGAGAACAATTAACCAGTGGAACTACCTGCCTCCAGAAGCAGTGAATGCTCCAACACTGGAAGTTTTTAAGAAGAGACTGGATAGCCATTTGTCCGAAATGGTATAGGCTTTCCTGCCTGAGCAGGGGTTTGGACTAGATGACCTCCAAGATCCCTTCCAACTTTACTACTACTACTACTACTACTACTACTACTACTACTATTATTATTATTATTATTATTATTATTATCATCATCATCATCATCTTTGGAACTGTAAGAAAAACCTGGGCTCTATCTTGACTTTGTTTTTCAAACAGTCTGTTCAGGCCGAGGCATTGCAGGGAGAGGCATGGGCGACATGAGCATGAAGTCCAAAGTAGATGTCCTGGGACAGCAGATGTGTCCAGGGTTGAGAGCAGGACAAGCTGGAGACAGCAAGGTGGAACCGATGTTTCCTGGCCATGGCAAGTGAGTTAAGCAATCTTGGGGTCAAGGTGGTTGGTGAAAATGGCAAGTTGCATTAAACATCCTGTAATTCGGTCACTTTGATTTGTATATTCCAGGGGTAGGCAACCTTGGCTCTTTTATGACTTGTGGACTTCAACTCCCAGAATTCCTGAGCCAGCCTGGCTCAGCTTGGAAACCTTTCCCTTTCCCCTCAGCCGGGCTGGCTCAAGAATTCTGGAAGTTGAAGTCCACGAGTCATAAAAGAGCCAAGGTTGCCTACCCCTGATCTAGTCTTTGAACAACTAAGCGTGAAGTCAGCTTAGTGTTCTGTTTATCGTTTTTCTGATTTTAAGTTTCAATGATAAAACTGGCTACTTTTATTTTAAGGAGAAAGGCACTGTGACAGTTATGTATAGATAATTACACATAGAAGAACCCCCAGTCCTGTTAAAGCATATGCTCATAATTTGTGTCTCCCTGCATACCTTCAACTTTCTGTTCTGAAAAATGGCTGCTTTTGGAAACAAAACAACAGAATTGTCTATTTTCTGATTTTTTTTAAAAAAAATCTGAAGATATTTTAAGTATTGGAAGTCGTGAAGAGATATCAGTGAGGTTTATCTAACGTGAACATTGCATTCATAGCTGCAATATTTGTGATTTTTGTAATATTTATGTTACACTGTTGAAGCAGTAAATAAGTCGTAAGTGCTAATGCTGTTGCTGTTAACCTGTCAACGGTATTCCTGAAGTGTGATCTCATTGTTATGCCTATGGCTATTCATAATTTTGATTTGGATTCAGAAAATCCATGTTTAATTTTAACAACACCGAAACATTGAATTCTTAAACACAATTAACATTGAGAGCCAGTTTGGTAAAGTATTTAAGGAGTTGGACGGGGAACCGGAAGTCTTCACTTAGATACAGAAGACAGCTAAGTGACCTCTGGCCAGTCCATCTCAGTCCAACCCACACACCACAGGATGATGGTTTTGGGGAAATAGCAGGAGGAAGGAGTATTATGCATGCCACCTTGAAATGTATAAATAAAACTGGGATACAAATCAAAATGTTGCTTTAGAATGGGTGGGGAACGATGGCCCCTTTATGACTTATGGACTTCAACTACCAGCATTCCCGAGTCAGACTTTTTTTTTTTTTTTGTTCCCCTTTTAAATATTTTCCAGGATACCCAGCTATGTGGAAAGTGAAAAGCCATTTTGGGGGCTTGACAGAACAAGCATCTTAGGCCGCGGCCGAGCCTACACAGACCCTTTTACTTCGTCTGCGGAAAGTCGTTTTCCAGCACCATCAGTCAAGCCTGGTCCTCCTCCTGTAGTTTCTGATGAGCCTGTGGATAAAAAGTAAGTGAGAAAAGGTATGAAGCTTTGATGATTAATTAACTAATAATGCAGCCATGTAACAGGGCCTTTTCATCCTTCCAGAGAACCACTTATGAAGCAAGGGTCAAAAGGAGTAGCGATCCCTTTGGCACTGAATCTGATTCAAATACACTGTAAAAACGAAGCTGTGTATCAGTACCACGTGACATTCAGGTAATAGTTCTTACTCTTTCCTCAACAGTTGAAGGGCATTGCTTTGGGTTCTGTCATGGCTTCAGTAACTGAATGTGGACAGAAAATCCAGCATCCAACTTGTTCTCTAAGTTGTAGTCCAATTGATGCTTCTTCCCGTATTTTATATGGTGGAATTTAAAGGAATATAAATCATGTTTTCGAACCCTTGAAGCTACGTGGAAGAGCTTTCATACTTTCTCAACCCCAAAGTTGTCTTGATAAGGTGCTTTTGAAAGCTTTATGAGCTAAGAAGGCACCTTTTGTTAGAAGATGGTTAGTCTCAACCCAAATATTTATCGCATCCAAGGGCAGCAGTTTTATCTAACCAATCTAGCTATGGATGCTACCGTGTTAAAGATTTGGGAGGGACCATCAAAGGGTCTATCCGTTCATGTATTTCACTTGATAATGTAAAGCTGTAGGGAATCTGAACATTTTTCTTGTGGAAATGCATCCTAAAGGCCATGCATCTTATTTGAAGCCAAGACTGAAAAAGAAAATAGTTAAAGCTCTTCCTTGATGCTGTCTTTCAGTGAAACAGTGTAGCCAACCAATATGTAGAAGCTGCCTTTCTAATTATGTTAAGGAATTGTGACATTTTTCATGTGTGGGTATCTCTGTTCTTCTTAACCAAAACGAACAGAAATGCACATTCTTTTTTTTCTGATAAAAATGAACCAACCATTTCCCCCCCTTGATTTTTCTTTTGTCTTTCAGCCCAAACATGGAATGTAAAAGCATGCGTCTTAGGATGCTGAAGGAACATCAGTTGGTGATAGGAGATATTTCTGCGTTTGATGGCTCTCTTCTCTATTTACCCATCAAGTTGTCTCAGGTAAGATCGAGGAAAGAAACAGAAGAGCTTGCTGCAACAATTGTATCTGACACGGGTGTTTAATTCCAATTTTAATTCCAGTTCATTTTCTTAAAAGAGAACATGAAAAGAAGAACTAGGGGTGACATGATAACAATGATCCAATATCTGAGGGGCTGCCACAAAGAAGAGGGGGTCAACCTATTCTCCAAAGCATCTGAAGGCAGGACAAGAATCAATGGATGGAAACTAATCAAGGAGAAAACCTAAAAATAAGGAGAAATTTCCTGACAGTCATAACTGTTAATCAGTGGAACAGCTTGCCTCCAGAAGTTGTGGGTGCTCCATCACTGGAGGTTTTCAAGAAGAGATTGGACAGCCATTTGTCTGAAATGGATTTAGGGTCTCCTGCTTGAGCAGGGGGTTGAAGACCCCCAAGGTCCCTTCCAATTTTGTTATTCTGTTAATATTATATTAAGCATGAGCTTGCTTTCAAGGGTGCCTCTTTCCACACAGTAGGAAAAAAAGTTGTCCAGCCTTCATGTTTCAAGGAATTTTCTTAACAGTAAAGATAAGAATTGGCAATATAGCAAAAGAATTACTGTATATTAGTACAATGTGCAACTTCAGTAGCAACAAAATAACATGGCATAGTTATAAACAATGGTTTGTTTCACTTTTGATTTATGTTTCATTTTGTCTTTATTTCGTGTTCAAAAACAAAGCACTGAAATGTTTCTCTTGTTAGCTTGAGATAGCTAAGTTATGCATAGTTTCTTTGTACTGCAATATTTACTAATTGGCAAGAATTAAAATGGATTTTTTACTGGCCTGTATTTGACTTCTGACAGAATATATGTCTTCCACTTTAGAATGTTAACCTGAAATGCCAAAGAAAGACAGATGGAATGGAAGTCAATTTAAAGATTCAGATGACCAAAGTTCTGGAACCGAGTTCAGAGTTGTGCATCCCATTTTACAACGTTATTTTCAGAAAGTGCGTAATTTATTTTAAATTATTTTTAAAAAGAGCCCCCAGGATAGGGAATAGTTTTGATTCTTGGCACTTGCTCATCAAGCTGCAGAAAAAAATGGGAGTCGGTCTTATTTAAAACAATGGAGCCTGCATTTAGACTCACGCTTGAGATGAAAAATAGAAGGAGGCCATTTTATGTCTGCTGTGCTGGTGGATGCTGGAATACACTTGGACTCTGGGTTGTGCTTAGGGATTTTTCTCGAAATCTTGAAATGAATAAAGGGAAGCAAAGAGATTTAACACCAGGGATGGCTACTACCAGAAATAATAGCCTGGGTATCCTTTGCGTCCAGGATCAAAAGCAAGTGGCGGGAAGTACACCATCATTTAAAACTTGGAGAAAGAGATGGAAGTCTTAGTTCTGGCTCTGATCCAAAGATGTTTGATAACTAATTCCTGTGGGAACTGATCTAGATTCTTCTGTCCTCCTTTTTTAAAGGGATTGGCCAAATAATATGATTTTTGGGTGCCCTGTGTTCATGGCTTAAAGAGCAATCTCATTTTCCAGTGTCATATTTATCTTGTTTTTTTAAATGTTATTCTAGAGTGATGAAGATTTTAGATATGAAACTTGTTGGGAGAAATTTCTACGATCCTACTAGTGCTACTGTACTTCAACAGTTCAGGTTGGTATGTTGCTTTGTGTACTACAGTGTTTACGTTTGATAATTTGAAATATATGCTGTGCATTAGAAGCAATGTTCTTTTAAAACATATGTTTATGCCATTATACTTTCACACATTCTGTAGCAAAAATTCAATAGATGCAAATTGAGTCACCTTGGCTAATTGCAATATATACCAAAATTAGCTGCCTTGTATCTTTGGAAAGGCTTAAAAAAAAATACAGTGACCTATTTTTGGTGGATTATTTTATTCATTTACTTGTGAGCTAGTGAGCTCTGGGTGGTCTAGGGATATTAACAATATATAACAATTTATTTATTTTATTTATGAGACTTATATACCGCTTTAAGTGCAAGCACTCTCTAAGCGGTGTACACCAGTAAGCAATGTATATATATATTACATTGCCCCCAACAATCTGGGTCCTCATTTTACCTACCCGGAAGGATGGAAGGCTGAGTCAACCTTGAGCCGGTGAGATTTGAACCGCTGACCTGCTGAACACAGTCAGCTAAAGTGGCCTGCAGTACTGCACTCTAACTGCTGCGCCACCTCGGCTCTTTCTTAGAATGCGATTTCATCATGTAATAAATGTTATTATCTGAGTCTTTGTTCTATGGCAGTATATTTTAATTTCCCATCAATTGCATAGGATAACTAGTGGGGATTGTAAACAATGAAAACAGACAGCAGTAATTATTAACTATGACTATGCCATCAATTTGACTGCATCTTTCAGTTAAGCAGTTTCTCTTTGATACTAAAAATTAGCCTCTTGTTTATTTTTCTGAAAGGTTGCAAATATGGCCCGGCTATGCAACCAGTATCCGAAGGACAGATGGTGGGCTGTTTTTGTTGGTTGATGCTGTTCATAAGGTTATTCGGAATGATTCAGTCCTGAATTTGATGTGAGTAAAAATACTGATATTTTCAATAGAAAACATTGCAAAAAGACCATTAGGAATATTGTGACCCTTATTTTGTTGTGATGGAACAAAACCAGTGCCCAAGCAAGATTGCTCCTGAAGTTTACTTTGTTTGGGTCTTAAGTCCCAGAGTTTATGTGGGAATTGATTTTGGAAGGGGTGAACTATCTGTAAAATAGTTTTTAGAAAGAAGATAAATTTCTCTGGAAATTCATTAGGATGGATCTAAGAGCAAGATGTGGTGTATGAGCATTGCATGTGCTAAGGTAAGATGAAATGTGCTCAGATCTCCCCGGCTTATGTATTTATAGCAAATATTTCTTTGTATCTTTTATGACCTTCAATTTGTTATTTATAACTGCATATCTCTAGTTAGGAAAAAAAAACATTTTTTCTATTATAATGTATTTTAATTGCCTTTTAACATTTAGTGGCCATCTGATTCTAAATATTCTGGATGGCTTACAGTTTAAAAAGTAAAAAAAAACAACAACATGTATATCCAAAACAATTGAAAAGATCTTAACATCCATCTAATCTCAAGATCGGGGAAAAATTTGGGCTTGGAGGACTTTGGGACATCACGATGATGGTGTTCCAGAGAGCTGGTGCCATAACAGAGAATCATAAGATGGTGTTGATCCTGTGTGTTCTAAAATGCAGAATTCTCAGAATAAGTTTATATTGAACCATCAAATATGCCAAGTATATCTCATGCCACTCATTATTTGGCTGTCTAAGACAGTGTTTCTCAACCTTGACAATTTTAAGGCATGTGGAATTCTGGGAGTTGAAGTCCACATGCCTTAAAATTGTCAAGGTTGAAAAACACTGGTCTAAGACCATTCCACAGCATTCAGAAGAGAATTAAAAAACAGAAAGGCTACAGCTCATCCCTTCCAGCAACCGACATTCAGATGAGCAGCAGGGATCAGCACCAGACAATCAGACAGAAAACAACATTTTAATCAAGGAACTACGAAGTAGGAAATTAGACTTCCACCAAAACTGGCAGGGCAAACTCCTGAATATAAACAGGCACAGAACCTTGCACTCACTTGCACTTACCTGGTTCGCTAATGAAACATCTGTAAGCAAACAATCAAGGTCAGAGGGCACCAAGAACTTCAAAGCATTGCAAAGTTAGAGTAAGATGAGTGTACTTGGCAGATGGAGTGCTGCCAGTGAGGTAAACAGACTTCTTAAAGACGGCTGGTAAACTTGAGGTCAGACTACAGCTTGGGCCTTCCTGGTTTTTAACTTTTAAGTATTTCTATTTTTATAAAGGCATAGAATTTATCAACAGAGTCAGGAAAATTTCCAAGATGAATGCACAAAGCAACTTATTGGCAACATTATAATTACCCGTTACAACAATAAAAATTACCGAATTGATGACATTGATTGGAACAAGACACCACAGAGCAGTTTTACCATGTCAGATGGGAAGGAAATCACTTTTCTAGAGTATTACAGGTAAATGATTATGATTCAGTGTGTTTCTAAATAAAAGGGGAGCAAATAATGGGAGTAAGATATTCAGTATCTCGCTTCAGATTCGTTAAAGTGTCAACCATGATCAAAGTCACTAAGTACTTTGGCTTAACTGGAGTTGTTTTCATGAGTCCTTTAGCTATTGATATTTAAAATTATCAAGCAGGTTTTGTTTTCTTCCTAGAATTCATATAACATTCTCTTTCCAGTAAAAATTATGGGATTACCATCAGAGAACTTGATCAGCCACTGTTGATTTACAGAGTTGAAAAAAGGAAAAACCCTCCAGGAAAGGTGAGAATTTGAGCAGTTGCAATTAGAAGCAACCAATTGCTGGTATTTGTAACGCAGGCATCGCTAGAGTGGCTTGATTTATGTAACCTGTCTTGGGTGAGGTTTCTGGGCTAGGAACACTTTTGAGCTTTTACAGAGGATTGCGAGATGGGGGATGGGACTGATGACCTCCAAGGTCCCTTCCAGCTCTGTTATTCGATGTTCTAACTTATTAGTGCTAAGAAAAGACATCTCTGAGTGTTAGTCATAAGCCATTAGCTCTCAGTGCTTAGCTATGCAAACCTTGTACTCGTCCAACTATCGCTTAACGTTTATTCACTGGGTTTGGGGAGCAAATTGTGACAATTAAAAAACCAATACCCTACCACCTATTTAGTTTTCTTGTCCCCATCAGCTTTCCCTTTATTATCTAATGTTTATATGGCATACATAAAACCAGCTGATAATAATAATAATTTATTTCTGTACATCCTGTGTGCCTAATAGGTTTTTCATTTGATTTTCCTGCAGCTTCAGGAAGGTGAAATCCTGCTCGTGCCAGAGCTTTCGTTCTTGACAGGAATTCCTGAAAACATGAGAAAAGATTTTAGAATTATGAAGGTGCTTGATTATATGTTTTACACAGAATTGGAATTTGTTTATAAAATTCTCAACCTCTTACATCAAGTATTTGGCCTCTCACCAACTTTTAAGTTGTAGCCGGCCATTGAGAGCCCTGATTTTGTTGGTTCAATAGCTTCTGAAGCTTTCTCGGCTCGCTCTGTTTGAACACTTCCCTGAGCTCTCACGTGGTGATGTAAGGATGGCTGACATTTTAAGCTTGTCTGATCAGTCAAAAGTTGTAGTCACTAATCACTAACGATTTACTCCTACTCAGATCGCAAGACAGTAATGGTATTTTTCTTGTAAAGATGTTGTTGTTGTTAGTTGCAAAGTAGTGTCCGACCCATCGCGACCCCATGGACAACGTTCCTCCAGGCCTTCCTATCCACTACCATCTTCTGGAGTCCATTTAAGCTCACGCCTCCTGCTTCAGGGACTCCATCTAGCCACCTCATTCTCTGTCGTCCCCTTCTTCTATTGCCCTCAATCTTTCCCAGCATTAGGCTCTTCTCCGGTGAGTCCTTCCTTCTCATTAGGTGGCCAAAGTACTTGCGTTTCAACTTCAGGATCTGGCCTTCTAAAGAGCAGTCAGGATTGATCTTCTCTAGGACTGACCAGTTTGAAACAAAGCTTTAGTAGATATATATACAAGTAGTCTGTCAAAGCAAGAACATCCAATATTAGCAGATAGTCCTTGATTTACAACCATTTGTTTAGTGACTGTTCAGACTTATCAACAGCACTGAAAAAAAGTAATTTGTGACCATTTTTCAGACTGAACTGACCTTTGCAGTATCCCCATAGTTACATGATCAAAAGTCAGACGATTGGCAATTGACTCATATTTATAACGGTTACAGTGTCCCGGGCTCATATGATCACCTTTTGTGACCCCCCCCCTCTGGATTTCTGTTCCTTGCGGATTTAAAAGCAAGTAACTGGAGAAGCTGCTCCTTCAAATTGTTTTGCTGGCAATGAGTTATGTATGCTTCTTCTTTGAATACAAGCTGAAGTGCCTTTTCCCTGGCTGTATCCACTCCGCTTAGGACCTTACGCAGAAAGTCAACATGAGTCCCGAACAGCATCACACCTCTCTGCAGCAGCTGCTGAGCAGGATTGAGAAGAATGAGGCTGCACATAAGGAATTGTCACGGTGGGGGCTTTTCCTGGATGGGGATGTTTATAGGGTAAGGAAACTTTGTGCTAGCCTTGCCTGTGCTTTTAGCTTTGCCTGATGGGATCCTGCCTCTTTTATGAAGAACGACTTTTACAAAAACAGATTGATACGCTACTTCCCCCCCCCCCTTTTTTTTTTTTGGCTTTGTGCTATGTTGTAGAAAATAAATGGCTACACTATTTATTTTTTCCTCCTTTATTTTGTGATTATTTTTCAGCATCTAGGACAGGGGTAGGCAACCTTGGCTCTTTTATGACTCGTGGACTTCAACTCCCAAAATTGCTGAACCAGCCATGCTGAGGGGAAAGGGAGAGGTTTCCAAGCTGAGCCATGCTGGCTCAGGAATTCTGGGAGTTGAAGTCCATGAGTCATGAAAGGGCCAAAATTTCCCTCATGCTGGCTCAGGAATTCTGGGAGTTGAAGTCCACGAGTCATAAAAGAGCCAAGGTTACCTAACTCTGGACTAGGACAACTGTTAATACCAGAAAATAAATAGGTCATTCACGTCTGTAAAGTCCCAAGAATATTTACCCAAAGGTAGTAATTTTTGGCCCTAATCAGAAAGTTATGTAAGATTGATCTCTGCATTTGTCACCTCTTTCCTACCATGAGCTGGTGGACAGCTCTGAATATACTTTGGCAATAATTTTATACCTGATTATTAGAAGCTCAGGGCAGCCGAGCTGAAGAATTGAAAATTTTTTAAAAGTTACACCTCACAAAGAGAGAGCTTTTATTTTCTATGACTACCCAAGCTTATTTTTGTTTCCTTTTCTACCCTAATCTTGGTTCACCAACTTCTCTATGTCTGTCTTCTCGGAAAACTGCAGGCTTCAAGGAGACGTTCCGTACTACAGTACAAATTGAATTCAGTTTTAATTTTTGAGGAAATCACACTGGGGAGAGAATCCTTTTTTTTTTTTTTTTGAAATTGACACAGTTCAGCAGCACTCCTTCTCTCTAGGAACTTTAATGCCTTTCATGGCACGGGTTGATTTATTTGAGGAACTACGTTTCCCCAATTACATCAGCTCATCCCATCAGCTCTAGCAAGAGAGACATGCTATAGGCTCCGTGGAACTACACTTGGTAGGCCCAAGGAGGCGGGTCTTTTCTGCTGTAGTGCCCACATCTCCATCTCCCCCCCCCCAAAAAATTAGGTAATCTTATTTTCTGGAAGTCCATAAAAATCTGGCTTTGTCGTTAAACCTTTGTCATGTTTCAAGGGATTACTGAGATCTTGAAGTGGCTTCATTGCTTTTATTACTTTATTTTTTAAAAATATGACTGTTTAAACATGTTTATTGTTTTATGCTGGTTTCGCTACACAGTGCCCCAAATCGCTTCTTGTGAGATGGAGGGGACATATCTACAACAAATTCTCGGTCTTGAGGTTCTGCCTTGTGCAATTTCATGGATACTGAAAATCATAACACAGCTTTTGCTGAACCTGTTTTAAATCCGTGAAGTAGCCAGAGGTTCAAAACATCTAAAAATGTGGACTTTGCACAAAGACGTTTGGAGGATAAACAGTGTTGAAGGGAAGAGTTTTGCAGGCTTGAAGACAGGGGTCCCCAACCCCTGGACCGCAGCCCACTACTGCAGCCTGTTTGAAAATGGCTGCGCAAGCGGCAGGCAAGCGCATGCGTGCAAAGCTCCACTTGCACGTGCGGAGGGCGCGTGCACCTGCTGCTTACACAAATGATGCTGTGTGCGTGTGCGCATGCCTGCCACTCAGACAGACAGACAGACACACATCCCTGCGCCGGGCTGCCAAGCTGAAAAAGTTGGGGACCACTGCTTTAAGGTATATTTGATGCTGAGCTCTAGAATTAAAATGAGCCGAGAGCTGGCCCAGGTATAGCCTTGTATGCAACTTGACTGTTTTCTGTTTGTTGGCTTGTTTCAGACCACAGGACGCATCCTTCCCATGGAAAGAGTAAATCTGAAGAAATGCTCCTTCAAGACATCTGAAGACCTAAACTGGACTAAAGAACTCAACAGAGAAGCCTGCATTTCTGCCGTAAGCTTAATTTTGAATGTGGGCACTCTTCTGTAGGATGTAACAGCTGATTCAGCATTCTCTTCAATACATACAGATAGTCCTTGACTTACAGCAGTTTATTTAGTGACCTTTCAAAGTTACAACTGCACTGAAAAAAGTGACTTATGACCGTTTTTCACACTTATAACTGTTGCGGCATCCCCATGGCCACATGATCCAAATTCAGGTACTTGACAAGGTGAGATCAGCTCCCACCCTTCTGATTTTTTTTTAATGAATTTCGACCCTTTCCAGGGTCCCCAGCAGGGCGAAATCGAATGCGAAAGACGGAGCCCCATTTTCCTGTGCCCGTTCTGCCGCAACGTCAAACTGGAAGCCCCACCTTTCTGATCTTCTGTAAGGGCCTGAAGACCTGGCTTTGTCAGTTGGCTCGGGGCACCAATGGGGGACTCTCATGCTGGAGTCCCCCCACCCACACACCCTGCTCTCTCCCTCCCCATCTTTTACTTTGGTTTGTAATTCTATACTTACTGTTTTTAGAAATATTTACGATTTACAGTTTTTATAGCTTTTCATGTTGTAAGGCGCCTGGAGTTGGCCCGGGGGCAAGACGGACGGTAAACAAATTTAATAAAAAAATAATAAATAAATAAAGTCATCACCGTTGTTAAGTGAATCCTGTCTTTAAGCAAATCCAGCTTCACCAGTTGACTTGGCTTGTCAGACGCCGGCTGAGAAGGTCGCCAATGGTGATCGTGGAACACTGCAACCCTTCACAAATGCCTGCCAGTTGCCAAGACCTTGCATTTTGATTACAGGGCCATGGGGTTGCTGGGACAGTCATTAGAGCAGTGTTTCTCAACCTTGACAATTTTAAGGCATGTGGACTTCAACTCCCAGAATTCCACAGCCAGCATTGCTGGCTGTGGAATTCTGGGAGTTGAAGTCCACATGCCTTAAAATTGTCAAGGTTGAGAAATACTGCATTAGAGCAAAGATATGTCACTTCTTTTCAGTGCCATTGCAACTTGGGTTGCTCAACGAGGAGTTGTAAAGTCAAGCTAATCTGTAGTAAAAATATACTATTATCCTCAAATACCTGGGAAGCCACACATTTTTGCATGTGTGTATTTCAAGCATCAAAAGCATGTTGACTTTTCTTCTTATTTCTTAGGTTCCAATTCATTTCTGGGCACTCTTTTACCCAAAGCGGGCGATGGAACAAGCCCATGAACTAGTTAGTGTGCTGCAAAAAATCTCAGGACCACTTGGTATCCCATTGGCTGCACCTATTTGGAAAGAATTGAAAGATGACCGGATAGAGACTTACGCCAGAGCTATCAAATCATTGCTAAGTAGTGAGGTGAGAGTTTATGGGTTTGTGGTTTTACGATGTTGGTTTCCTCTCTCTCTCTCTCTCTCTCTCTCTCTCTCTCTCTCTCTCTCTCTCTCTCTCAGCTTTATTGATTTTGACTTTCAAATAAAGTATACTGAGATGCGGAATATTAAGGCAGGAAGGGAGACGGAAGAGTTGTGTACAGTTGGGATGCATAGAGCAAACTCTTAGTAAAACTTTCCTGGGAAGAAGTTGCTGAGCCTCAACACTTTGCCTTCTAATGGATTCATATTTTGTTGGAATATGAACAGACATATACAGTGGTACCTCGGTACTCATTGTTAATCGGTTCCAGAAGGTGTGATGAGTAAAAAATACGATGAGGGCCGAACAATTTTTTTCCCTTAAGGAAAATAGCCGACACCAACAATTTCTAGCTTGTATGTCGCATACTAAACATCTGATGAGTATTGGGATGAAATGTTCGCGTCAGAACGTGTTGAGTATCAAATTTGATGAGCTTCAAAGCAGTTGAGTACCAAAGAACCACTGTAGTTTGGCATTCAGGTTTGAAATAATTTTGCGATCATAAAGTAATGGCAGAGAGCCCATTTGGTGTAGTGGTTAGGGTGCTAGTCTAGTGAGATTCTGGATTGGGAGACTTTGGGCTCTTAACCCAACCCACTTATTAGAGTTCTTGTGGGGAAATTGCAAGAAGGAAGCATTAGTTACGCTGCCTTGAGTTGCATAAAATAAAAGCAGGACGTAAATTAATAAATGACCTTAGTTTCACCTCCCAATATACCTAACCATAGTGGTATGCTGATATTTAATGATCTTATTGCAAGCTGGTTACTCACTGTCCATTCTCTTTATTAAGGGATCAATACAATTAGTCGTTTGCATTATCACAGGAACTAAAGATGATTTGTATAGGGCCATTAAACGGCTGTGCAATGTACAGAACCCCGTTCCTTCCCAGGTACGTAAATAGTTGTCTTTTCCTTGAGCCTGTAAAAATGCTTGAATGGACGTTGCTGATTGTGATATTACTTGTTTGATCACCTGTGTTTTTATGAAGCGCCTCTGATGTGTCTTTCAGGCTGAATATTAGGTGTAACAGGAAACAGTTTATACTGTTCATATATACATAGTTTGTATATGAGCTTTGAACCGTTTTGTATTCTAGTGAGTTAAGAGTTTTATGATATTTAAATATTAGCCAACGTTTACTAATGAAAGCCAACAACATTTAGCTTTTAATTGTGAATTGAGAATTCAATAGTTTAATAAATGGATCTTTAAAATCAGATTTTTTAAAATGTAGAAATATGGAGGAGCCTTGATCAAACCCTCTAGTCTATATTTTTAATAAGGGTGTTATTTTTGGAAATACGTTTAAATATTTTTTGTTGAATGAAGGCGTAATTTTTTTTGTGAGGGGGAAAACAAAAAGTTGTTTACTTTAAGCAATAATCTCTTATTACCTTGTAAATATCACAGCTTAGACTTAGATGTGGAAAATATGGAATTTCAACCATTTTGACTTTTGAAAGGGCCATTTCTGACTTCATAAGGAATATTTCGATGCCCTTCTGATTTTAGTGGCAATGTTTCAAGTTCCAGAGGGTGCTATTTTGAGGTTAGACTCGTTCTGGTGAAGTCAGAAAAGCATTGGGGGTACTCCTGACAAAATTAAGCTCAAAGTAGAATGGTTTAAAACGTATTTTATGCAATAATCAAACTGAGTATTCCTGAAAGAGAAACATTTCTTTCTTGCCCAGGCATTTACTCGTTCTAATCATTAATTGCTACAGGTTATTAACATTCGAACCATTACAACACAATATGCTAAACTGAGAAGTATAGCACAGAAGATCCTGTTGCAGATTAATTGCAAGCTAGGTGGAGAGCTGTGGGGTGTGGACATTCCATTGGTAAGTAATACGGATATTATTTCTCTCCAGTGAAGCTTAATTCAGTAATAAAAATAATTCTCTAAAATAATGTTGCATACATTATGTATGCATACTTGTGTGCTTTAAGTGGCACTATTGATACCCATCTTTTTTCACTTCCTTTCACTTCCCTGAACAGCCCCTTTCACTTAATTATGACCTGAAAGTTGGGAACTTTAAAAATATATGTTACACTCTCAGGTGGAGAACAGTTAGATCACTTCCATTCTCTTACAGTTTGCTTGGATAAGATACTGTTTCAAAAAGAGACATGTGAAAATGTACAAAGCATTCCACTGAAGAATTGAGCTGAAATACTTAGAACCAGTGGTGGGATTCAGCCGGTTCGCACCGGTTCAGTAGAAGCGGTAATTAAATTTTGTTGAGTTTGGACAACTGGCTGAACCCATGCTGCTTCTGGGAGTCCGTTCTAGGCCTGGGAGGCCTGGAGGAGGCATCCCAGGCCTAGAACAGCCCGCCGGAAGTGCATGGATGTCACTTCCGGAAGTCCATTCTAGGCCTCGGGGGCCCAAGCCTGCGTTCACGCAGAGAACTGGATGTTCAGGTATTTGAATCCCACCACTGCTTAGAACACATTAACATCAACCTTATTAACCCTGTCAGCAACTACTGCCAGTAATATTTGTAAGAACAATGGTTTAACGCCTCAAGAGTGACTCCAGTGGCGACAATTGCCACATTTCTGAAGGGAGCGCCGGCCAGAAGCCCATAATCAACCAGCCAGTCCTACAACATTTCTCTTTCCAAATGACCAGGATCATCATCATCTTTTTTTGTAGAGCAGAAATGCACCGTCTGTAGGTTAAGCTAGGTTGCAGAAAAGATTCTCAAGATTCCAACTTCTGCACAAAGCAGGGGACGGCTTAGGTCGCCCCCTTCTCACACAAGGAGCAGTATAAGCACCAGATGAAAAATTGGAACTGGGAATCTTTTTCTGAGTTGCAGAAGAGGGTTTTTTCTTGGAATGCTAAAAGTAGAAATGTTAGCTGTCTTTGGCAGTGTTTGCTACCTGAAATGCTTACACGTAAAGGAAACGGATAGTACATTATGCTTTGTTCCAGAAACAGCTGATGGTGATTGGCATAGACGTGTATCATGATCCCAGCAGAGGGAAGCGCTCCGTGATGGGCTTTGTGGCAAGCACCAATCTGTAAGTGTCCTTTATATATATACATATATATATACTTTTGGCATTCAGATCTATGGGGTCTGTTCTAGAACTGGGGCCCTTGCTTAAGTTCACATAGAATGGCTGACTTCCAAATATTTGATATTTCTGGTCTTGAGGAAAAAAATGTGTGCTTGTGTGTCAACGCTGCTAACATCAGATGTTCTTGCTTTGACAACATATGGAGGTGCATCCATTTTTCTTTACTTTAACTTTTACCTTTAGAGTTACAATTAGATGATACTGGGGGGGGGGGAGGAATGTGCATGGGAAATTAGTTAGACAAAACAATACTGTATAATGGTGAGAACCAAGGCTGTTTGTACTAAGAGATGGTAAGACATGGCAGGATGAAGAACTGGGCGGAAAGCCAGTATTTCAAACTAATTGGAGAATGTGATTTATGACTGTTAGTTAGAAAAGGGAACTGTGCTTTGATACTAGGTGCTGAGGGAAGGGGAAGCCAGATTTTGGCTGGGATTATGTACGTGCCGATGTGTTGCTACTCGAATAAAGATTCTTTAAGGTGAACAATGCCTCAAAGTTCTTTGAAGACCTTCATCTGTCGGAACTTTAACATTGTGATTCATGTATTAGGTTTTTTATTTGAAAGCAACATCCTTCCTGCCCAAAGTTAGGAAGCACAACTTGGCTTATTTCTAAGCTAAGCTTAATTCACAAACTCACCCACGTCTTCTCCACCCTTCTCTGTAGTGTTTCACTATCTCAGGGGTAGACAACCTTGGCTCTTTTATGACTCGTGGACTTCAACTCCCATAAAAGAGCCAAGGTTGCGTACCCCTGCACCATCTGCTTATCAGCTGACTTCAGAAAGAAAGCCCTCCGTTTTTCTCTCTTTTGTCTTGGATATGGAACCCTTTACAGCAGGTCTTTATCCTGCTCATTTCCCAGGAGCCACTGACTGTATAGGGTTGGGGGGGAATTTCCTTTACTTCATTTTGTTTTGCTAAGGAGGAGATTTAATTAGAGGCTGGGTAGAAAATGCAAAGGATCTGCAAGTACGAAAAGACAAAGAGCCCAGTGAAAATGTGGGAGTACCATTAAATTTAAAGACCACCAATTTAAAGAAGACTAATAATGACAGGTAGAGCAACCAGCCTTAGAAGTGACAATGAAGATATTGAAATGGTGGATAGTTGCTGCCTTTCAGACCCCAAACATCAAGAGGACCGGTATAAGCAATCAAGAAATATGCTGCGGAATAGCATTTAGTAGAGCAGTTAAGGGCAGCCGTGGGAACTTCTGTATCCCTCTAGATCAATTTATTATTTAAGTGTTAACAGTGTTAAAAGATGCCAACAGTTTCCAAAAATAACAACTTTGACCTAATTGTGAATTATGAGGCTCTCATTCTTTGAATTAACATTATTAATATCATGACCCTTTTCTGCCACCAGAATTTTGACACGATGGTATTCCAGGGTTGTATTCCAGACGCCTCATCAAGAAATAATAGATAGCCTAAAAGTCTGTTTAGTAGCTGCTTTGCAGAAATTCCACGAGGTGAGAAATGGGACTATTATTTTCCGGTTCTCTGGAATTTACAGAGAAGCGTGTCCAGATTAAGTTTTGTATATATATGTTTTGAGAAGGTATGTTTGTTCCATTGTGTTGCCTTTAGATGCAACAGGAGTGCTTTGTAACAGAAGATCCCCCAGTTTCTTCTCAGTGACTCCATGCTCCAACACTGGAAGTTTTTAAGAAGAAACTGGACAGCCATTTGTCTGAAATGGTATAGGGTTTCCTGCCTGAGCAGGGGGTTCGACTAGATGACTCAAAGGTCCCTTCCAACATTATTATTATTATTATTATTATTATTATTATTATTATTATTATTATTATTAATCATCGCACAGTCAGCCAGATGTTCAGACTGGATTTGGCATTTTTGTCTACCTATTGAATCCTTACCCAGGACCTGGGATAGGCAGATGTGGATGTTTGATGGTATTACAGATCTCGTCGCAGGATGGAGGCGGTTCCTAGTAAGGCCGCCTTTTGCAATTGACTAATGGTGAATTTGTCAATGCCAATGGTGTTCAAGTGGTGCTCCAGTTTTGGGATTGCACCCAAGGCGCTTATTACTATTGGTACTACCCTTGCTTGCCTTTGCCACAGTCTTTCTACTTCTATTGTAGGTCTTTGTATTTTGTTATCTTCTCCAGTTCTTTCTCATCATTACTACTACTACTACTACTACTACTACTACTACTACTACTACTACTCAGGGTAGGGACTGTTCTTCCTATCCACGAAGACTAAATTCTTTTAGAGGAAAGGCTAGGATGGGAACTGGAAAGAGAGAGACCAGTTTCCTTTCTAAAGCTGGTCCTTTCCCTTCCCATACAGTAGATCACTTCCCAAGCTTTGCTTTTATCTGAGCAGCTCTTTTCTAAGTACAGGTAGTCCTTGACTTACAAACCATTTATTTAGCGAACAGCCCTGAAAAAAAGTGACTTATGACCATTTTTCACACATCCATGGCAGCATCCTCCGTGATCACGTGATCGAAACGTGGAGGCTTGGCAACCGATTCATATTTATGACGGTTGCATTGTTCTGGGATCATGTGATCCCCTTTTACCAACCTTCTGACAAGTCAGTGGACCAGCCAGATTCACTTCACAAGTATGTTAGTGACTTAACAGCTGCAGTGATTCACTGAAGAACGTGGCACGAAAGGGGCAAAGTGGGCCAAAACTCAACTTAACAGCTGTGTGTTGTGTTTTAAATGTGTGTTACGTAAGTAAGAAACACTTGAGAGCAAGCGACTAAATTTTAATTTTTAATGGGTGCCGTTGTGCCCACAAGAAAAAAAAATAAAGGTTATCTAATCTAAAAAAAAAATCTACAAAGTTTGGGGCTCAGTTGTGGTTGTACGTTGAGGACAACCTGTAGTTTAGATTTCTGCCTTTCGCTACAAATCAGGCAGAAGAAAAGAGGAAACAAGTTCATTGGGAAAAAAATTGGAAATTTCCTGGATCAAATATAGGCAGGAGCCGTTCTAGGCCTCTTTCTGATTGTTGGATGTTTGTTCTCCCGAAGGTCAACCATAATCTCCCGGAGAAGATAGTGATTTATAGAGATGGCGTTTCCGATGGCCAGCTGAAAATAGTAGAAAGCTATGAAATCCCACAGCTGGAGAAGTGCTTCGAAGCTTTTAACAACTACAACCCTAAATTGGTGGTGTTTGTGGTTCAGAAGCAAATCAGCACCAACATCTATTCTCTAGTTGCTCAACAACTTTCAACTCCTCCTCCAGGGACAGTGTTAGACCACACAGCCACCTCGCGAGACTGGTGAGTGAAAAGCTTTCACCGGGCCCTTCCCCCCCCCAGATCTCCCCCGTTGCCTTCTGGAAGTGGGGAGTTTAAAGGCTTTGTATTTTCTCCTTTCCTCCATGATTAAAAAAATAATAATAATTTCTTGTAGACCCAGCTTTGGAGTTAAATGCAAACACTGGAGGCTTTAAAGAAAAGATTGGATGACCATTTGTCTTAAATGGTACAGGGCAAGGGGTCTGCAACCTCGACAACTTTTAAGACTTATGGAATGTGCTGGCTGAGGAATTCTGGGAGCTGAAGTCCACAAGTCTGCAAGTTGTTGAGGTTGCAGACCCCTGGTATAGGGTTTCTGGCCTGAGCAGGGGGTTGGACTAGAAGATCTCCAAGGTCCCTTCCAACTCCTGTTATTCTGTTAAATATGTCTCTAGGCTTCCCCCCCCCAACTTAAAATAGCTTATTTCCAGGTGATCAAAATCAACCACGGCCACACTTCTCTTGTCAGCTTTGTTTTATCTATAGTCTTTTTTATAGGTTACGCTAAACACGTCCCCATCTGGGACGTCTCCAGAACGGAGACCGTCTTCTCTCAGTGTGATAGGGCAGGCTGCCTGCAAAATGGGCAGCACCTGGGCTGCTGTTGCCCGGGCTCTTTGAGACCTCTCCCTGGTCCACACAACAACTAGTGGCAATAAAAACTGAACAGAGAGGCAGCTGATGGGGAGTGTTCAAGCGAGCGGGAAGGTGGTTTGCGTTCTTTCTTGGAAATAAAGCCTGAAGCAGCCTAAGGCAAAATAGTAAGACACTATTATCCAGCAGTACGATGCACAGGGCATCGTAGCGGGAGAGCCAGCAGTAACAGCTGTAGTAGAACTGGGGAAGAGTGGAGTAGTGAGCAGTAAGAACTAGTTTTTCAGTACGTAGGTGGGTGCTGTTGCCTAGAGACACGTGTCATTGTGTTGGCTTTCTTGGGTTTTGTAGTCTGACATTCTCCAGTAGAGGAGATGGAGAAGCCACCAATGGGTTTTCTCTGTCTGCCTGCTCTTGAAACCAAGTAGCCAAACTTGACACGCCCCCTCTGGCTAGGAGACCCAGTCTTGACTTAGTCTCAAGCTCTTGAAGACGCGTCAGGGTTGGCTCTCTCAGCAGATTAGCAGGTAGAGACCCATTGGTGAATTCTCCTTTACTTAACAATACCCCTCAATAATTTAATAGTTTACACAGTCTGGGAATCCTTCCCTACTGTTTCCCTGCGGTGCTGGGCTCAGCGCTGCCTCAAATCGGAGGATTTGAACTGGGGGGGGGGGAGGCAACTGCTTCCTTTTTTGCTTTGTTTTCCCCAGAGCTCTAGGGGAAAATATTTCTTGGGTAGCTCACAGAGCTACCTCAAGAACGATTTTCACCTCCTCTCTCAGGACCTGAGGAGCTGCATTCAGCACGCTCCCACCTTGGTCAGGGCCCACTTCAAAACCTCATCCCAAGAAAGCAAGAACCCTTGAAAGCGACTTCTTCCAAAAGGAACTTTTATTAGGAGATGCTGATAGCAGGCATACGAGACCGGATCTGAGGATTTCCCGCGTGGAACCGATAGGTAAAAGTGTCCCAAGTAAAACCCCCACCCCATAGTTCATCCGGTCAATTCAAATGGCCCAATCCCCAGGTGTTAGATTCCTCTGTGGGAACAGGGAGATAAAGTGGTAGCTGCTGCGATGTTTAGGCGGCTCTTCGCACCTTCTCTGGGGCTGCGGAGATAAAGCAGTCTCCGCAGGTTGCATTCCATTCTTACCCTTCCTTTGCTGGCGGACAGTAAGGGATGGGAAAGTTCACAAGAAACAATGCAGGAAAGAAAAGTATGACATTGTAGCAATAGAGGAAGTCAAGGCAATAACCCTCAGGCCCTCCCTCCTCCCCCCTAGGAGTATGGCAGAACCCAGGATGAGAAGAGAGTGAGATTCGGGTCAGGATGAAAGAAGAGAAAATAGCAGAAGGGAGGAAGGAAAGGATTGGGGAACCTATTGATATGGGTTCTGACACAGTCTCTGCTGTCCAGTCTCTTCTTAAAAACGTCCAGTGTTGGAGCATTCCCAACTTCTGGAGGCAGGTTGTGACACTGATGAATTGTTCTCACTGTCAGGAAGTTTCTCCTTAGTTCTAGGTTGCTTCTCTCTTTGGTCAGTTTCCATCCGTTGCTTGTTGTCCTGCCTTCAGGTGCTTTGGAAATAGCTTGATTCACTCTTCTTTGGGGCAGCCCCTGAGATATTGGAACACGGCTATCATGTCCCCCCTCATCCTTCTCTTCGTTAAACTGGACATACCCAATTCCAGCAACTGTTCCTTGTATGTTTTAGCCTCCAGTCCCCTGATCATCTTTGTTGCTCTTCTCTGTACTCTTTCTAGAGTCTCAACATCTTTTTTTACATCGTGGTGACCAAAATTGAATAGAATTGATGGCTGGTACTCCGTGGGGTGATCATTCTTCCTTCTCTCTCCATGTACAACTTGGGAAGATGTGGCCCAGATTTAAAATGATCTCAAACCATTGGAACCCTTGTTTGGATTGTTCAGAGGTGTCCCCCTGTCTTGGCTTGCCAACTTAATAATCGCTCACTTTTGTTCCAGGCCTCAATTTTGAAGGTTATAAAGAATTAAGAGTTCATTCTTTCTCTGTCGACAACGAAGTTGATAAGAGGTTCAACTCTGCTCTTTTTCCCTTTTGGTTCTTTCTTGCTAGGATGGATTTTTACTTGATAGCTCACTACTCGCCACAAGGTTGCGGCATCCCAACTCACTATGTCTGTGTAAGGAATACAGCCAATCTCACTCCTGATCACATGCAGAGGTGAGAGTGTACGTTATTGCTCGGTTTCAGATGTTGTTTTCTCATTGAACAGGAGGCAGAATATGAATCTAGTGAATACATAAAGCAGGAAGTACTGAATGCAACAAATGGATGTTTTTTTTTTTGGAGGGGGGAGAAGGACTGTAATTATGAATGTTAGGATTTTGTTTCGTGGTTTTTTTTGTTGTTTTTGTTTTTTGGTATTTTCTACATGGTGTGTGTACAGCTTTCCTTCCTACTCAGTACAGCAGTGAGAATGGAAGGAGAGAGAAACTGAGGACTTTCTTGTTTCCTGGTTTAAAAAGCAATTGCCTGGGAGGTGGTCCTCCAGTTGTGCTATGCCAGGGATAAGCAACCTTGGCTCTTTTATGACTCGTGGACTTCAACTCCCAGAATTCCTGAGCCAGCCATGCTGAGGGGAAAGGGAGAGGTTTCCAAGCTGAGCCATGCTGGCTCAGGAATTCTGGGAGTTGAAGTCCACGAGTCATGAAAGGGGCCAATGTTTCCCTCATGCTGGCTCAGGAATTCTGGGAGTTGAAGTCCACGAGTCATAAAAGAGCCACGGTTGCCTACCCCTGTGCTACGCCTTTGTTTGCAAGATGATGGGGCGGCCCAAAACTGTCTGCTAGTTGCCTAATTTCCAGCGGCTTCCTTGCAGCTCTTTGGCCAATATTTTTTTCCCTTTTAAGAGCTTGAAGCAGGACAAAGGTGTTTTAAGTGCCATTTTCTTTCTGGATGGAGTGAAGAATTTCCTTTGCAAAGAGGGTAAAGTAAATCAAAGACCTAAAAGGAAATCAATCAGTTTTTCCCCTTGCAGCATTTAAGAATGAATACTAATTGGAATATATTGGAGATTAGGGACTTATCAAGCGATAATAGAAATACCTTGTTGTGTCTGGGTTATAGAAGCAGGCCGTCTAACGAGGAATTTCCTTCTCCTTTTTATTAGGCTGACTTTCAAACTTTGCCACCTCTACTGGAATTGGCCAGGAACTATCCGAGTGCCCGCCCCATGCAAATACGCGCATAAGCTGGCTTTTCTCTCTGGGCAGATTCTCCACCACGAACCGTCCATTGAGCTGTGCGAGAAACTTTTCTTCCTGTAGTTTCTGCCATGGGCCGCCTTCAAAGGGAGTGCGCGAATGCTGAGAAGGCATTGCCCAGTACCAGCCCTTCCCAGTTTCAGACCACTCCCCTCCGCCCTGCAACTGGGCACTCTGTTTTATAATAATGTTTATTTGGTCAATGACCAGGAAAAAAAAAGTTTTAAAAAATGACACCACCGTAGTAAAATAGAAAAGATGAAGCAAACAACCAAAAAGATAAAAATGTGACTGCTATAGCGGTACATTAATTCCTTGTACAAGTGTACCTCTGTCGCAGGGCACACACTGCAGTAAAATATATACCATCTTTAAACAAGATAAGCTAGTACCGGTCTGTGTTAAATCTAAAATGGTGAATAAAACAAAAAAAAATATTTCCATAACCAGTTATGCCTTATTTTCCTTGCGGCAAGACAGAATTTGGCTATCGCATAGGTGATAACAGGTTTCAAATCTTGTAGAAGAGGGTTCATAGATGGAACAGCCTGTTGACATCAGTCTGAAATGCCATATCCCTTATTCCAGTGGTTCTCAACCTTTTTTCTTCACCACGGACCCCCGTAAATACCTTTTGTGGCCACGAGCCCCCCAAGAGTTAACTCAAGATTTAAATCATAGCATTTCTTCAAGCCTTTGCGGACACCCCCTGTGATGACGACATGCCCCCCAGGGGGTCATGGACCACAGCTTGAGAACCACTGCCTCATTCATTGAGCAGCTGTTTGGCTTGGTCGTATCTTCAGTTAGGAGTGGCACATCGTTTCAACTTCTGCTCTGTGAACTGTTTCCAGAACAGAGGCAAATTATTAAAACCAAAAGGGTCTTCTGATGGTATAAAACGGGTGTCAAACTCGTCGCATCGCGTGATGTGTCGTGACGTATCGTGACTTTTTTCGCATTGCTGGAGCTGGGGTGGGCATGATGCAACCGGCCCACGGGCCGGCAGTTTGACACCCCTGGTATAAAACATCAACGACCTAAGACGGGTGGGGAACTTTGGCTTTTTTATGACTTGTGGACTTCAACTCCCAGAATTCCTGAGCCAGCATGACTGGCTCAGGAATTCTGGGAGTTGAAGTCCACAAGTCAGAAAGGGGCCCGAGTTCCCTGCCTCCGACCTAAGAGCTAGCCGCACTATATGATTCCTGATGCGCTTTCCAAGTGCCTTCACGGCCCAAGGCATTCAGATGCAGTAACCTATTCTAACTTGTATCCCCCTATTCTTCAGGTTTGTTAGATGGCTCTCTTAGCGAGGATCAGAATTTTAGATCTATCAGAATTAAGAACCAGGGAATTTTGTCTGCAGTCCCAAAACATTGCTGCTGTTTGTCTTTTTCTGCCTTCTAAGGGTTGGTGAAATTATGACAGCAGCAGCAACGTAGAGGAATAGAGGGAATCTGCGCCCTGCTAGTTTAGGTGCATCAAAGCCTGGATTATGAAGGTGCACCGTTGAACTAAAATACGAGTTGAAAGAAGAGACGAGAATACATCCAAGTTTACTGTGCCAGAGAGGGACCCTTAGATATTGGACCTCACTCTTAAAGTGGTGTTGTAGTATAATTTCTTTGTCAGAAAGCGGAGAGACTGCTCATTATTTTTATTGTTTGCATAGCTGGAAATTGAGTCAAAGGCATGTTTAAAACCTACAGTGGCCACGACGAGAGAGGATTACTTTTTTTGAGTGTATTTTTGTAGAGAATGGTGGAGCACCAAACTGTGGCCTGTTGTTGACCTCCCTTCTCTAAATCCAGAGCTAAATCTATGACCTTGGCTGCTCATCTTGCATTATGCCCTCTGTCTCTATCCAGTCTTGGAGCTTAAGATGTAATATGTTTAGCAAATTGCTAATAACACTCACAAAATGACCGGTAATTGTTCTTATTGACCTTTTTGTAAATTTGGGGCTATTATTTCCGGCCCCCAATCTTTCTGGGACATGACCAGTATGATCTATAAACATAGATAAGGATGCTAGCAGTGGCACCCGCCAGTTAGGATTATTTTTAATTACTTTAGGCAAAAAATTAGACAATCAACACCTAGATCAGGGGTAGGCAACCTTGGCTCTTTTATGACTTCTGGGAGTTGAAGTCCATGAGTCATAAAAGAGCCAAGGTTGCCTACCCCTGACCTAGAGGCTTGGGGTGTCCAACTGCCAGCTCGCGGGCTGGATGTGTCATCCGGAAGCCGCGCCCACCCCATTGCGTGATGTCACGTGACGTTGCGAGTTTGACATGTCTGCCTTTAGGGATGCAGTCAGTCGGATTGCCTCTCACACTGAATAAGCGCAGGTAACCTTTTGTCAATAGGAAAATGTCTCTGACTGTCGCACTTGGTATTAGGTCAAAAGCTGACTTAAAAAAAAAATCTACAAAGGTCGCAAAAAGGGAATCATAAGGAGGAGAGGAATACGTTTCTACCAAGTGGCGGAGAACCCAATAATGATCTAATATCGATTGTTCCGTTCTAAAGCCGGCCCGTTCTTCAAAACGATGATATTTTCATTTGGTATCCGCCCGACTAATTTTAGATATAAAATCTGGCACAAAGTTTATTTATTGTGTTTGATAAAGTAGCAGGCCCATAATTTGCAAAGTCAGATCTGTTTAGTTTTTACAATGGTTTTGTATAATGGTTTTGCTATTGCGTAAAATGCTTCTCTTGCCAAAAAAGAAAAAAAAAAAAGCTCATATGTAAATGAAAATTGTAGCTTATGGTCCATTTGACTTCTGTTTGCTGAGCCAGCCATTGAAATCCTTTGTCTAAATGTGGTGACCTTTTGCATTGAACACCCAAATATGGCCTTCTCTGCTTACGACGGCAGGAGGCCAACAATGAGTATATAAGCTTTTCTGGACTGGAACATGCTTGTCTAGTTTCCCTGATATTGGTATCTAGAACTGTAGTTCTTCATGCTGTTAATAATTTACCTTTTCTGCTAGCACTGAAATCTCCTGATACGCTTATTCAGCTTTATTACCCAATTCCTCCTTGATTTGTCTGTACTTTGTCCAAGTCTGCCAAATGAAGTATTCAAACAGTTGCTTCTTTCTTTTTTGAAGAAAGACATAAGCTGTGTGTTGTCTGAAAGCTTCCTAAAAAAGCAGAGTGTTTCTTTACAGGATTTGAGATGAAGGGTGTATCTACCGCCTCATAGTTCATGCCTGTTTGTATCTCCTGATACTGTACTTGTATATTTCTCAATAAAGTAGATATTTAAAAGCTGAACTCAAGTTTCCAGGGTTCTCTCATCCCAGATTCTTTCCCTTAAATCTATCAGTTCCCTACTGAACTTCTTACAGCTTTGGGAACACATATATACCTGCTGAACTTAAACGAATTATTTGTGAATGGAAGTTTTCAAATTGGTCATAGAGGAGTTTTATTTATTTATTAAATTTGTATGCCATCTCTCTCTCTCTACCATGTGACTCTGGATTAAGAATTAAGCTCTTGATATCTTTCAGTGTGATTACCTTACATCTTTTTTTGGCATGATGATAGAAAGGATTCTGGAATTTAGGAAACCACAAAATGCAGTTTGCAATGCCCTCTACTTGGACTTCAGAACCTCATTTTTACACATACAGCTTTCTAGGCATGCTTCAGAGACAGAGACAGAGATCTGTTGAGCCAACCCAAAATAGGTTGTGAAAGTTTTGGGGAATGACCCCAGCAGCTGGCTGGAAGGGACACATTGTCTTCTGCTCCAAAATATATTGCCTCATCTACCTAGGTCACCATGCTTTTGGCATAACTGAGTGATAAAGCCCACTTTTCATGCACAAAAACCTGTGCCCGCTCTCCAACTAACGTGTCCCTGGGAATTGGACTGGAAAAAGAAAGCTGGACTATCTTACTGAAATGTTAGAAGCTGCAGATGTTAACAGGGTTAGGGTTAGAGTTGAATTATTTTTCTAATGAATACCTTTTAAACACCCCAGCCATGCTGAGCCATATTTCAGTTGAATAAGAATCTGATCTTTTGACATCCATTTCTTTGTCCTTCTCATAGCTCTCATTTTTGATGCCATCTCTGACTTGTCAAGTAAAACATGTTTCTTATCTGCCATTTCATTCATTATATCTGTACAGTCTATCCATAGAAGCAACCATCTCTATCGGTATAGTAGATATTAACTTCTGATTCTGTTTTTCAGAAGCGCCCTTAAGTGTTTTCAATGTTAACGATGTTTTGTGCCGTTTTATATGTCCTAGTTCATTAGCTGTTAATCAGGCTTGTATATTTTTCTTCATTAACTAAAGTCTAATTTTCAAACTGTCTCTCTGTCATGTCTTTATCCAAATAAATCTAGGGCTGGGGCTATTCAGAATTAACTGTTTTGTTTTTCCTTTGAAAGGGTTGCAACGAGTCAGAGACCTTAAATCTTAACTCTTTAGCATCCTCCAAATAGATGAATTGTTTTTCCACGGCTGGCGATAAGCCGTGAAGATAAGTGACTTACCTGGAAAGGCAAGGGAACGCTTAAAAAAACCCTTCTTTGCAAGTTCAGTTTCCCAGCCAAAAGCTTTATCAGTTGACATGTGCATGTTAACAAACAGAATTTCCATCCAGCAAACACTTTTAGGTGGCAACAGTAAGTACAGATTGTGCCACAGGTGGGGTTGCATTTGATAGTAAATAAGTAATTTTTATTTGGTCAATAATCAGCACAATGCAAACAAAAAGACAGATCAACAGAAAGAATAATTCAACAAATATGACTCAGAAACATCCCGGACAGGAGAAGGAAGTAGCAAAATAACATTGTGGCAATGGAAAAAATTACAGTTGTCTTAAAACTAAAAAAAAAATGAAAGTCTTCAAGTAATTCTTCAGAGCACAATATTTTTAGCACTAAAGCTCTAATCATGAATGGAACATAATAAAACTATAACCACAGCAACTATAGGACAGTCCCAAAAAAAGGGGGGGGGAGCAAAGAAGGTTTCAAATGTTTTAAAAGGAAATTCACAAGGTGCTTATCCAGTCTTCCAAAACATTCATGTAGAGCAGGGGTAGGCAACCTTGGCCCCCTCATGACTCGTGGACTTTAACTCCCAGAATTCCTGAGCCAGCATGAGGGAAACTTTGGCCCATTCATGACTCGTGGACCTCAACTCCCAGAATTCCTGAGCCAGCATGGCTCAGCTTGGAAACCTTTCCCTTTCCCCTCAGCATGGCTGGCTCAGGAATTTTGGGAGTTGAAGTCCACGAGTCATAAAAGAGCCTACCCCTGGGTTAGATGATGCCAGATGATGCAGTATTTTGCTAGTGAGGGAATTATTCCCGTTTCATCCCTAGAGCAATTTCTTCATGATGCACACCGAGAAAGGGACATGGTAGAGTGGATTCAACTTG